TTGCGAACGGTTGCGGACGGTTGGGCAACGTCGAGCGAACACACCCTCAACCCCCAGACCCCCAGAGTGAAACAGGATTCCTTGCTACACATTCGGGAAAGAAAGGGAAAGCAAGGGAAAGGAAGGGAACGGAAGGGACAGGAAGGGAAAGGAAGGGAAAGGAAGGGAAAGGACGGGAAAGGAAGGGAAAGAAAGGGAAAGGAAGGGAAAGAAAGGGAAAGAAAGGGAAAGGAAGGGAAAGGACGGGAAAGGAAGGGAAAGGAAGGGAAAGAAAGGGAAAGGACAGGAAAGAAAGGGAAAGGAAGCGAAAGGAAGGGAAAGGAAGGGAAAGGAAGCGAAAGGAAAGGAGAGGTTGGTTTGGAAATCAGCCGCCGTCGCATGACCGTGCTCAAATGAGCTTGCTTGGCTATTGCACACTGTCACCCGATGTTTCCGTGCAGAGCTGAAAAAATGAAATTTGCAGTGAATGCGTCCATAATGTTCATCTTCTAAAAAGATAAGGTTTTGCAGCCGATAGGGGGTCTTTGGAATTTGATTCAATTTGATTCTAGGGTCCTTGGTGATTTAGTTCTACCTCTGATTGTGTGATATATGTTTTCCATTATTTATTTCTTTATCTATCTTATCTATCAAGGTAGGTGGCCTTGGTATATACTAGTGAAATTGATCCCAAAGGAAAGATCGTCTTGGGTTAGTGTCCCTTGGATGTTTCAATATTGTTAATTCTTATCCGTCCTTCGGTAGTCATGCCAAGATGGGGATTGATAATTAGTCTCTCCATCCATTTACCCTTCTATTCGTGGAAGTGCTAGTCAGAACAAACGATCACCATTCGATCGTAGTTCAGATAGTTTTTTTTGGGGTTGGGTACTTCGATACCAGCTTCTACGAGATCACCTCCTGGAATTTTTCCGCGGTGGCAGCGGGCTTTGCTTGTCAGAGTACGAACGATCTCCAGCGTTGGCTGCCATTCATTCCTTTCATTCCATTGCGGCAGCAGAGAGGACGCGTTATCGATCAGCAACCTGACTTACTCTGAGCCTGGCTCTCCGTTTCCGGACTGCAGAGAGGGGTTAACTGACCGCCTGTCTAACTCGGTGTTGCTCCCGGGTATCGAGCCCAGGACCGGTCGGAAGAGGGACGCCGCCATAACCACCGAGCTATTACCGGACCCCATGGTGCCCGATTGGAAGCATGGTGCCCGAATTGGCGAGGCCAGTCATCCGGGTCTTCAGCTACATCCAGGAAAAGACTGGAAAAGAGCTTAGATCTGACGAAGCTTGTGGAACAGTTCATCCAGCCATTGCTCAAGCAGCTTGTGGCGACTCTTGTGCAGCAGATCTCTCAGTCGTTTGGGAGCCAATTTGGATTGCTCAGCTCGACGGATGATTCCGAAAAGGGAGCTGGAGGTGGCAAAGGTAAGGTGAAGACCAAGAGTGGTTTGAAAGATGATGGTGGCAAAAAGCCCCAGAGTGATTCGAGTGGCCGCGGTGGTGGCAAACCCAAAGGCAAACCTCCTCGTTGTTGCGCAGGCTGAGGACAAGCCCAAGGGAAACCAAGGCAAGCAGAGCAATGGAGTTGGCCCTAGCAAGGGCAAAGGCATTGCAAATTCTCATGGTGACAAGAATGCAGGTAAGAAGGACCCAAAGTCTGGCAAAGGCGACGGGACCAAGGATGGTGGGTGGGTCACAGTTACTCACAAGAAAGTCAAGAGCGAAGAGCCTTGGATGCTCAGATCTCAAGATTGGAATGCTCCAGTTGTCCCCTTTTCTGAGGTAACGGCAAAGTTGCGAAGTGCTGATGTTTTCCGTGCAGTCGTCCTTTGTGATGAGCAGCAAGCTGACACCCTTGGGACGATGTTGAATGCGTCTGAGAAGGCGTATGGAGTTCGCAGTGTGCAGTTGCACCAGGGAGATGGTGCTGAACGATGCCCTGGTCAAATTGGCAGCCGCCTCGTCTTCAAACAGGTCAAGTTCAGTTGGGTGAAATCTGATGGCCAATTGGCCCCCGGACTTGCTGCGGTTAGCAACAAGGTCCCCAAGATGCCAACTGTGGAGACGGCAGTGCTCTATGTCAATTTCTTTCAGCGGTTGATGCCAAAGAAAATGTGGGATAATGTCAAGGCAAATCCGCAGAAAGGTTTTCACTCATGGCTCAGCAAGAAGAAACTGCGGGCTATGGAGAGTTGGTCATGGATTGAGGAGAAGATGCCCGATGGGACTTTTTCCAAAATCTTTGGCATAGCGCGTTTTGTTGCTTCTGATGCTTTGAAAATCCTCAAGATGAGTGGTGACGAGATTTTCTTTGACCCTAGCCGCAGTTTCAACATGGCCCCTTTTCATGTTGAGTGGATTGCCCAAGGTGATGAGGAATTTGCTGTTGATTATTTGAAGCGTGCAATGCTATGTGCACGGATCATGGTTTGATTTACAGACACAACAAGCTTGGGCGCCGCATGAAGCGCGATTCCAAGGAACCCATTTCTCGTGTTTGGTTGTTGCATGGTGTTCCCAGGACTTGGAGTGTTGAGCAAGCTACAATGGCAATGGAGACAGCTTTCACCAACGGTGAGCTCTTGCGGCAGAGCCGCCGTCAAGGCGCTGTGGAGTATATCTTCCGCGGCACTTCTGCAACTGCCAATGATACCATTGCCATTCCTGTTGAGACTGAGGACAATGACATTTTGACGTTGTGGGCGCGGTGGGCTCCTCCGCGCAAGAACAACCAGATGATGCGGAAGTGTCATGCCAGTGGTTCGTGGAGCTTGTTGCCTCCGAAGAGCCCTTTTGCAACTGAGACGGTGTGCACACCTGTGGAGAAGGAAGCCAGCAATGCCAAGACCACCGACAACAAGGAGGTGGTCAACAGTGCTCCTGCTACCGAAGAAGGCGGGAAGAAAGGCAAGCATGAGAATGCTTCCAATCCTCCAGCCAAGCGAGTGCGAGCCGAGCAACGTGTACTTCCTCCTGGTGTCAATGTGCAATCAGTGCCAGGGGATGGCAATTGCCTTTTTCATGCTATGAGTCGAGGCATTGCAAAGATCACCAAGGATGAGCCCAAGGGTGCGTCTGAACTCAGAGCTGAAGTTGTCAGTCATTTGCGGCGCCATGAGGACAAGTACATCAAGGACTGGTGCAACGAAATGCCTGATGGCACAATCGCACCAAGCTATGAGGCCTATCTCCAAGCTGTTGCCAAGGACAATGTTTGGGCAGGAGTGACTGAACTGGCTGCTTTGGCCAGAATGTTTGATACGCGTATCATCGTTTTCACTCTGCGGATGCTTGATGAACCTTTTGTCTTCCACCAGAAGCAGAAGAAGCACGTGATTGCTTTAGTATTTGATGGAATGCATTATGATTTGCTTGTCCCTGACAAGAAGGAGTATCCCAAAGTGCTTTTGGACATTTCTGCTCACCCACCTACTGTGCCCATGCGCGGCGGAGCGCGTAGTGGCGCGCGTTCAACACGCACTGTGTGGACCGATAGCAGTTACAACAAGACTTCTCCTGGAAAGCTGGCCCGACCGGCCACTGTGCGGACCAGTTGCATGACGCAGTCCAATGGTGAGTTTGACACCGTCGCTGAAGTTGCCAGTGACGATGACGTGCCAGAAGTTCGTTTGCAGGAGTTTGCCAATGGGCCAATGGTGAGCGTTTGCATGGACCTTCGTATTGGAAGCGTGACTCAAAGTTTGCATGTGGAGATGGTATGAAGTGGTGCTGCCATCTTTGCCCATAGGTCATTCACAAGCCTACGGCCGCCAGCATCAGTGTGGCCCGAACCCATCATCTCCAATATGCTCATGGTGGACAAGATTAGCCTGGCCGTGTCAAAAGGGTTCCCATAAAAGTCATGCTTCTTGCCAAGAAGACTCCTGCTTTGTGGAGGTGTCCGTTGTGTGCATGGGGCATTCCGGCCACTGAAGAGGGACGGGGATGTGTTGCTATTTACAGACGAGCTCGCCGAGAACATCGCCTTGCTGCCCATCCCAAAGTGAGTGCATTGGAGTGGCAGCGACTGAGATTTCGTCGCCGCAGCACCCCAGCCAGTGGTCAGCGAAAGCGCATTGAGAACCTCAACAGAGCAGTTAGCAAGCGACATGGCACTTTGACTTCCAGTGCTTGGGATCATTTTTCTTTTCCTGTCAGGTGGATCAACAAGTCAAAGAGACGTGTCTTTGGAGTTCGCAAAGCGTGGAGGTGCAGAAAGTGCCATTGGTATTCCTGCACAGCCAAGAGAGTTCAGAAGCATGTGTGCCGCAAGAGCCATCATTTCAATGGATTCAAGCCCGGTGTTGCCCTGGAAAAAAGTCGCAAGATTGCCATGAAGCTGCATCGCAGAGGTGATCCAAGTATCCAATGTTTTTCCATTGAGGAGGTGCACCGGCTTTATGACGCGGCCAAGCAGATTGTGATGGACAAGAAGCTATGACTTTGCGTGTTGGTACCATGAACATTGGGCGGTCCGGCATTTCCAAGATTCCGACCGTTCACGATGCTATTCTTGGCCTTGATGTTGTTTCTTTGCAAGAGGTTGACGTCAATCGTTTTAGTTTGGCTGGTTTTGTACAGCAATGGCAGCGTTTGGATTTTCATATTTTATGTGGCAGAATGACCAAAGATGAGAATTTCTGCCGAGTGGCTTTGCTATCCCGTCGTCCTCTCCGACAGTTGGACTTGGGCGACATGGACTGGCCTGACCGATATGTTGCTGGCATCATCGAATTACAGAACGGTGATCAGTTTCAAAAGGTCATTTTTATTTGCATTTATGGTCATGCTGGTGACACTGTGACTGCAAGGGCGCATGCCCAGCAAATTGTACAGCGGGTAGGGCATTTTGCTCTACCATGGGTCATTGTTGGTGACTTCAATCTTCAGATGCAAGACTTGTCCATGATTTTGGCCAATGGCTGGGCTCACTCGTTGGATGAACCCTTTGAAGCCACTGGTCCTCTTCCTCCCACTTGCACTGGACAACGACGCATTGACTTTGGCCTGGCCCATCGTATGCATGCCACTTCTGTGCAGCATTCCCCTGGAGTTGCTGACCACAGCTTGGTAACATATTCTTTTCCGCTGGATCACACGCAGAGCTTTGTTGCGCCGAAGAGGGCAACGGTGGATGTTGCAACCGCAGCCGAAGTTGCAGAGCGCTGGCATTTGAATGATTTGAGTTCTTTCCATTTTGCCTTGGAACGTGCTGATGTCGATGCTGCATGGAGTGCTCTTTCCAATAGCGCCGAGCGCGCGCTGTGTTCTTCTTTGGATGGTTGCCGACCACGTGCTGATGCGTGGGACCCTCGAGATACAGGTGTACCTCACAAGGCTATTGCTTGGAAGGAATCGTTGGTCTTGCGTCAACTTCGTCGTCTCCAGAGGCGTGTGGTGCAGTTGACAAAGCAGTTGGATGACAGACGCTTGAGGAGCGCCATTATTCGTGGTGCACAGCATGTGCGTGCTTTGTTTCCTTGCCTTGACCTGGATTTTTTGCAGAGCAATTTGACTGAGGACCAGTTTCAAATCAGGTTGAGCAGATTGGTTGAGGACCTGGCGCACCTCATCAACACAAGGGAAGGTTCTGAGCAGCAAGCTCGCTTGGTGTCATGGCGGACTAAAATGGTCAGCGATCCAGTTGCTCATCGGCGGTGGATTAAACACCGAGCCCACTTGAAGGTCATGTGGGAGCAGATGGGTCCTGTGCCGGACAAAACCCCCCACTCGCCATGCCATTCACCGGCAACATGTGCTTGATCAGGCTGTGAAATCTTGGATGCAGGTCTGGAATTCAAAGAGTGCTTCGCCCCCTGACTTTCAATCGTTTCTGGACATGACTCCAAGACCAACGCAGGTTGCTTGTACTCTGGCCATAACGGGCGTGGAGCTTGTGCGTGCTGCAAAAACGATGGTTGGCAAAGCGTGCGGCCCTGACAGTTGGCGTGTTGAAGATCTTCTTCTTTTGCCCATGGAGTGGTGGTCGCTGTTTGCCGATTGGTGCTTGCAAGTGGAAGTGTCCCAACGCGTTGGAGTGAAACCAGAGTTGCATTGATCCCCAAGACAAATGGTGATTCACGTCCCATTAGCCTGGCGGCTGTCAGCTGGAGGATTGGTGCGAAGGCCTTGGTGAAACAATTGAGACTTTGTGGGGTTGCCCATGTTTCATTCGCTGGCCTAGTCGCCCGCCAGATCCGCTGGCTGCACGACTGGGGTGGACATGGCCTCTTGATCTTTCAATGGCCGATACTTGTCATGGACTTACCATGATGGGGGATAGCCGGGATCGCGATGCCAAAGCTCGAACCAGTGTGGGTGGTCCTCATCACAGATTGCACAAGAGTTAACTGTTGTTAGCTGGTCTTGCACCGCCGTTTCTGGAACACATCTTGTGGCATTGCCCACGTTTCGTTCGTTGGCCCAGTCGCCCGCCAGATCCATTGGCTGCTCGATTGGGGTGGACATGGCCGCTTGATGTTTCAGTGGCAGATACATGTCAAAGACTCACCATGATGGGTGACATCTGGGATCGAGATGCTAAATCACGAACCTGTGTTGGGGGTCCTCATCACCGAGTGCACAGGGGTTAACCTTTGTTGATCCCTTCTAGGGGTGCTATCCCGTGCCAGGATGCACTCTTCATTGTCGTGTGTGTGTGGAAGAACGATGGAGTGGAGATCATTGCCAACGACCATGGCAACCGAACCACGGATTTCACGTGTATCACTCCGGAGCAGCGCCAGTGGGAAACCGCCTGCAAGGCGGAGTTGCAGTGTTGGTCCGTAAGAACATTCCATGTCGACTTGCGTGGTCTCACTCCTGTGCAGGAGGAGCGGCACTTGCAGTCTGGATTGGTAACATCTTGTTTTTGTCGGTGTACCTTTCACCTAACGCGGACTCATGTGAAGTCGTAAATGAAACCACAGCTATGTTGTGTTCACTTCCTGCTCACCAAATTTGGGTTACCGGTGCTGATTTCACAATGAAATCCCTTTTCAGCATACCTTGCAATCAAGTGGCTTGAGAATGTATCACCCACAAAACCCAACACGATGGGAAGGTAAAAAAGTTTTAGATTATTACTTGGGAAACGGTTCGCAGTTACTTCAAAATGTACACACACTTGACATGAAGCTTGCTGATCATTTAATCATTGAAGGAGCTTTGGATCTCAGCTTTCGAAAAGCTGAAGCCTTCGAAATTGCTCCAGTACCAGTACTCCCTAGAATCAACGTTGACCTGGATCAATGGGAACAAGCTGTTACTGCTGCGTGGACTAAAATTCACACCCCTATGGATTTTTCTTCCAATGTGAACGAAATTTGGAAAAAAACTCAATGATGAACTTTGGAGTACCTTGGTTGCGGCCTACCTGTGGTACCCATCAGACAAATGTGTTACCCAAACCGTTGACAAAACGTAAACCTACTTCAGTTACTGTTCGAAGAATGCAGTTTTCACACCGTCGAAATGTTGGTTGTTTTGTCACCAATCAACACAGATGCCTCCAAAATCTTCATTCCAGGCTTCTTGAAATTCGACGTCGAGGGTTGTTGTTAACGGAAATTCATGATCAGGATCCTTTGTTGGCAAAGAAAATTTTCCGAAGTCCTCACTTTGACCGCCGTCTTGGTTTGACACGGAACATACAGGCAATCCACGCGCTTCTCCAAGAATGTGAAGATACCGAACGTAAAGTCAGACTTAGCGCATGGTCTGAAAAAATGACTAAGGACAAAGCAGCCCTTGCGTGGTTGCGTCGAAAACCTCAGTTGACTCATGTCAATGTTACAGCAGATGACACAGGCCCTGCGTCCATGTCGGTACAAGATGCCATTGCCAACGTTGCTGTTTTTTGGAGACAGATTTGGCACCGCCCCAAACTTAATGTACATACCGTTTGGCCGGAAATCCAACAGCTTGTCCCAGCTCATGCCCCATCAGTTTGGGCTCCCCTAACCGGAACCCACCTCAAAGCTGCAGCGTATGACAGCCGCAACAGAGCAGCTGGTCTGGACGGCTGGACACCACAAGAACTGATTTTGTTCAACATGGACATGTGGAATGCTGTTGCTGACTTTTATTCCCATTGTCTTGTGGTTGGCATTGTCCCTGAATTTTGGAAGTGTTTCCGACAAGTCCAGCTCGGCAAAGGTGATATCGCACCAACATCTGAGTTTGTGTATGCCAAGCAACTCCGTCCAATTTGTGTCAGTAGTCTTATTTGGAGAGTATGTCAGAAAGCACAGTTTAACCACACGGATGCCCAAACTTGGATTCGCAGTGTTTTTCCTTCTTGTTTCTATGGTGGCATCAAGGGCAGGGGTACTGATGATGCGATCGCTCCCCTTTTGTTCAAAGCCCACCAAGACTGGTTTATTGGAAGTTTGGATTTGGCCAAGGCTTTTGATATGACTTCCCCTCAGCTTGCTGCCAAAATACCCCTCAGATGTGGGATGCCCCAACACATCCTTACTCTTGTTCTTGACGTTTGGGAAAACCAAAAAAGATGGATTCAATATTTGGGACAAAGTTCTCCTGAACCTGAACTTGTCCGTAACAGCTTACCGCAGGGAGACAGCTGGTCAATGTTGACCATGCTTGCGGTTTTATATCCATGTGTTCTTGCTATTCAACATGAATTCCCTGATGTTGACCAGATTTTATATGCAGATGATCGGAGCTTTGCTGCTCCAAGTGCTCAAAGAGTCGTCCAAGTAACCCAACTTTGGGCTCAATGGGCGGCCAAGATGGGTTTGAAAGAAAACGAGGGTAAAGCTCAATTTTGGCACCAGTCCGCTCGAGGTCAACATTCCTTAGCCCCGAAAACCAAATCAAAAAATGACATGAAGATTTTGGGGTGTCATTTTGTGATCAAGCAAAATCGTCAAATCAATGATGGTGAGAAGCGGCGGCTCTCGGAATCTCAAAAAAATTTGCTCCGCACCCGAGCGTTGCCGGGATCCATCTCCCGCCGTTCCAGGTTGGCTCAAATGACCATGTGTCCTAAAGCTGGATGGGGGTGGGTATGTAAGAGACCATCCATTGGAGATAGCAAACCCCTGTTACAAGCTTGCAAGATGCTTTTCAAATGGCCTCAGCATGGCTCTATGGATTTGATTTTATTGATTCAAGGTCATCATTGGGACCTGATTTTGTGGCCACTGCCACGGTGATTCGCATTTGGCACCGGTTTTTCAAAGCCACTCGCCTGAACTGGTGGGCTTGGCAGTTCTCCTTGAATCCCAGGTTGCAATCGTGGTGTGATGAAGGAAAGCATTTGCAGCATTTGCTTCGAGAATCTTGGCGATTTACCCATTTTGAAAATTGGAAGCAATCTAATCGGCGTGATGCTGCTGGTTGTGAGGAAGTTTCTTACGGTCCTGCCAGGATCCGTTTGTTGCACAAACATCAATTTACTTCATATGGGTTTGGTGTGCTGTGCGGGGCTGCCGTAAGCCCTGCCAGATATCATGTCATGCTTCGAGGCCATTCTGATCAAATCCTCCAAGGATGCCCTTGCTGTGGTTTGCCAGCTGCAGAAGCCTCCTGGAAACATGTAGCATGGACATGTCCCTCTATTATTTTCCCCCCTGATATCTATCTTATCCATCGTCATGATATTTTGAATATGAGATTGGGATGGCCTAGCCAAAGTAAAGGTCTTGAGACCGTCAAATGGCTCGCTATGGTGCGAGCTAAGACCCGGAGGACCGTCGCGCCCCCCGCTAGCTCCGTCTCTCCTCCTGAGGGGGGGGCGGAACATCTGAGGCAATGGACCCCTTCACTGTTGCGGTCGTTGTCGTTGTCTATCACCAAATGTAATGTACTACCTTGACCCAGGTGGGTTCTGGATAGGCTAGGTTTTTTCAAGAGTTATATTGAGAGATTTTGAGTTATAAAGAGTTTTAAAATGAGAAAACATGGGAAAACATGGGAAAACATGAGAAAAAATGAGAAAAAGTGAGATTTTGAGAAATTTTGAGGAATTTTGAGGAAAAAAAATTAATAAGGAAACCTAACCAAAGAAGATCACGTCACCCACAAGTTTGTTTTCATTTTCAAATCAAAAAAACATTTTATTTCAGTATTCGTTTTTTTCAGATAGATCCTTTTCAGGATGTGTCTTTCCAGATTATTTCCTTTTCAGGAGGTGTCTTTTCAGACTATATCCTTTTCAAGCCTTGTCTTGTTATACTATATCCTTTTCAACATGTGCCTTTGCTGACTATATCCTCCTCAGAAAAAAACTGAAAGTCGCACTTTTTTTTTCAGTGCAAGCCTGACATGAATTTATGAGACAACTGACATTAAAAGAAAAAAACATATGAGACATCCTGACATAAAAATCTATGAGACACTTGTAGGAACTGTATTTCAACAAGTGTCCTAAACTGTTCTTTTTTGACACCTTTTCACACCATTTCAGGACACTTGATAGGACACCTCATTTTTCAACATAAAACCCAAAAAAAATTAAAGAAATACCTACTATATTGATCTATATTATATAAGATATAGCATTATGCCCTTTATGGTCATTGATGGACATAACATGAAGATTGATAACAACACGTTTGACGCAATGAACCAGTTTATACAAGATGGCATCCAAACCTCATCGGAAGAAGAATCAAGGAGGCAAGACCCCGATTACTTCAAAAAGTATTATCTAAACAAACTCAAAACGCCTTTCACCTGTCCAGACTGTGGGACAACCATATCAAACAATACAAATTTATCAAAACACAAGAACACCAAAAAGTGCAGAAACTCTCAAAACTTTTGTTGAAACATTGACCTCAAACCTCACTCCAAGTCCCCCCAACACTTAACCAGTAAAAAAAAACTTGAAGAACTATTACCTCATTATAGCAAGAAAGAAAAACGGAGAAGAAAAGACAAACAACATTAGATCTTCTTTAAAAATATTCCATTTTGTGTTTTTCAAATTCCACAGTGGTTTTGCTTAATGTACCACCTGTTCGACATGCGCCACCTGTTCGAACAGGTGGTACATTAAGCAAAACCACTGTTGACTTGAAAGTGACAATGTGAAACAAGTCCCAACGTAACTGTAAAAGAAAAAATGACCTATGTAGAAACTTGTGATTTTCATGATTCATAGAATTTTCAGTGCAAGCGTTTGCAACCTGATGTTTTTGCAGACGCGCTGTGAAATGATGATCTTCTGTGCAAACCATTACAAACAGAATACTTTGTAGATAGCAATTATCAGCGCAACCCTGCTATAATTACACTTTTCCTCTATGAGTACTACTTTTCCTCTACGAATACTACTTTTCCTTTACGAGCTTTTCACTGGAAAAAAAAAATCAAAATTTCTCAAAATTTCTCAAAATTTCTCAAAATTTCTCAAAATCTCTCAAAAGCTCTCAAAATCTCAGGCATGGGAACCATTGTAATTTAGAAGTAGTATTGCTGACTGGAATGAAAATTTCTCAAAATTTCTCAAAATCTCTCAAAATCTCTCAAAATCTTTCAAAATCTCTCAAAATCTCTAAAAATCGTTCAAAAAAATCTGAAAAAATCAAATCATCAGTAAAAAGTAAAAACCATATATTCAAATGGTTTGCGCTGATAATTGCTATCTACAAAGTATTCTGCTTGTAATGGCTTGCACAAAAGATGTGAAAAGATCCACCTCTGATGCCAGCAGGCCCACCGCTGATGCCATCAGCAGGCCCCCATGCACAGCAGCCCAAGCACCACGGCTGATGCCAGCAGGCCCACCGCTGATGCCAGCAGGTACAAATTTATTTAGGTCTGGAAATGGATTATTTTTAAAGAAGATCTAATGTCCTTTGTCTTTCCTTCTCCATTTTTCTTTCTTGCTATAATGAGGTAATAGTTCTTCAAGTATTTTTTTTACTGGTTAAGTGATGGGGGGACTTGGAGTGAGGTTTGAGGTCAACGTTTCAACAAAAGCTTTTAGAGTTTCTGCACATTTTGGTGTTCCTGTGTTTTGATAAATTTGTATTGTTTGATATGGTTGTCCCACAGTCTGGACAGGTGAAAGGCGCTTTGAGTTTGTTTAGATAATACTTTTTGAAGTAATCGGGGTCTAAAGTTGTGATATCATAAGTGCCATCATCTCTAGATCTTGATTGCCTCCTTGGTTCTTCTTCCGATGAGGTTTGGATGTCATCTTGTATAAACTGGTTCATTGCGTCAAACGTGTTGTTATCAATCTTCATGTTATGTCCATCAATGACCATAAAGGGCATAATGCTATATCTTATTTAGTAAAGTAGGTATTTCGTTTTTGGGTTTTATGTTGAAAAATGAGGTGTCCTATCAAGTGTCCTGAAATGGTGTGAAAAGGTGTCAAAAAAGAACAGTTTAGGACACTTGTTGAAATACAGTTCCTACAAGTGTCTCATAGATGTTTATGTCAGGATGTATCATATGTTTTTCTTTTTATGTCAGTTGTCTTATAAATTTATGTCAGGTTTGCACTGAAAAAAAGGTGCGACTTTCACTTGTTTCTGAGGAGGATATAGTAAGCAAAGACAAATGTTGAAAAGGATGTAATATGACAAGGCAAGGCTTGAAAAGGATATAGTCTGAAAAGACACCTCCTGAAAAGGAAATAGTCTGGAAAGACACATCCTGAAAAGGATCTATCTGAAAAAACAAATACTGAAATAAACATGGTCTGACTAGACAAATCCTGAAAAGGTTGCATGGTTTGAAGCAAGGACCAGGGTTGTACTTGTGTACTTGTGTGTATTTCTGACACATGTACTTGTGGGTATCTTTGATTTCTGGCAGTTGTCACAGAAATTGGACACATATTCTGACATTTGCCTTTGCCAGGAGGAACGTATTAATAAGAATATCTCAAAAAATCAATCAATCAATATATATATATTACTATTTTTTTAAAATTAGTTAATGCGTTGTTTTATATTTTATATATTACTATTTTTATATTACTGTTTTGTTTTACGTAAACCATCGTTTGGAATGCGTTGTCCTTGCGATATGCAAAACGAAAAGAGAGAAAAACACATGTTTTTTTTCTGACAAAGTTTGTGGTACTCCATTGTGTTCCACCGTGATACTTGGCGTGCAATCTTGAAGAAAAATAAGGAAAAAAAAGGAAACACATGGAAAATTCAGGATTTCAAAAGGCAACAGCGTTGCAGTATCAACTCTATTTTTGTTTTATTTCTGTCTTCAATAACCCAAACCTACCTTATAGAGGACCCAGGGAACCAAGGTAGCACATTACGTTTGGTGAGTCTATATGCATTGTCTATATGCAAAGCATGGCCAAGAAGACCGCCATTGGAATCGACCTGGGACAAGTCGTTGCTGCTCAGTGGCGGCCTATTTGGACAGCAGCTCCTGACACGACCCAGCGCTCCCAACAAAGTGCACCTTTTGCGGATGCCATGACCTGGGTCCAATAATATCCATTTCCACTTCCACCGTGTGATGAATGGACCCCTGAGCTCATCCGATCCCACTGCCGCCAATCAGCGGCGGGGCCCGATGGAGTGTCATTTGCCCAAATCCAAACCTTGGATGATGAACACTTGATCCATCTCGCCGCCCTTTTTCAAGCATTGGATCATGGCGCACCATTACCACAAGCGTGGGGACAGACAGGCCCGCTTGATCAGCATACCAAAGCCAGATCAACCAGGTGAAACCAGACCCTTGACAGTGCTCCCTTGTGTGTATCGCATATGGACAGCTCGGCTTGCTGCAAACTTAGGGGTGTGGAGTGCACAGTGGTTCCCCTCTGAACTCCTTGGAGGATGTGTAGGAGGCTAGCCGGCTGCTCACACCGCCAATTATGTTTCCAGTGCTCTCGCCCAAGCGCATGCCAATCGTGTGCATGCTTCCTGGGCATGCTTCCTGGACATTACTAAATGTTTTGACCACGTATGCCTTGCGAGCCTGGATGGCCTGCTCACAGCCATCAAAGCCCCTATTGCTCTTAAGTCTATCATAAACATGTGGCCACCTTCGTAGGCATGTTTGGTTTAATGGCCGCCCTACCGGCATCATTATCCAACCATCACACATGCGAGGTATTCCCCAAGGTGACCCAATATGTCCGTGGATCTTAAACGCCATTATGGCAGCATGGATTAGGTGCTTAAGTCGTAAACCCAGCATCACTCGAGTCTTCTTGGATGATCGTGCATTGCTAGACCCTGACCCTTGTGTGCTTTCCACAGCTTTGGATGAAACCACTGCGTTTGATTTTAGCTTCGGGCTCATGGTCAATACCCGCAAATCCAGCCGGTTGGTCGTTGGCCAACCACATACCCGTGCCAGAGCCACATCCTGGGAGCAGTTGCCGCTCCACACCAAAGTCAAATATTTAGGTGCCATCATGGATAGCAAAGCTGACTCGAGCATGACATTTGGAACAAAACAAGTGCAGAAAGTATTGCCGTTGCTTCGCACCGTGGTGCACCTGCCACATCGCGACATCCGCATGACCTTGGCTATGAGTTACTTACAAGGCCTCAACAGTGGCGCCACCACTGCGCCAATGACCGATTTAGACTTGGTCCAGACTGCCATAACTCATGCCTTTTGGGGTAGCCATTTAAACCCTAACAATACCATGCGTAGTGTTGCGGTCACGTTGGGCCTTTTTGTGCCTCTTCACCGAGCCTCTCCTCACATCCAATATGTATACCTAACCATTTTAGCCTTAGCGGACCTTGGACATCAAGCACCTTATCTCCTGCACACTCTTTGGGAACAGAGACATCAGTGTTGGAGATCTTTACTTGGATTTTATAATCAGTCATGCGCTGCCTTATTTATTTGCAGTGGACATGGCCCAGTGCTTTCCAACTCCAAAGCACCAACCATCATCATTTCTTTGAACCATCTACACCGAGGTGCAGACAATCATGAAGCCGAACGCCATCGCCTTCGCGATGCATTGCGAGACCACTGGCGGGCCACTTCAGCCCCTTTGCGGCCATGCCTGACTGGTGCCAGTGCAGGCATTGATCGAGATCGGTCCCTGGCGCCTGTCCGCCAAAGCCAGACGTTTAATGATGGAGCCTGTAGCTTTCGATACACTCGTTTCCTAGCCAATGCTCTGTGGAGCCGCAGACGTTTGCATTTTGCCGGGCATGTCAGTGACACCGTCTGCCTGCGATGTCTTAGTGCCCCTGAAACAACTTTGGGATTGTGCAGCCAACAGTGAGGGACGTCGTAAACTTTCAGCTGTTTGGTTTCGCTCTCTCGCTGAGCATCGTTCTCTAATAGGACCATTATTTGATTTCCATATTTTGCCTATCTATTTGAGTAGTGTTGGCCTTGTGCCTAGTGCCTTTGCCTGTGCACCGCACCAATTGACTGCACTGCAACACTATTTTTGCCATGTTTTGCACCTGGGCTCTGGCCCGTGGCACTCCTGAGGTGTTTTAAGTGGCAGCTCCCTGGCGCGCTTTTCCTTTGGTTCAGTCCAGTCCCTATTGATTTCTGGTGGCTGCTCTCCCTCGTATGTCCTACGAGGTATCCCTATCGATCGACCTGGGTACCACCTACAACTGCGTCGGTGTGTGGAAGAAGGCCAAGATGTTGTGCCCCTTTGATGACGGCACGGGCACACATTGTTTGCAAGCAGATGATGAGACAGTAATCCTTTTGACACATTTTGTTTCTCCGCACACCCGGTCGAGGCCAGTGTCCAAACCTTTGCTGCCAGGCTCCCTTCGAGCTCCGCGAGCAACTCCAGCCAAGGATCTCGCCGATTCTTTGCCAGAAGTTCCTCCCACCGTGCCTGACTCACCAGATGGAGAAGATGGCAAAACAAACACCCAAATGGCCTCTCAGGCAGAGCACAATGAAATGGAGCTTGACAAAGAGAAAAAGCGGAAAAGCGATGAAGCTTCCTCCGAAACGCATGCCGCAAAATTGTCCAAAAAGCAGCAGCCTTTTGAACTGGTGGAGTGCGGGGGGGGCGGTGCTTGTGGCTTCAACTCCATTGCTGTTGGCATGGCCTTAAACCATGGCAAAGACAGGAGAAAAACCCTCCAGGAGGCAGCCAGTCTTGGAGCCCAACTCCGTGTGCTTCTGAATACCTACCTTGAAAACAAAGGTTGGTTTGCCAGACACTTCGTTCCGAACCAGGGCACAGAAGTCATATGTGGTGGCCCCATTCCGGCCACCTGGTCAGAATACGTTGAAGCAGTCCTTCGCCCAACCTTCTGGTGCGACGCGCTGTGTTTGCTTGGATTGGCCAGACGTTTAAAGCAAAAGTTTATTGTGGTCATGTACAATCCGACAACTGCACAATGGGAAAAACGAGCAGTTTTGGGTAATTCAAAAAATATCATCGTGCTCGCTTTGCAAGACAATCACTACAGGTTGGTGCTTCCCACAAATGATCACCCTCTGCCAGAGGAATGGATCAGTGCCCCTGAGGATCTGGACCTTGGTTGCATAGATCTCACCGGAGGCATGGCACCTTCACGCGCAAGCTGGATTCCTGCCACGTCTCCTAGCAAAGCACGACCCAGTTGGATTCCCTCAACCTCTTCTGGGGGAACCACTTCTGGGCCAAGTGCTGCACCCAAAAGTGCAAGCACCAAATCCCGGAAAATTATTGGGGCTGCCAAAAATCATTCCTCACTCCCGAAGTTCCCGGCTTCCACCAACAGTCGTGTCTGGTGGAAATGCCCAGCTTGTGACTTTGTTTTGGAATATAAAAATGGCAATCACCTGCACAATCAAGGATTGTATAAACGAAAAAGCAAGCACCTCAAGCTTGTCCATGGGGCACCTGTGACCCCTGCGCCCAAGCAAGATGCTGTTGCCATTGCCAATCAAGTGCAAAGTCGCGTGCAGCAACAAATTCGCACATATTCTGAAAGCATCCCATGGCTTATCAAGCAAAAATGGAAATTTGCTCATAGAATGGCCGGTAAGCCTGCATGGGTTGCGAGCACCAAGTATGGTCGGGACAAACTACTTGTTGACACATGTCTCGACTGCCAAAAGAAGTTCCGCCTGCATGACATTTTTGACTATTTGTGTCCTGGCGTTTCCCAAAATGGCAAGTCTCTATATGCTGAAAAGAAGAAATTGCGCCCTTCCATTCCAGAACGCAAGCGCAAGTTCAAAGAACAGCGCGACAAATTGCGCAAATCAGCGCCCAGTGCCATGCGAGCGGCCCAAATCGCTCGCAAAGACGGATGCAAAAAGCCAAAACACTGGACGAGTGTCAATGCCTGGAAGGTGCAGAGCCAACAGTTGGGTGAAGTGTACGTCCCGGCTTACAGGCGCTCTGACCGTGTCACTGCGAACGAGCAATTTATCCCTGCTGCTCGTATCACTCCAAAGTTGTCGGGGTAGCCTGTGCGGAGGCGCACATTCCGATGGTGCAGCCGCCTCCGAAATTAGGAAATCGACCGTTTGGAATGCCAACATCAGCTCTTGGAACCAGCATCATGAATACTGGCTCCATGAGGCCCAAAAAGCTCACATCCCAGTTCTTTGTTTCAGGAAACACAGATTAGCAACATTTCAGCACCAAGTGCCATCGCTGCCGCACGTAGTGCAGGATACCACATGTGGTTGGTCCCGTGTCCGGCCCATCGCAAAGGTGGCACCGCCATTTTAGTTCAACAGCATTTGCCTGTCACATGCCACCAAGAAGTCAGCAATGGAGGAGGACAGTTTTTGGCGGTGGAAGTTTCCGGGCTTCAGGGTTCTGTGGTTAATATCGCCTCGGTTTATTCCTATTGTAAAGAAACTTCACTTTTTCCCACCATTGAGACTTGGTGTCATACCATCTCCCGTCGACCAGCTCTCTTGATGGGCGATTTCAATGACATCGCGCACAGCCAGATAATGTTACCGACTTTGTCTAAGTATGGTTTTGCCTCTTGCGCCCAGGGTGGTCACTCCCGTAGCTCTAGCCCCATTGATTACATTTTCCACAAAAACTTGTATATTCAAAATGGTGGCGTCCATGCTTCTGTGACAGCCAAAGATCATGACCTCCTTTTTGCCTGTTTACCTTCTGTTTTTCCCTGTCAGATTCCCACCAGCTTTAAGGTTTCCCCTTGTGCGCCCAGGAATTTGGACATTAAGATTCAATCACAGCAGGTTGTTTTTAACGAACCCCAGTGGCGCCAGCTTCTTACAGATTATAAAGTCTCTGAAGCATGGGAAATGTGGTCAAAAACGGTCGAAGCAATGTTGCTTGAAACCAATTCCATCCACCTAGGGTCCTACCGACCGCGGGGCTCCGTGCCTCAGGTCAAGCAAGCCGAAGGACGACGTGGCCAAGGTCAAAGTCATCTCGAGCGAGAAATCCGGCGTGTGATACGTCGATGTCATGAAGCCCACACTCAGTCGCATAGACGAGGAGTCGCCCATGTTGATCCCAGTCTTCACAAGCAGATTCTCAAAGATGTGCATCGACTTGGTGGGGATGTCCAGCTTGTACATAACAGGCTTTGGGGTCCCTTAAATAAGTGGTTAAATGACTTGTTGGATTCCCAACGTAATGTGCAACAGAAATTTGCCCTAAACCAATGGCGGGCTAAAATGCAGAACCTAACGTGTGCAACAGCCTGGTTGAAAGCTAAAGCTCCACATCCCATCGTGCTGACAGCCAATGACCGTTCCATTTCCGGGCCGGCAGCTGTTGTTGAGGAATTGCATGCGTGGTGGTCAAACCTTTGGCTCACCACTTCTCAGCAAAAAGAAACAATGCTGTGTGCAAGCCTGCACGAAGTTTGGATGCGGTCCGGCCGCATGACACATGCACAACCCTTGGAACCCCTTTCGGTTCGGGCGCTTAGAAATGCACTTAAACGCATGAAGGGTAAAGCCACTGGTCTGGATGGGTGGGATGTTGATCTCATCCTGTCTCTCCCGGATTCATGTTTGCAGAAACTTGTGGAGCTTCTCACCACAATTGAAGTGGCTGCCGAATGGCCCCCTGCGTTGCTGTCTTGGAAGATCCGCTTTCTCCCAAAAAAAGATCGGCAGCTGTTGGCATCCCAATACCGGCCAATCGCGGTGGGTTCCATTGTGTATAGAGCTTGGGCTGCTGCCCGGGCCAGCCAGTTTGCAGAGCACTTTTCGTCCTAATTCACTCCTAACCAAGGAGGTGGCAAACGCACCATGGATTGTGCAACCATGGTTTTGCATATGTGCCATGTTCAGGAAACTCAAATGCAATTTGGGGCTTCTTTAGACCTTGCTAAAGCCTTTGATAGTGTTCACACTACCCTAGCAGTTGAAGTCTTGCGGCTTCATGGCTTGCCGGACATTGTTTGCCAGTGTCTCCAACATGCTTGGTCACACCAGACCAGATATCCCGTTGTGCAGGGGTGTGTGGCCCGTGAGCCGGTTCGGTGTCAGGTTTTGCCACAAGGTGATCCATGGTCGCCGTGGGCACTCAGCTTGCTAATTGGCCTCTTAGCACATGAAACCAACATTCAGTCAGGAGTTCAATGTGAACCGTTCTTGTTTTTGGATGACCGCACGCTTTTCACACGAACATTGTCGGCATTGTCTCGTATAATTACTGCTTGGGATCAAGTAGGCTCTACTTTTGGCCTTTCCAATAACCCGGATAAACTACAGGTTTGGACTGTTGCCGATTCTTCCTACGAATGCCTTAATCTCTTCCCAAATAATTTTACTGCACAGCCCCAGGTCTTAGGACACATTTTGCCTGCCACTTCTAATCCAGGTCAAATAGTCCAACCCGAGAGTTCACGTAACCCCCTCATTGTCAAGCAGTGGAAAGAGGTTACCGATATCACAGCACGCATGAGACACTTGCAAGTGTCTGAAGCCTTTCGGTGGAAATTGTGGCGCACGTTGGTGTGCCCTAAACTGGCTTGGGTGTATTCTTTGGGTATATCGCCTTCGGTTGATGAAACTAATCGTTATAAAGCACTTCTTAAACAAACCCTTCAAGGATCCATGTCCAGCACACGTCACGCATTTGACCTTCGTTTAGCTATCCAAACTGGCTACCAGGGGGATCTTCATGCTCTCACAGCACTCACACAGCTTAGGGTCGTGTTTCGCTGGGTCCGACAGAAGCAAGCCATGCTCCGGAATTCAATCAGTAATAGAGTATTTGCGCGCATTGCTCTTATCTTTAATGCTCATGAGATTTCATGGACAGTTCGCCCTTCAGGTTTGTCTTGGAATTGGAGGATGGAAGCACAGCAGTTTAATGTTTTCGACACAAAGCAGGCTGATAAATTTTGGCATTTTACTCGCAGTCACTGGCGATTACAGAGATTGATCAACTGGTTGCAGGAGTCACGCCGAGATTCCCAAATTGCACAATCCACTGACATCGTGCCATGTCTTGAACTTATCCGCACACTTCGAAAGATTCATTTCAAAGTTTCCCAGAATGCTCGAGCAGTCATGCTTGGAGGCTTCACCACGGAGGCCACCATGAAAGCTGAGAGGGCCAGAGAGCTTTCGTGTCGGTATTGTGGTCTAGCTCCGCCGTTTTTAGAACATATCTTGTGGGATTGCCCACATTTCGTTCGTTGGCCCAGTCGCCCGCCAGATCCTTTGGCTGCTCGATTGGGGTGGACATGGCCTCTGGATATTTCAGTGGCTAATGCATGTCAAAGACTCACAATGATGGGTGACATCCGGGATCGCGATGCTAAATCACGAACCAGTGTTGGGGGTCCGCATCACCGAGTGCACAGGGGTTAACCTTGGTTGATTCCTTCTAGGGGTGCTATCCCGTGCCAGGATGCACTCTTCATTGCCGCGTGTGTGGAAGAACGACGGTGTGGAGATCATCGCCAACGACCAGGGCAATCTATTGCTGGTTTTTTCAGTTCTGCACAGTCCTTGACACGGCTGCGACGATTATTCCTGGTGATATCTCTAGGACTAGTTTGTGTGACAGAGTTGCTACCGACCATGTCGAGCTCTGCACAATTTCTTGATCAGCTGAAAAAAATGTTCTTTGAGAGAGCTCTGGATTGGAAACCGTGCGCTCCTTCGACGGTGCCCCAGGGAAGGCTTTTCCTGCTTTTTGCTTGGTCTTTGGGAAAGGTCTGCAGTTGGACTATGCACTCTGTGGAGATCAAACATTTGATTTCCTTCCGCGCTCGAGTTGCCATAATGAGACCGCTGGAGTTCCTACTTTGCAAGACTTCGACGGTGCATGCACTAATTCGGTGCCAATTTGTTGCTAAGAAAAATAAAAAAACAAAAAAAAGAAACATCAAGAAAGAAACGCACACTGGTGCCAAAGAAAAATCAATTCAAGAATCCGAAGACTTAAAATGAAGTGAGTGAGACTGTGGCGCACAATAGTGCCAAAAAAAGATGCATGACTAAAATCCAAAAAAAAGTCAAAAAAAAGACAATTAGTTAGGAGTTTTTACAGGCCTGCTTGGTGGCTGGCTGCTGTCTGCGCTTTTGCTGCTATATGCCCTGCAAATGCTGCGAGAACTTGCTGCACCAGCACCTTGATCGCACCTAAACCTAGCTCACTGAGCTCCCTGGGGCGTGCGGGGCGCCAATGCCATGGCCTCTCAATGCCACCAGTGGCTTGCATGTTACACAATGTTTCCAGCTTGGACTGTGCAAACGGATCCTTGGCGGAGACGTGACAGGAGTATGGGATCCTGGGATTGGAATGGGTTTCTGCTTCAGGATTGCCCTTTCACTTATGGACCCCCAAATCGTGCTTTCCCCTTGAATTTGGTCCCTTTCCTTGGATTATTTGGTTCTCTTGCATGGCTTTGGCTTCGGGAACCACTTACTTGATTGGTAGACCCGGTCCCTAAAGAGCTTGTGGAAGAGACTCTGGAAAACCAAAAGGAGAAAACGCTGTCAAAGAACGAAATATCAAAAATTGAAGTCCCATGTGCAGAGGCAGCATTGTTTCCCTTGTCGTTTTGCCGGCAAAGTCCGGATCCGAAGAGCGAGGCTGAACTGTAGGAGAAAGGCCCAGTCTCGTTACTCCACTAGGGTTTCATACAAATGTGTTGCTGCCAAAGTTTGTTCGCTTAGTTGTGGTGACGTCTTGTCCAACCCTGAATATGTTGCCATGTTGAAGCAGGACAGCCTTGCCGGTGGCGCAGCTCGCTCCGTTTTTCATCGCCGAAAAAAGGACCAGACACAACCTGGTGACTTGAAGATGCAGAATGATGTCACTAGGAATTTGATTTCAACATTAAAGGGCTGCCTTAATCAAGGCATGTCCCTGCAGCAGATTTTGAAAGCTGCCGAAGCTTGGGTGGAGAAACCGTCCAAACTGAAACAAAAGCCAAAACCCAAACGTGCGAAGGGGCGCACCAAGACGCCACACAGCACGGACGACCCGGACATTGGCTATTGGAAAGATCAGAATGGACAGTGGCGCCATATCGACTGGATAAGAATGGTTGGTGGTACTGGTGTGATGCCCAAATTCCAGACCAGCACCGATACCCTAGTTGGAAAGGATATCCTTCTGGTTGCATCCCACGAAACGGTTGGGAGGGTTGACACTTCGATTTCTTCATCAAAAAATGCTTTAAGATCGGGTGAAAAGATTCCTGGTAATGTAGTAGAAGTGTGGAGTGAAGCGGGCAAATCACTGAGTTACAGTCCCTTTGGACCACCGCGCTCTTGTGCGGTGAAGCAATGCAGGTGTCTGACGCCAGGTTGACGCGCCTCACCCTTCAGAGATGCACCTGGGGATCCAAGCTTGAAAATGTTCTGCGGATTGGCAGTCAGCCGGGGCCCTGGATCCCTCAAGCCACGTCCGTGGCCAAAGACAAGGTTCCTCAAGTGACACGTGTTACAATCAGAGTGACTGCGCCTGAAGATGTTCGAATTCACTGCAAGATTCCCCAGTCGATGTAATTCGTGACATGGCCTGGTTGTCAGACGCTTCTGTGAATGAATTTTTGGGGGCCAAATGGAACCAACATACGCACCAAAACGTCACGCAGTTGGAAGCCTATTTCCGTGTGAAACAACTCCACGCTGATAAGTTGAAACAATCCAGCGGCTCTCGCGGATTGTTTATTTCGGCTGTGGAGTCTGGCCCCAGAACTCGGAAACCACCTTCTGGATACCACGCAATGCTGATGAGTATTCGGATGCCTATCTCCAGAGGGCTTTGCTTATAGCCAAAGAAAGGAAACAAAATCTTTTCCACAGATTGGGTAAAGGAAATACTCTCGGATTCGACAGACAAGTAAATGATGTGGACCAACACAAGTCGAGACTCTATGTTGTTTTTGGGATTCCTAGACCATGGGGTAAGGATGATGTTGAAATCTTCTTGGGTGGGAATGGCTGGGCCCAACTTGAAGGGACTAATCGGAAAGGGAAACAATGGTTTGTTCGCGCTTTTTCCCCAAAAGATAGTTCTCAGTCTTCTCACTGGAGGTATGATGTGGAATCTGCGGAAAACCCTCCCTGGTCAATCGATGTTCATTTGGCTGTTCGGGCTGGTAGAAACCCTAACGTGGTTCAAACCCTCAAAGGCCCCAAGAAGATCAAGCCTGAAAAGTTCCAGTCCCAGGAGGGTTCTGAAAGCTTAACCCACAAAGTAGAAACAAGTACCGGTGACCGCCCTCCTGCCCGTCCAGTTCTTCCAAAGGCATCGGCGGGAGAAATCCAGAACAGTCCTAATAAGTCCCGCAGTCCGCGTCGGCAGTCTTCAACCGTTGCACTGACTCAGATAGATTCCGAGGCTTCCCCACAGATGCAGGTTGATGATGAAAAAAAGAAGAAGGTGTCGGTAACGCCAATGATATGGCTCCTATCCCTGATAATCCTTCTAAAAAGATTAAGTTTTGTGAGCCCTTGGATCCCCAGGAAGCGGTTGAACATTTCAATTGGAAGATGATAGATTTCGGGGGAAATGGGGATTGTTTTTACCGTTGTGTTTCTTATTTTGTCGAAAAGAAAGCACCTGTGAAACATGATGGCGCTCCCGACCCAGAGAAAGCCAAAGCCGCTGGTGCCTGGACACGGTCCCGGGCTGTTGAACATGCCAAAAGACACAAAACCAGAATTAGACAGTTGTTTGACTCTGATCGATCATTTGAAGCTTTTCTCAACAAGTCCATGCAACCCACAAGTTGGATCGAAGGAAGGATGATGCAGGCAGTGTCCGAGAGACAATTTCGGGACGGCATATGGACCAGACTTATCGTTGCAGGCAAATTTGATACCAATGGTTATGCTTGTGCTGGTAAAGGTTTGACCCCGATTGTGGTTGTCCTTCGGGATAAGCACTACCAAGTCCTTCAATGCCCTCAAGGTAAACAAATCCCCAACAGTTGGTGGAAGGAAACCCTTTCTGTGGTCATTGATCTTTCTGGTGGTGTAAACACTAGAGCTTCCAGCAATGGAACCCCATCATTGCATTCATTTTCGCCAGTAGGGTCATGCAGAGAAGCAAAATCTCTTGCTGCAGTTCCGCCTCGGAAAAAGTTAGTTCCTCCGCTGGCACGCCGTCCATGCACACTGCTATTAATCTGACTCATGTCAGAAGAATAAATGTGGGAAGCCTCAAACTCCAAGTTGTGGCTGTTTTGCCCTTCTCTCTAATATTTGTGCATCTAGCGAGTCCGCAAGGACGAATAAGGCACGGACACTGGTAGCGACCTCAGAAGCACAACCAAGGAAGCAGGTGACTAGGGTTTGGACTTGTCCGTATTGTTCCATGAGAATTGAGAGTGACAAGCCTGGAAAGGATCTAAGTACCAAAAGGAGAAATCATTTAAACTATAGACATAAGGGTCTCCATCGTGACAAAGAAGACACCATCTCGTCTAGGACCATTGCAATTGCCCCCAGTAAGGAGTTGCCCCTTCAGGAACGGGGTTGGACATGTGGTTTGTGTAACAAAGGTTTACCGCCCCTGCCCAGACACCAAAGGGAGCACAGCATCAATACGCATTACAAAACCCAGCACCCCCGCGCTAAGTACAATTTTCGATCTGCATTGAAGCAACGCTGGAAAAATGGAAGCAGGCCCCTGAAAGTGACCCAATTCTTACTGAAGCCAGGGAAAAAGGAACCAAGACTTTCTGGCAAACCATGGACAAAAAACGTAAAGAGAGTAATGGTCATACCCTGATCTTCTTCAAACCCGATTGGCCCACCCTTCCGGTTCGCAGTGATGCCAAGAAAGCCCGCAGCTCCCCCCGACGAGGTAGGGCTTGTACTTGTACTGCCTGCTACCGCACCGCCTTCCGAGGAAACCTCCCAAAAGGTCAGTGTCGAGGTACGGCAGACGCCATTTTTCAAGGTACAAAAAATGTGTGGGATAGAGTCCAATCTTCCCCTGTCACCCTTCAGAGGCTCTTGGCTTGTTGGGGTATGTCAAAACAGGAAGCTGAACAAAAACTGTTCAATCGAACCACCCTAAAGAAGGGCAAATCGCAAGTTGTTTCTAGCGGTCAAAAGACTAGAGACGAAGTTATTGACACCAAGATCAGCGGACACTCAATCGTTCGATTCCAACCATACTGGGAAACCATTCCTCGAACCCAAAATGAAATTCCCTGTAGGAACACCCGTGGTTTTACTTGCGCCAGGTGTTGGAGGTTTGCCCTGACCGGGGATTTTGTAGCAAGGTTAGGTACAAACAAATGTGACAAACATTTTTCACCCTCCACGCCCACCTTGAAAGCTTGGCAACGTGACCTACAATCCCCGCAAACGCTTAGCACTGTGCTGAACCTTGGGATATTTCCAAGTCGCAGGCAGAAAGCAAATTTGGTCATTATTCTCAGTCCCCTCAGCCCACTAAACGGTCTCGTACAACCTCGCCACAACCTCCTCTTGCTGCTACACGCCCATTGTCTGTGAAGAGTTTAAAGCTGTCATTTGGAGGTTACGATGGAGTGAGAGTAGGAGAGGCCGCCCATCCAGGTCCCAGACACGCTCGTAGGCTGCACCGCAGCATAGCGCAGACCCCCAAATCCCATCTCGAGCGTGCTCATCCCATTGACCTTCACAAGGCTATTGAAGTGAACGAAGAGCATTCTGCCAGCGGCCAGAAAGTTCATACTTTGGGTCTGCGGCAATTTCAGAAGGCTTGTATTTTCAAAAAATCACCAAGGAGGAGAAGAAGGTTGCGTATTTTCAATGCCCTTATTGCTGCAAAGGTCTCTTGAATCGTCCTGATGGCAACAGACCTACCAATTGGCTCATCAAGAAATCCAAGCTCCACCACTTGAAGACTTGCAAAAAAATCCCCAAGGATTTTGTTGCCAACAACCTCAAGCGCTACAAAGGTGACGCAATGATCAAACAGACGGGGAACTGGACCCTTTTTCAAAGCCGGAGGAGGGAAACGTTTGTGAAGTCAGCAGTCAAACGAGCAGCTAAAAAAGGACATGATGCTTTTGAGCTAAAGTGCAAGATCCCTTTTAGCGCGGCCAAAGCCGCCAGTTCCAAGAAACGAGTTGTTTTATGGTGCAGAAAAGGCAGAAGGACTACGCTTCACAAGGGGTGGGAAAAATGTGTTGGCCAAGTTGAAGAGGGGTCCGTGACCCCTGGTATCCACTGGTGGGAGGCCATGCGCCGTGCAAATGGATGGAAGAAGACCCTTCAAGCCACTGAGACCGACGATGTCACTGCGCGGATTTTGAAGAAGAGTGAGCGAGCTAGAGTGAAGAAGAGTGCATTGAAACTCTTGCGCCCGCGCAGGGGTTGCCTGACCTGCCTGGTGGCGCCAAATTCCCTTGGCAAAAGGTTCCTTGCTTGTCCATCAATGTAGGTGGTTTGTCTGGGTTCTGGAGGGTCCTTCGCATGCTTGAAGAGATTGAATTTGAGGATCGCCCTGGCGTTATCTGTTTTCAGGAAGCTAACATGGGTTGGGAAGATTGGCGAGCTGTCTGCGGTAAGTGCAATTGTTTGGGCTTTAAGCCTTTATCTGCCAAAGTGCCTTCCAAAGAGCAAAGGTCCAGCACAGTTGTCACTTTGGCCAAGAACATTTTGAATTCTTTGCTCATTGGTTCCTACACGATCAGTGAAGGGGCGGCGTTGTCGGTCAGTGTGAACAACCTGTTGGTCACCAACGTGTATTCGAGACCCTCCTATGGTTCTCAACTTGAAAACATGGCAAAGCTTCAGGAAGTTGTTATCTCTCATAGCTGGAATGGGAAGATGCTGATGGTAGATGATTGGAATGAATTTTTTGAAGAATCTTCTTCGATGATGGGTGCTTCCTTTGGTTTGCGTCCTTCTTTTCTTGACTCTGACACAACACGCTGGAAGGGATGCCACGTCATTGACTATGTTTTGCACAATTTGGAGGAACAGTGTGTTTCTTCGATCGCTTGCCGCTCTGAGGTCGCCAGCGACCATAAAATCCTGGAATTCTGTTTTTGCGCTCTCTTTCAAGAAAGCGCATAATTTTAGGATGCCGGCTTGGTGCTCCTTTCAGACCTGGAGTTCCCTTTTTGAGGAGGCATGGAATTTTGGAGAATCAGAAGGCTGGAGTGAAGTTTGCTGGCATTTGGAGAAAGAATCCGAACATATCCACGAACAAGATTCAGATCAGTTTATGGTGGATTACATCTGGAAACTGTACAATTTGCGTGTGCTCTGACCTTTCAGTCGTGCATATTTCCTTACCCTTTGGGCATGCCATCAGACTTTGATCCGGTATTTGAGATGCGTCGTGTTCAGCATCTTGCCAATCATGTCCTCTTTGTGAGAGCGGGTGCCTCTGTCTCTTGTCATAGGTCGTTTCCTGCGTGTCCTGTTTCTAGATCTTGCTTGTGGAGAAAAACCTCTAACAGACTGGGCAAAGCGTTTGAGCTTCTTCGGCTTCACGACCCTGGCAGGTTTGGTTCTACTGCGAGCAATTTGACTCGCAAATTATTTGGGGGAGATGGCAATTCTTTCCCGGAGCCAAATTTGATTTGTGACCTCATTCAACAAACTGAGAGGGACCAACCTGCAATTTCCTATAATGGGATCATGTCGGAGAACAAGGGCGAAGCTCTTTGCATGCTGCAGCAACACTGGAATGATTTACATGATCGTGTTTCTTGGAGCACACACACACACAAGGAGAACAAAGTTGTCAAGGAGATCACTTGCTGCCTCAAAGACAAGCTGAAACATGCTAAGTGGGATCCTCAAAGACCTTCTTGGAAGTCTTTCCAAAAAACCCTGCGTGCTGCTTCTGGATCTTCTGGAATTGATCAGTGGACAGCTGATGAGCTTAAAGTTATTTCTCACTGCGACTTGGCCACTCAAGCAGCTTGGAATGCTATGATGACCTGGGAAGAGACAGGTCTGACACCGGAGACCATCAAAGAGGTTCGCATTGTCTATGTTCCCAAGGACAATGAGCAGCCCACCTGTGAACCTAAGAAAATGAGACCAATTAGTGTTTTTTCTTTTTGGTGGAGGAGAACTAAAAGCTAGCGCTATTCAACCTCTGAAGGATCTTTTTCCTAGTGGATACTGCTGCGGTCTTCCGGGCCAACCGGCAGCCGAGACGCTTGCTGCTGTTGCTGATCAACTTTATAAATCTTGGGGTCATGGAGCTAGTTTAGATTTCAGTCATGCCTTTCAGACAATCAAAATTGCGGTTCTTGAGCGCTGCTGACGTGAGGTTTTGCCGCCTCTTCTGAACAGCTGGGCTCGGCGTTTGGCGCATCGGGGCAGCCGGAAAAACAATCAAAAATAAAGGGCGCCAACAAGATTGCGTCATTTCCCAAAAATTAAATTGGTTCTACAAACAACCGGAACTTGACTTCTTTATCTACTGGATCTTCCGTTGATTCCCGCGGATCATTTTTTTTCACGGACAAAAATCCAAACAATTGATTGCATTGATTGGTTGAGCAATTTTTTCGTCAACGCATTCCAAAACAGTGTTATCAGTGATTGGGACAACAAAATCAACAAACCCTAAACAACTCAGACCATCCCAGACTTTCGGCTACACCTCGGTCTTCATATCCGGCATCGCCGGCGCATCGTCCGCCTGGAGAGGGCATCTGAATGCATCTGCAACGGGATCCGAGGAAATGGATGATTATGATATTTTCATTAAAACATGCATGAACCTTGAGCCCAGGTATTACCCCAGAGAACCAAAGCACGGAGCAAGCTCAGAGACCCGCAAACCATGCAAAACTGGCTACATCGGTGGACTTCAAGGGGGCTCCCTTTGTGGATGCAAAAATGGTTCAAATACAACAATTCTTGAATAGGGGTTAAAAAAAACAACTGGCCTAAAGTTTTGGAATTTTAGTGCTTATGGTTGGCCCGGTTAAACCTGCCACCCCCCCAGGATCCGCAGGTCAACAAGCATCTCATACAAATCTGGGACCTTGGGACCAGGTATTTAACCCCAGAGGATCTAGAAGGGATTGACCCAAAGAACATGTGGATCTGTTTGCTTCTCTTCGGGCACTGTTCTCAGGCCCAAGATTTTCAACCCTTGCCTTCTCTTCAGCTGCTTGTCCCTTTCCATCTGCCTGGGCACGGGGCAGCCGGAAAAACAATCAAAAATAAAGGGCGCCAACAAGATTGCGTCATTTCCCAAAAATTAAATTGGTTCTACAAACAGCCGGAACTTGGCTTCTCTATCTACTGGATCTTCCGTTGATTCCCACAGATCAATTTTTTTCACGGACAAAAATCCAAACAATTAATTGCATTGATTGGTTGAGCAATTTGTTCGTCAACGCGTTCCAAAATAGTGTTATCAGTGATTGGGACAACAAAATCAACAAACCCTAAACAAGTCAAACCATCCCAGACTTTTGGCTACACCTCGGTCTTCATATCCAGCATCGCCGGCGCATCGTCCACCTGGAGAGGGCATCTGAGTGCATCTGCAATGGGATCCGAGGAAATGGATGATTATGATGTTTTCACTAGACCATGCATGAACCTTGGGCCCAGGTATTTGCCCCGGAGAATCAAAGCACGGAGCAAGCTCAGAGACCCGCAAACCATGCAAAACTGGCTACATCGGTCGACTTCAAGGGGGCTCCCTTTGTGGATGCAAAAATGGTTCAAAAACATCAGTTTTAAATAAGGGTTTTAATAGAGAACAACTGGCCTGAATTTTTGGAATTTTAGTGCTTATGGTTGGCCCGGTTAAACCTGCCACCTCCCCCAGGATCCGCAGGTCAACAAGCATATCACACAAATCTGGGACCTTGGGACCAGGTATTTAACATGTGGGTCTGTTTTGTTCTCTTCGGGGACTGTTCTCAGACCCTAGATTTTCAACCCTTGCCTTCTCTTCAACTGCTTGTCCCTTTTTATCTGCCTGGGCATGGGGCAGCCGGAAAAACAATCAAAAATTGAGGGCGCCAACAAGATTGCGTCATTTCCCAAAAAATTCAATTGGTTATACAAACAGCCGGAACTTGGCTTCTCTATCTACTGGATCTTCCGTTGATTCCCGCGGATCATTTTTTTCACGGACAAAAATCCAAACAATTAATTGCATTGATTGGTTGAGCAATTTGTTCGTCAACGCGTTCCAAAATAGTGTTATCAGTGATTGGGACAACAAAATCAACAAACCCTAAACAAGTCAAACCATCCCAGACTTTTGGCTACACCTCGGTCTTCATATCCAGCATCACCGGCGCATCGTCCACCTGGAGAGGGCATCTGAGTGCATCTGCAATGGGATCCGAGGAAATTGATGATTATGATGTTTTCACTAGACCATGCATGAACCTTGGGCCCAGGTATTTACCCCGGAGAACCAAAGCACGGAGCAAGCTCAGAGACCCGCAAGCCATGCAAAACTGGCTGCATCGGTGGACTTCAAGGGGACCCCCTTTGTGGATGCAAAAATGGTTCAAATACAACAATTCTTGAATAAGGGTTTAAAAAAAAACAACTGGCCTAAAGTTTTGGAATTTTAGTGCTTATGGTTGGCCCGGTTAAACCTGCCACCTCCCCCAGGATCCGCAGGTCAACAAGCATATCGCACAAATCTGGGACCTTGGGACCAGGTATTTAACCCCAGAGGATCTAGAAGGGATTGACCCAAAGAACATGTGGATCTGTTTGCTTCTCTTCGGGCACTGTTCTCAGACCCCAGATTTTCAACCCTTGCCTTCTCTTCAACTGCTTGTCCCTTTCCATCTGCCTGGGCACGGGGCAGCCGGAAAAACAATCAAAATAAAGGGCGCCAACAAGATTGCGTCATTTCCCAAAAATTAAATTGGTTCTACAAACAACCGGAACTTGACTTCTTTATCTACTGGACCTTCCGTTGATTCCCGCGGATCAATTTTTTTCACAGACAAAAATCCAAACAATTAATTGCATTGATTGGTTGAGCCATTGTTTCGTCAACGCGTTCCAAAATAGTGTTGTCAGTGATTGGGAAAACGAAATCAACAAAACCTAAACAAGTCAAACCATCCCAGACTTTCGGATACACCTCGGTCTTCTTATCCGGCATAGCCGGCGCATCGTCCACCTGGAGAGGGCATCTGAGTGCATCTGCAACGGGATCCGAGGAAATGGATGATTATGATGTTTTCACTAGACCATGCATGAACCTTGGGCCCAGGTATTTACCCCGGAGAACCAAAGCACGGAGCAAGCTCAGAGACCCGCAAACCATGCAAAACTGGCTACATCGGTGGACTTCAAGGGGACCCCCTTTGTGGATGCAAGAATGGTTCAAAACAACAATTCTTGAATACGGGTTTTAATGAAAGAACAACTGGCCTGAATTTTTGGAATTTTAGTGCTTATGGTTGGCCCGGTTAAACCTGCCACCTCCCCCAGGATCCGCAGGTCAACAAGCATATCACACAAATCTAGAAGGGATTGACCCAAAGAACGTGTGGATCTATTTGGTTCCCTTCGGGCACTGTTCTCAGACCCAAGTTTTTCAACCCTTGCCTTCTCTTCAACTGCTTGTCCCTTTCCATCTGCCTGGGTACGGGGCAAAGAGAGGGCGCCAACAAGATTGCGTCATTTCCCCAAAATTAGATAGATTATACAACTAATCGAAAGTCTTCCATAGGTTTTCACAGGCAATCGGTCATACATATTTTCATTAGTGGAGTCATTTGTTTGTCAATGAATTCGGAAACTTTCAACTACACCCCGGTCTTCTGATCCACCTGTGTCGCTGCCGCATCGTCCACCTATAGTTTTGTCAAGAGCTTGGATTGACCGTTAATGGAGCGTGGTCAAGTTATTAAAAAACTGTTGGGCTTGTGAATCTTGGGCTGAAGGTTTTAAGCATCATATGCCTAAGTAAGCTGTTTTATGTTGAAATGTTGGGACCCAGGTTTTCACCTCTAGGTTAGCGTTAAACCTCAAAATTGCGATTATGTTAGGCCAAGGTTTTCAACCCTGCCTTAAAAACCTTGGGCCCTAGGAATGCATCCACTTAGAGGTGGCTGAATACCCCGTCACTAGGCTAAGGTGCACACCCAAGCCCTATATCCGGGGTTATTAGTCTCTTCTCTGCCATACGCTTCGGTTTGCGTCAGTTAAAAAATCACCTGACCACCGAGGATGGAATCTTTGAGGTGAAGGCCACCGCTGGTGACACCCACTTGGGTGGTGAAGACTTCGACAACCGAGTTGTGGATTTCTGCATGCAGGACTTCAAGCGAAAGAATCGTGGCAAGGACATGACAGGCAACCAGCGTGCCATCCGACGCTTGCGCACTCAGTGCGAGCGCGCCAAGCGCACTTTGTGTTTTCACACAGGCAACCATTGAAATCGATTCCTTGTTCGAGGGCATCGATTACTCGTGCAGCTTATCCAGGGCACGATTTGAGGAGCTGTGCATGGACTACTTCCGCAACTCCATGGGTCCTGTGGAGAAGTGCTTGAAGGATTCTGGCATCGACAAGAAGAGTGTCCATGATGTGGTTCTGGTGGGTGGTTCCACCCGTATTCCCAAGGTGCAGTCTATGATCCAGGAGTTCTTCAATGGCAAAGAGCCCAACAAGTCCATCAACCCAGATGAGGCCGTGGCTTATGGTGCCGCTGTGCAGGCTGCAATTCTCACTGGTGAGGGCTCTGCTGGTGGCGTGATGACCAAGTTGATCGAGCGCAACACCACCATCCCAACCAAGAAGGCACAGACGTTCACTACCTATGCGGACAACCAGCCTGGTGTCTTGATCCAGGTCTTTGAGGGAGAGCGTGCCATGACCAAGGACAACAACTTGCTTGGCAAGTTCCACTTGGATGGCATTCCCCCAGCCCCTCGTGGCGTGCCGCAGATCGAGGTCACCTATGACATTGATGCCAATGGCATTTTGAATGTCAGTGCCTCTGACAAGTCCACCGGAAAATCGAACCAGATTACCATCACCAACGAAAAGGGCCGACTGTCGCAGTCAGAAATTGACCGCATGAGGTCTGCGCCCCTCACTGCATATGGCCCAGAATCTTTGTCACTGTCATGGAGACGTGTACAGCTCAGGGCGTCAGTGCCTCTTCAGAGTGATTTTGGAATTCGACCATTTTGGGGCTCAGCCCATACAAACCTACATATGCTTTAAGCGAAAAAGGGCAAGCGGTGCTTTGCACCTTGTCAACTGCATGTGTTCTGACTTGCGTTGTTTTGTCTGATCCATGTAAGTGTAAGTTTGGATTCAAACTCCTGCGTTTGTGCGCTCCAAAGATATCTTGCACATGTGTAAGCATCATGAGATGTGTTCGCATCTACTGAAACATAAGCTTCTCCCACATACCAGGCTGGTTGACCAGACTCAGATCACATGATTCACATGATCTCTTTGTGTCGTGGATTCCGGTCTTCCTCTTGTAGTACTCTTGTAGGTAACACCGCAGAAGACGCGTGACAGTTACTTGCGCCGAGGACTCCAGAAATCCGGTACTACATGGCATCACAGCCAGTGACCAAGCTGTGCAAAGGAGGGGGAAGTTGTTTCAATATCAGCTTATGTGGATCGGGAGAAATGCAGATATCAACTTGACGGCAGGGACAATATTTGGAGAGAGAAGCATTGCATGTTTCTTATGTGCACGCCTTTCTTGTGATGTCCCGGTGTTTGTGCTGCTCGAGCTGACAACTGACTCTTAGTCTCTTAGTAATCTCATTCTTTTTTCATTTTTGGAGCTCAATTCATCATGGCCAAGAAGACCGCGATTGGTATCGATCTTGGAACCACCTACAGTTCCTTGGCTCGACTCTCGGGAAGCTTGAGGGTTCTTCCCACATCTGCACCAGTTTGTAAAGGAGTTTCGGGGCAGCTTGATTTATGTATCTTCATTGATTGTTTCTACATGTTTCTACATCTTTTCCACGTTTTTACATGGTTTTACTGGGACCAGGTTGCGTCGGTGTGTGGAAGAACGACGGAGTGGAGATCATTGCCAACGACCAGGGCAACCGAACCACTCCATCTTATGTGGCTTTTACAGACACCGAGCGACTTATTGGTGATGCCGCCAAGAATCAGGTGGCACGCAATCCTGAGAACACTGCCGCTTGTTTGACAACACTTGGCAGATCATTCTTGGCAACTGCAATGTAAAAGACGACTTGGGACATTGCACGACTGCGGATGATCATGATGGGCCATGATAGACTGCACATGTCACGACCAACCGTTGGGCAATGTTGGGCAATGATATGTCAGGAAACGGTCTTGTTTACATTTTTTAAGAACGGCCTCCTTTTTTGACAGTTGCTTGATTGCCTACAGAAACAGGTTGAACGATTTCCCAAAGTGAATCTTTCATGTTTCGGTTCTGAGAGCTGTGTGCAAGCCATCCCAAGGTCTTTGATGCAAAGCGCTTGATTGGCCGCAAGTTTGCGGACCCCATCGTGCAGGCTGACATCAAGCTGTGGCCTTTCAAGTGCGTAGCTGGCCAGGGTGACAAGCCCATGATCATCGTCAACGCTCAAGGGGAGGCGAGAAGAAAACCCACAAAGACCGACAAACCCCATTATATTCTATATTTGATGTAATATTTGATATATTTTACAGAGGTCATCTTCACATATCGGCTGGGGTCGGCGTTTTTTTATTTGTTGAAGAGAGCAGTTTGTCATGATGTCATCATTGATGCGTTGCTTGTGACATGTCATATGTGAATATGCGGTTTTGTGTTTCAATTTTCAACTCGGGATGGACATGCGGACATGGCTGAGCCTTTTCTTTCACGTAGCCTCAGGAGAAGAAGTTCCACCCTGAAGAGATCTCTTCCATGATTTTGTTGAAGATGAAGGAGACCGCTGAGGCATACTTGGGTACCAAGGTGAATGACGCAGTGGTTACTCCGACGTGGTGTCATGGTGGCAAGTGGCATGACGAGGGCGCACCTCGTTCTATCAATGATTTGGTCCTTGCGAACTCCTTAGCTCTCAACATGGTGGAGTCCTTTGAGCACAAAACTGATTGGAACAAGGCATTGCAGCCTTGCCGTTTGGGTGAACCGCGACCTGACCATGTTCCTCTGCACGTTGTGTTGGCTTCTTCACATATGGTGGATGCAAAGGTTTCCATTTTGCCTCTGGCCCAAGCCAGCCCTCCAGTGGATCAGTGGCCGGCCATGCCTTTGGGTGATGAGAACGCGTTGTCTGCCGAGGTATGGTCTCAGTTTTCCAGTATTTTTCAGCAGCAGCTAGTTTCAGATGTGGATGACGCCTATTCTACATGGTGTCAAGCAGCTACAGCATACCTTGGCCGCCGGCTTGGCCGTTCTTTCCCTCCTCGGGGGCAACTCGCAAAGCCACAGCTTGTGCCAGCTATGGGCACATGCAGCTACAAAGGTCCTGCGGAACCACACAGGCTCCGTCAAGGGCGTCGTGCAGCGCGGTGCCTGCGCGAATGTTTGACTCTGATGTGCAGGGCTGCCACCACACCGTGGTCTATTGCGGACCGTATCCGCTTTGAAGCAACTTGGGAACGCAGCAGAACCTTGGGGGGACGCCTCCTACAACATGCTTGGCCGGAACAGCCCACTGCAGTTGATATCCAGGAAGCCTTGGGTCAACTTGAGATGGAAATCGATGCACAGCTTCATGATATTATTTCTACGCGACAACAACAGTGGCGACATATGGTGCATGACTCTGACATTGCTTCCTCCAAGGGTTTGTTTGATCTCTTGCGGCCGTCTCGCGCTCTTGGTTTGCAATCAGTGCAGGTGAATGGTGCTCCTTGTTTTGATCTCAATGTGATACTGGATAAAGTACAGGAAGCATGGGCTCACATTTTTGACCGGTCTTCCGCCCCGGCCCCTGCGGCCTTCCTGCAGGAATATGCAGCTGAGATCCGTGCTCGTGCAGCGCCCTGTGAGTTGCCTTCTCTCACCGGCGCTGACCTGATGCGACAGGCAAAGCAACGTTCTGGAAGTGCGGTAGGTGGTTTGGACAGTTGGCGAACCTATGAGCTTCAACAACTTCCCATTGTTTTCTGGGATGCAATGGCAACACTCCTGCAGTCTATTGAAGCCTCAGGTGTGTGGCCACAGTCTATGCTTCATGTGAATGTGACCATGCTTAGCAAAGGGGAGGGCACTGAACCGGGCAAGCTGCGCCCGATCAGTTGTGCGGCCGTGTTGCGTGCCGTTTGGGCCAGTCTGCGTTTTCGACAGATCAAACCGTGGCTTCAGAGGGTTTGTCCTCCTTCCGTTTTTGGGGAGCCGCTTGAACAAGCTCTGGAAATGTCCTTGGCCCATGAAGAAGCACTCCTGGGATTAGCCCCGGCTCTAAGCACAATGTTTTTCGACAAGACCAAATGTTTCGACAAATTGGTTCTTCCGGTTGTGTCCAGCGTATGGTCTGCATTGGGAGGCCCCCCAGGGGTTATCCTGGCTCTCGAAGGTTTCTATGGCTCCTTGACCCGCAGGTTCAAGATCAATGGTGTTGTTGGTGCAGCATGGCAGTCCAGTGCTCCTCTCCAAGGTTGTGCCCTCTCAGTAGCGATGATTCATTTGCTCATGGGTATTTGGTGTCAGCGTAACGAGTCCCTGGGTCTTCGCCCGCGGGCATACTTTGACGACAGCAGAGTCAGTTTCTCTGCGTCAGATGGTCAGGCGGCTACCATAGCTTGGCAAGAGGTGCAACGATTTGATGAGGTCAGCGGTCAACTCACCAATACTCGTAAATCTTTTGCAGTGGTGCCAGCACCACGTTTTGCTCCACAAGTGGCTGCAGCCACCGGCAATGCTTTAGAGGTGAAGGCGCAAGCCAAAGTTCTTGGACATCAAACAGTTGGTGGCAAACTCAGGAGGGTTGCGGTATCTCATGACCGTGCTGACTCTTGTGCGGCTACCTTGCAGACAGTACGTGCCACTGGCATTCCGCCTCGCCAAGCAGAAAGGTACATTGCAGCTAAGGCTATGAAGCAGTTTCTCTATGGATGTGAAATTGGTCGGCCTGGTGCCAATGACATGCAGCAGGTTCGTTGGGCAGTCACTGCAGCATTGTGGACTTCTACTAGACTTCAACGCAACCCAGAAGTTCTTGTCACGCTCCTGCGAAAGGGTCATTTGGTCGACCCCCTCCAAGCAGTGCCCTTTCAGACCGTGCTTGGCCTTCGTCGACTCTTTCTGAAGCGGCCTGACCTGTATGCCCGCGCTTTGCAGATCTGGCCTAGTTGTATCTCAGGCCAGGCTCACCTGGCAGGACCACTGCGCAATTTGGCAACACTTTTGGCTGACATGCAGCTCACTTGGATTGATTTTGAAACTGTTGAGACCCGACAAGGTCGTCGGTTTTGCTTGTGGAAGTGCAGTGGCGCTTTCCTTGCTCACAGGCTCCGTGAGGAGCTCAAATGGAGCAGGTGGCAGCATGTCCACCGTAAAGATATGGAAGGCATCCAAGCAGAACGGGGAGTGAACCTTTTTGCTTCAACCTTTTTGTTGCGTGGTGGTCTTTCTCGCCGCGATGTGGACAGCCTTTTTCCTGGATGCCGCCAACAGGTGGCTCGCTTATGTGGTGGTTCGCTCTCCATGTACATGCATGGTCTGTTGGAAGGTATCCTTGCCGGCGCAGCTGTGGCACGGGTTCAGCTAGAGAAAATGCACAAGGTTCCTAGCGCGACTTGCATTCACTGCTCTTTGAACGTTGATGAAACCAAAGTACACATGTTTTGGGAGTGCCCTGCTCGGCAGTTTATCCGGGATGCCACCATCGGCAAGTTTTGCCCCGGTGTATTGGACAGGCACCCCTTGCCAGTAGAGCAGGAGTGTGGGATCACCTTAAACCCTGAGTGGCTGCTGGAAGAGTTCTTGGCTTTGGAGAGCATGCAACAACAATCTCCTCCCAGTATTTCTTGGGAAGAGGCGGCGCCGCAAGTCCTTCAGGATGACCGCGGAGTTTTGGTGTGGACTGATGGCAGTACCGCTCATGGTGCCATCCCGGAGTTGGTACGCAGCGGTTTGGGTATATACTACAATGACAGTGTCGCTTTAAATTTTCATGCTGCCTTGGCTGGTCCCCTGCAAACCAACAACCGTGCAGAGCTTTTGGCAGTTGTGCTTGCAGCAGAACAGGGCGTTGGGTGGAAGCAATCCTTGGTCATTCACAGTGACTCTGCTTGGGTCCTCAACAGAGCACGTACTCTTAGTGGTATCCAGCACATCCCACTCACCTGGGAACACTCTGACTTGTGGCAGCGCTTGTGGCGTGCATGCAACGACATTGACATCACCTTCGTTTTTGTCCCGTCGCATTTGACTGCCGCGGATGCGGAACAATATGGCTTGACTCCTTTAGTGATACAGGGCAACAATGAAGCTGACAAACTGGCTAAACGTGGGGAGCAACTCCATCATCACCCCACTTGGCATGGTCGCATTCGACAGTTTGGGCAACTTTTGCGCGATACCGTGTGGTTACAGGTTTGCATGATGTTTGTTTGCTTGGCTCGCAATCATACAGAGGTACAGGGGTCTGCTGCCAACACCTCTCCTGCCCCACTGCCCATGAACCACGGTTGGTTGCAATTGAAAGAACGTTTACATCGCGAACTACAACTCCATCCTACAGGTGGTCGGCGATTTTGCCACAAACGGCCCCCTGTGGGCCTTGATGGCGAAGCTGTCCTTGAGGTAGAAGCTCCACAGTCTGCTGCAGCCAGCTCTCGCCAACGGCCTGTAGCCGTACACGCTGTGCGCCATCCGCCTCGGCTTGGCCCAGCAGTGAGCATGGAATGGCAACTGGTGCCTAAGCCATGGCTCCTTGTCCAACGTGCTCCTGGTCAACATCGCCGTGTTGGCAATGATGGTATGTTCATTCAGATTGGTGTCAAGCCATCCTTGTTGCCTGCCATGGAGTGGTATCTGGGCCACCTCCAGTGGCCAGAAGAAGGTCGCAGCCAGGCCATCACCTTTTGTGAACTTGCAATTGACTTTGAGATCGCGACAGGGGTTCTTCTGGAGATGCCAAAGGCTGACAAGGCCAACCAACTTGGCCAGCGTGCAAGGGCTTTTGCATCAGCTGCTTCAGCTATTGGCCGCTACGTTGAGCGTCGCCCTTGGCCATGTGGCATTACTTCTCAAACGGTCAACAACCTGCAGAACACGTGGGGTCTCCCTCGTTGCGCTGGTCTCCCATGGAGACCCCTATTGCTTCATCCTGATGCTGTGGAAACCTTTTTCAATGCTGCTGGTAATGTGATCTATGCTTCAGATGCGGATTTCTTTAACCAAGAACCTCCTCTTTTGGTCCCATCCCGTGAGTCTTTTTGGGATGAGCAGGTGCGGCGAGTGCCAATTTATGTGCGCCGCGAAGAGCGTCGAGGTCATGAACATGTGCCGCAACTGCAATGGTGTATACAAGGCGACGCCTCCTCAGAGGCTGTTTCAGTTTCCACCAAACTCTCCAAAAAGGTCACCGATTGGATGAAAAAGCAAACGAAGGTGGCGGAGCATAATCGCACTGCTGCAGAACGGAAAAGACACTGGATCGTGCTCCCTGAGCCACCTGACCCTTCCTTGTCTGGTGATCAGTACGCACAGCTTGTGCAAGGTTTGAAGGTGCACTGCCTATGGTGCAAGCGTGAGAGATGCCTTTCTGTTTATGGTGCTTTCATGGACGTTCCATGCCCTGCTTGTTAAGGTTGAGTCTTCACTGCCTTATGGTGGCCTACTCTTGGCGTGCGAAGGGACTTCCTCTTGGTCGTCTCCATTTTCTACTGGTTTTGTTTTTAGGGGTGGATGATAACCCGTGCTCGGTTGCGTACATCCTCAACAACATCATCATCATCATCATCATCTGACGCAGTGGTTACTGTGCCTGCTTACTTCAATGATTCTCAGCGTCAGGCCACCAAGGATGCAGGCACCATTTCAGGCATGAACGTGCTGCGCATCATCAACGAGCCTACTGCTGCTGCCATCGCTTATGGCCTTGACAAGAAAGGCACCGGAGAACGAAATGTGTTGATCTACGACATGGGTGGAGGCACTTTCGATGTGTCTTTGTTGACCATTGAGGATGGAATCTTTGAGGTGAAGGCCACCGCTGGTGATACCCACTTGGGTGGTGAAGACTTCGACAACCGAGTTGTGGATTTCTGCATGCAGGACTTCAAGCGAAAGAATCGTGGCAAGGACATGACAGGCAACCAGCGTGCCATCCGACGCTTGCGCACTCAGTGCGAGCGCGCCAAGCGCACTTTGTCTTCTTCGACACAGGCAACCATTGAAATCGATTCCTTGTTCGAGGGCATCGATTACTCGTGCAGCTTATCCAGGGCACGATTTGAGGAGCTGTGCATGGACTACTTCCGCAACTCCATGGGTCCTGTGGAGAAGTGCTTGAAGGATTCTGGCATCGACAAGAAGAGTGTCCATGATGTGGTTCTGGTGGGTGGTTCCACCCGTATTCCCAAGGTGCAGTCTATGATCCAGGAGTTCTTCAATGGCAAAGAGCCCAACAAGTCCATCAACCCAGATGAGGCCGTGGCTTATGGTGCCGCTGTGCAGGCTGCAATTCTCACTGGTGAGGGCTCCTCTGCAGTCCAGGATTTGTTGCTGTTGGATGTGACTCCCCTGTCCATGGGCCTGGAGACTGCTGGTGGCGTGATGACCAAGTTGATCGAGCGCAACACCACCATCCCAACCAAGAAGGCACAGACGTTCACTACCTATGCAGACAACCAGCCTGGTGTCTTGATTCAGGTCTTTGAGGGAGAGCGTGCCATGACCAAGGACAACAACTTGCTTGGCAAGTTCCACTTGGATGGCATTCCCCCAGCCCCTCGTGGCGTGCCGCAGATCGAGGTCACCTATGACATTGATGCCAATGGCATTTTGAATGTCAGTGCCTCTGACAAGTCCACCGGAAAGTCGAACCAGATTACCATCACCAACGAAAAGGGCCGACTGTCGCAGTCAGAAATTGACCGCATGGTGCAGGAGGCTGAGAAGTTCCGCGCTGAGGATGAGCAGAACAAGCAGAAGATCGAGGCCAAGAACGGCTTGGAGAACTACTGCTTCACGATGCGCAACACCCTCAACGAGGAGAAGCTGAAGGACAAGTTCGAGTCTGGTGACAAGGAGAAGATCGAATCCGCAGTGCAGGAGACACTGGACTGGTTGGACAAGAATCAGCTCGCGGAGAAGGATGAGTTCGAGGCCAAGCAGAAGGAGCTTGAGGGCATCGTGAACCCCATCATGATGAAGGTGTACCAGGCCGCAGGGGGCGGCGGCATGCCAGAAGGTGGCATGCCTGGTGGTGGCATGGGTGGTGCTCCGGGCGGTGGCGCTGGCCCAACCGTTGAGGAGGTTGACTAAGAAGGTCTGCGCCCCTGACTGCATATGGCCCAGAATCTTTGTCACTCTGTCATGGAGACATGTACAGCTCAGGGCGTGAGTGCCTCTTCAGAGTGATTTTGGAATTCGACCATTTTGGGGCTCAGCCCATACAAACCTACATATGCTTTAAGCGAAAATGGGCAAGCGGTGCTTTGCACCTTGTCAACTGCATGAGTTCTGACTTGCGTTGTTTTGTCTGATCCATGTAAGTGTAAGTTTGGATTCAAACTCCTGCGTTTGTGCGCTCCAAAGATATCTTGCACATGTGTAAGCATCATGAGATGTGTTCGCATCTACTGAAACATAAGCTTCCCCCACATACCAGGCTGGTTGACCAGACTCAGATCACGTGATTCACATGATCTCTTTGTGTCGTGGATTCCGGTCTTCCTCTTGTAGTACTCTTGTAGGTAACGCCACAGAAGACGCGTGACAGTTACTTGCGCCGAGGACTCCAGAAATCCGGTACTACATGGCATCACAGCCAGTGACCAAGCTGTGCAAAGGAGGGGGAAGTTGTTTCAATATCAGCTTATGTGGATCGGGAGAAATGCAGATATCAACTTGACGGCAGGGACAATATTTGGAGAGAGAAGCATTGCATGTTTCTTATGTGCACGCCTTTCTTGTGATGTCCCGGTGTTTGTGCTGCTCGAGCTGAAAACTGACTCTTAGTCTCTTAGTAATCTCATTCTTTTTTCATTTTTGGAGCTCAATTCATCATGGCCAAGAAGACCGCGATTGGTATCGATCTTGGAACCACCTACAGTTCCTTGGCTCGACTCTCGGGAAGCTTGAGGGTTCTTCCCACATCTGCACCAGTTTGTAAAGGAGTTTCGGGGCAGCTTGATTTATGTATCTTCATTGATTGTTTCTACATGTTTCTACATCTTTTCCACGTTTTTACATGGTTTTACTGGGACCAGGTTGCGTCGGTGTGTGGAAGAACGACGGAGTGGAGATCATTGCCAACGACCAGGGCAACCGAACCACTCCATCTTATGTGGCTTTTACAGACACCGAGCGACTTATTGGTGATGCCGCCAAGAATCAGGTGGCACGCAATCCTGAGAACACTGCCGCTTGTTTGACAACACTTGGCAGATCATTCTTGGCAACTGCAATGTAAAAGACGACTTGGGACATTGCACGACTGCGGATGATCATGATGGGCCATGATAGACTGCACATGTCACGACCAACCGTTGGGCAATGTTGGGCAATGATATGTCAGGAAACGGTCTTGTTTACATTTTTTAAAAACGGCCTCCTTTTTTGACAGCTGCTTGATTGCCTACAGAAACAGGTTGAACGATTTCCCAAAGTGAATCTTTCATGTTTCGGTTCTGAGAGCTGTGTGCAAGCCATCCCAAGGTCTTTGATGCAAAGCGCTTGATTGGCCGCAAGTTTGCGGACCCCATCGTGCAGGCTGACATCAAGCTGTGGCCTTCAAGTGCGTAGCTGGCCAGGGTGACAAGCCCATGATCATCGTCAACGCTCAAGGGGAGGCGAGAAGAAGACCCACAAAGACCGACAAAACCCATTATATTCTATACTTGATGTAATATTTGATATATTTTACGGAGGTCATCTTCACATATCGGCTGGGGTCGGCGTTTTTTTATTTGTTGAAGAGAGCAGTTTGTCATGATGTCATCATTGATGTGTTGCTTGTGACATGTCATATGTGAATATGCGGTTTTGTGTTTCAATTTTCAACTCGGGATGGACATGCGGACATGGCTGAGCCTTTTCTTTCACGTAGCCTCAGGAGAAGAAGTTCCACCCTGAAGAGATCTCTTCCATGATTTTGTTGAAGATGAAGGAGACCGCTGAGGCATACTTGGGTACCAAGGTGAATGACGCAGTGGTTACTGTGCCTGCTTACTTCAATGATTCTCAGCGTCAGGCCACCAAGGATGCAGGCACCATTTCAGGCATGAACGTGCTGCGCATCATCAACGAGCCTACTGCTGCTGCCATCGCTTATGGCCTTGACAAGAAAGGCACCGGAGAACGAAATGTGTTGATCTACGACATGGGTGGAGGCACTTTCGATGTGTCTTTGTTGACCATTGAGGATGGAATCTTTGAGGTGAAGGCCACCGCTGGTGATACCCACTTGGGTGGTGAAGACTTCGACAACCGAGTTGTGGATTTCTGCATGCAGGACTTCAAGCGAAAGAATCGTGGCAAGGACATGACAGGCAACCAGCGTGCCATCCGACGCTTGCGCACTCAGTGCGAGCGCGCCAAGCGCACTTTGTCTTCTTCCACACAGGCAACCATTGAAATCGATTCCTTGTTCGAGGGCATCGATTACTCGTGCAGCTTGTCCAGGGCACGATTTGAGGAGCTGTGCATGGACTACTTCCGCAACTCCATGGGTCCTGTGGAGAAGTGCTTGAAGGATTCTGGCATCGACAAGAAGAGTGTCCATGATGTGGTTCTGGTGGGTGGTTCCACCCGTATTCCCAAGGTGCAGTCTATGATCCAGGAGTTCTTCAATGGCAAAGAGCCCAACAAGTCCATCAACCCAGATGAGGCCGTGGCTTATGGTGCCGCTGTGCAGGCTGCAATTCTCACTGGTGAGGGCTCCTCTGCAGTCCAGGATTTGTTGCTGTTGGATGTGACTCCCCTGTCCATGGGCCTGGAGACTGCTGGTGGCGTGATGACCAAGTTGATCGAGCGCAACACCACCATCCCAACCAAGAAGGCACAGACGTTCACTACCTATGCGGACAACCAGCCTGGTGTCTTGATCCAGGTCTTTGAGGGAGAGCGTGCCATGACCAAGGACAACAACTTGCTTGGCAAGTTCCACTTGGATGGCATTCCCCCAGCCCCTCGTGGTGTGCCGCAGATCGAGGTCACCTATGACATTGATGCCAATGGCATTTTGAATGTCAGTGCCTCTGACAAGTCCACCGGAAAGTCGAACCAGATTACCATCACCAACGAAAAGGGCCGACTGTCGCAGTCAGAAATTGACCGCATGGTGCAGGAGGCTGAGAAGTTCCGCGCTGAGGATGAGCAGAACAAGCAGAAGATCGAGGCCAAGAACGGCTTGGAGAACTACTGCTTCACGATGCGCAACACCCTCAACGAGGAGAAGCTGAAGGACAAGTTCGAGTCTGGTGACAAGGAGAAGATCGAATCCGCAGTGCAGGAGACACTGGACTGGTTGGACAAGAATCAGCTCGCGGAGAAGGATGAGTTCGAGGCCAAGCAGAAGGAGCTTGAGGGCATCGTGAACCCCATCATGATGAAGGTGTACCAGGCCGCAGGGGGCGGCGGCATGCCAGAAGGTGGCATGCCTGGTGGTGGCATGGGTGGTGCTCCGGGCGGTGGCGCTGGCCCAACCGTTGAGGAGGTTGACTAAGAAGGTCTGCGCCCCTGACTGCATATGGCCCAGAATCTTTGTCACTCTGTCATGGAGACATGTACAGCTCAGGGCGTGAGTGCCTCTTCAGAGTGATTTTGGAATTCGACCATTTTGGGGCTCAGCCCATACAAACCTACATATGCTTTAAGCGAAAAAGGGGAAGCGGTGCTTTGCACCTTGTCAACTGCATGTGTTCTGACTTGCGTTGTTTTGTCTGATCCATGTAAGTGTAAGTTTGGATTCAAACTCCTGCGTTTGTGCGCTCCAAAGATATCTTGCACATGTGTAAGCATCATGAGATGTGTTCGCATCTACTGAAACATAAGCTTCCTCCACATACCAGGCTGGTTGACCAGACTCACATGATCTCTTTGTGTCGTGGATTCCGGTCTTCCCCTTGTAGGTAACACCACAAGATGCGTTACAATTACTGTACTTGCGCCGAGGACTCCAGAAATCCGGTACTACATGGCATCACAGCCAGTGACCAAGCTGTGCAAAGGAGGGGGAAGTTGTTTCAATTTCAGACAATTTCTTCTTATGTGGATCGGGAGAAATGCAGATATCAACTTGACGGTAGGGACAATATTTGGAGAGAGAAGCATTGCATGTTTCTTATGTGCACGCCTTTCTTGTGATGTCCCGGTGTTTGTGCTGCTCGAGCTGAAAACTGACTCTTAGTCTCTTAGTAATCTCATTCTTTTTTCATTTTTGGAGCTCAATTCATCATGGCCAAGAAGACCGCGATTGGTATCGATCTTGGAACCACCTACAGTTCCTTGGCTCGACTCTCGGGAAGCTTGAGGGTTCTTCCCACATCTGCACCAGTTTGTAAAGGAGTTTCGGGGCAGCTTGATTTATGTCTCTTCATTGATTGTTTCTACATGTTTCTACATCTTTTCCACGTTTTTACATGGTTTTACTGAGACCAGGTTGCGTCGGTGTGTGGAAGAACGACGGAGTGGAGATCATTGCCAACGACCAGGGCAACCGAACCACTCCATCTTATGTGGCTTTTACAGACACCGAGCGACTTATTGGTGATGCCGCCAAGAATCAGGTGGCACGCAATCCTGAGAACACTGCCGCTTGTTTGACAACACTTGGCAGATCATTCTTGGCAACTGCAATGTAAAAGACGACTTGGGACATTGCACGACTGCGGATGATCATGATGGGCCATGATAGACTGCACATGTCACGACCAACCGTTGGGCAATGTTGGGCAATGATATGTCCGGAAACGGTCTTGTTTACATTTTTTAAGAACGGCCTCCTTTTTTGACAGCTGCTTGATTGCCTACAGAAACAGGTTGAACGATTTCCCAAAGTGAATCTTTCATGTTTCGGTTCTGAGAACTGTGTGCAAGCCATCCCAAGGTCTTTGATGCAAAGCGCTTGATTGGCCGCAAGTTTGCGGACCCCATAGTGCAGGCTGACATCAAGCTGTGGCCTTTCAAGTGCGTAGCTGGCCAGGGTGACAAGCCCATGATCATCGTCAACGCTCAAGGGGAGGCGAGAAGAAGACCCACAAAGACCGACAAAACCCATTATATTCTATATTTGATGTAATATTTGATATATTTTACAGAGGTCATCTTCACATATCGGCTGGGGTCGGCGTTTTTTTATTTGTTGAAGAGAGCAGTTTGTCATGATGTCATCATTGATGCGTTGCTTGTGACATGTCATATGTGAATATGCGGTTTTGTGTTTCAATTTTCAACTCGGGATGGACATGCGGACATGGCTGAGCCTTTTCTTTCACGTAGCCTCAGGAGAAGAAGTTCCACCCTGAAGAGATCTCTTCCATGATTTTGTTGAAGATGAAGGAGACCGCTGAGGCATACTTGGGTACCAAGGTGAATGACGCAGTGGTTACTGTGCCTGCTTACTTCAATGATTCTCAGCGTCAGGCCACCAAGGATGCAGGCACCATTTCAGGCATGAACGTGCTGCGCATCATCAACGAGCCTACTGCTGCTGCCATCGCTTATGGCCTTGACAAGAAAGGCACCGGAGAACGAAATGTGTTGATCTACGACATGGGTGGAGGCACTTTCGATGTGTCTTTGTTGACCATTGAGGATGGAATCTTTGAGGTGAAGGCCACCGCTGGTGATACCCACTTGGGTGGTGAAGACTTCGACAACCGAGTTGTGGATTTCTGCATGCAGGACTTCAAGCGAAAGAATCGTGGCAAGGACATGACAGGCAACCAGCGTGCCATCCGACGCTTGCGCACTCAGTGCGAGCGCGCCAAGCGCACTTTGTCTTCTTCCACACAGGCAACCATTGAAATCGATTCCTTGTTCGAGGGCATCGATTACTCGTGCAGCTTGTCCAGGGCACGATTTGAGGAGCTGTGCATGGACTACTTCCGCAACTCCATGGGTCCTGTGGAGAAGTGCTTGAAGGATTCTGGCATCGACAAGAAGAGTGTCCATGATGTGGTTCTGGTGGGTGGTTCCACCCGTATTCCCAAGGTGCAGTCTATGATCCAGGAGTTCTTCAATGGCAAAGAGCCCAACAAGTCCATCAACCCAGATGAGGCCGTGGCTTATGGTGCCGCTGTGCAGGCTGCAATTCTCACTGGTGAGGGCTCCTCTGCAGTCCAGGATTTGTTGCTGTTGGATGTGACTCCCCTGTCCATGGGCCTGGAGACTGCTGGTGGCGTGATGACCAAGTTGATCGAGCGCAACACCACCATCCCAACCAAGAAGGCACAGACGTTCACTACCTATGCAGACAACCAGCCTGGTGTCTTGATCCAGGTCTTTGAGGGAGAGCGTGCCATGACCAAGGACAACAACTTGCTTGGCAAGTTCCACTTGGATGGCATTCCCCCAGCCCCTCGTGGCGTGCCGCAGATCGAGGTCACCTATGACATTGATGCCAATGGCATTTTGAATGTCAGTGCCTCTGACAAGTCCACCGGAAAGTCGAACCAGATTACCATCACCAACGAAAAGGGCCGACTGTCGCAGTCAGAAATTGACCGCATGGTGCAGGAGGCTGAGAAGTTCCGCGCTGAGGATGAGCAGAACAAGCAGAAGATCGAGGCCAAGAACGGCTTGGAGAACTACTGCTTCACGATGCGCAACACCCTCAACGAGGAGAAGCTGAAGGACAAGTTCGAGTCTGGTGACAAGGAGAAGATCGAATCCGCAGTGCAGGAGACACTGGACTGGTTGGACAAGAATCAGCTCGCGGAGAAGGATGAGTTCGAGGCCAAGCAGAAGGAGCTTGAGGGCATCGTGAACCCCATCATGATGAAGGTGTACCAGGCCGCAGGGGGCGGCGGCATGCCAGAAGGTGGCATGCCTGGTGGTGGCATGGGTGGTGCTCCGGGCGGTGGCGCTGGCCCAACCGTTGAGGAGGTTGACTAAGAAGGTCTGCGCCCCTGACTGCATATGGCCCAGAATCTTTGTCACTCTGTGATGGAGACATGTACAGCTCAGGGCGTGAGTGCCTCTTCAGAGTGATTTTGGAATTCGACCATTTTGGGGCTCGGCCCAGTACAAACCTATGCTTTAAGCGAAAAAGGGGAAGCTGTGAAGCCATGCTTTGCCCTCTCACTATATTCAAGGTTGGAATCATCTACTTCAAGACTTTACACAACAGTTGAACAGATCTAGATTCCGCTGTCAAGACTTTCCAGCTGTACACCACTCCCAAAGCATACTACAGTTGCAAATGCATACACAATTCATACAAACGCAAGGTTCACGCAGATCTCTGCTTGTGACGGCGACCTTCAGAATCGTATATATATATATACATATTAATACATAATATATATTATATAATTATATATATATAAATATACACATGTAAGTTGCTGAACATCTTGAGCATCTTGAACGAACATTATTCTTACATTGAAGGTTTCCTGACGTTTTCTGTATTAATACATAAGGAATCCATGCAATGGCTCAGCTTCTAGCTTGAATGGTATCGTCACCTTGGAGCTACCTGTGCTGAGGACTCCAGACATGTGGTGCTACATGGGATCGCAGCCGATGACCTAGCCGAGTGAAGGAGAGCAAAGTGAAGGAGGGCAAATTCGCTCGCAAATTCAGTGGCCAATTCCAGCTTGTTTTGAACCCAGAGAAATGAGTAAGTTGGGTTGATGGTACTGAGTGGTACTGTAGGTTAGCCGACTGAAGGGCGAGAAAAACAGTGCGGTCAAAATGCTAAAGTTGATAAAAGTCCACTCTGATCCACATAGAAGGGAATAGAAGTGAATACCCAGTGGCCAAAAGAAAACATTAAGATGCAGTCCAACCTTGATGTGGGATCGCTGTTGCTGGATCTTGCTCAAGCACTTGTCCAACATGCAGATCTGAAGCCATCTATATAGATGCCACTCTTATCCATCCCGCTTATGAATTGAGCGGGATTGATAAGTCGACTTCCAACGGATCAGAACCTGCATTGTTAGTGGCCATAACAGGATGAATATAGATGCAGGAGGCTTATTGAGGGGTGGATGCATGGTATTATTTCGACGTTCGGTTCGTGACTTTCCCTTCTTCACACATCACATCTTGTGTGACATGTACTGTTACTAACTGTTACTGCTATTGGTTTTAAGTTAGAATATAAGGTTAAAGTAGTTAAAGTAGTTAAGTATACTGACTTGCATCATGTTGCTTCCTTGAGCGAAGCCCAATGCTTCGCTGCACGTTGCCAGAGGCTTAGTTGGTCCTGGCCGGCAACCAATTTTCCAAAATGGGCAACAAAGTGGTCCTCAGAGAATCCAAGGGTGATAAGATTGATAAGGGGGTACCCCATGTTTAGAACAGGAGCCCCTCAGTGACCCTCTTTGTGTGGCCTTAACCTTTTGTGAAACCAGATAGAAAGACACTTGCAACTTTGCATGCTTTGATGTCAACAAGGTGCATCCTCCTGTTGCGATTGGCATTGACTAGTGACGTGACAGTGGCATGTGTTACACTTTCGAGATGCATTGACGTTTGAATGCTCGGAAAATTGAGTGGTTTGACCAATCTGCACTTCACATGCTGAGATCTTGAGCGTCAGATCTTTGCTTCTTCGTAGGCTTTAATGTATGCTGGAATGTAGAATGAAAGCACAGGCTGCGGTTGCTTTCGATAATGCAGGGAGAAGAGGGTAGGAAGATGAAACGAGCAAAGTGTTGTTTGGTTTTGAGCCCTATATCTCAAGCCAGGTGACCCTCAAGGAAAAGGAACTCAAAGTCTTGAGAGAGTCCGTAGAAGCTGCTTCCATCGTACGCGTGCGTGGGGAGGTGCTCCTTGACATGACAAGGGTACAGTTGGTAGCAGGGGAGGTGGTCCCTTGACATCCTGACGAGTCTTTCGGGGGAAGTCCTTGGCTTGGAGAATCGCTAGGATCTGCACTGTATCAGCAAACAAAGACAGCTTAAGAAGCTTTGAAGCAGTGGTTTGTGGGAACACTCCTTTCGTCTCAACGCCTCAACGAATGACCGCTTTCCCGGTTGCCAGTACAACATCAATGGCACCTGCTCGTGGCCAGACTGTGCTCCAGTGTGCGAGGCGCCTGGCTTGAAGTGATGGTGGTGGTGCCGGAGCTTGGCCAGTGGCAATTTGATATGCGCATGATATATCAAGAAATACCAGACATCATGATGTTTCGTGATATATCAGGAAAATCTTGAACTATTGTGGTATTGCTATTACTACATTACAGATTCTTGAGGGCAAAATACCTTACAAGGCCATCACCAGAGGAAGGGGAAGAGGAAGGCAGACAGCAAGAGCACGGCAGCATTGACTACATTTCACAAGAATCATAGCAATCTGCAGCCGCAATATTAAGAACAGCAGCGTTGTGTTGCAACGCGAAACAAGACGGCACTTCCAGTGAGTCTTTCCTCTAGGACTCTAGGTGCTATCATCAAAACTTGGAAACACATATATAATATCTACGTATACATTACATACATACGTACATACGTACATACGTACATACGTACATACGTACATACGTACATACGTACATACATGCATCCATGCATCCATGCATCCATGCATCCATGCATCCATGCATCCATGCATCCATGCATCCATGCATCCATGCATCCATGCATCCATGCATCCATGCATCCATGCATCCATGCATCCATGCATCCATGCCATATACATGCCATATACATGCCATATACATGCCATACACATGCCATACACATGCCATACACATGCCATACACATGCCATACATGCCATACTTGCATGCATGCATACATACACAGACATACACAGACATACACAGACATACACTGACATACATTACCATTACATTACATTACATTAGCATTGCATTACATTACATTACATTACATTTTATACACAGACACACACAGACATACAGACATACAGACATACAGACATACATACAGACATACAGACATACAGACATACAGACATACATACATTACATTACATTACATTGCATTACGTTACATTACATTACATTTTATACACAGACGCACAGACATACAGACATACAGACATACATACAGACATACAGACATACATACATTACATTACATTACATTACATTGCATTGCATTGCATTGCATTGCATTGCATTGCATTGCATTGCGTTACATTACATTACATTACATTACATTACATACATACATACATAAATACATACATACATACATACATACATACATATATACAGACATACATACATACATACACACACAGAGACATACATACATACATACATACATACATACATACATACATACATACATACATACATACATACACACACACACATATATATAATATATATATATATATACCAGTAGTACCCGCACGAGGCGGGGCGGAAGTTGCCTTAAAGATATATATAAGACCTTTCTCATCTATAGAACTTGCATGCGCCGTGCGCCAGCCAAGCCTGTGCGTGCGTGCACTCTGCGACACTTGTGTCTTGTTTCGCATGTCACATTTCAAGCTCCACTTCACACTTCACACTTGACAGTCTTCACACTCCACACTACACACTTCACACTGCACTCTTCACACTGCACCCTTCGCAGTCGTCAACACTTCACTTCACACTGCACTCTTCGCACTCCAAACTTCACACTTCACAGTCCACACTTCACACTTCACAGTCCACACTTCACACTTCTCACTTCTCACTGCTTCCTTCACACTCCAAACTTCACACTTCACACTTCACACTGCACTCTCACGCCCCACACTTCACACTGCACTCTTCACACCCCACACTTCATCTCGTCTGAGCTCTTCTCACCTTATCCCAGCTTGGCTCTTCTCATCTCATCTCTTCTCATATGTCATCTAAGCTTTCATGAATCACTTCCCAATACTACTACAAAGGAACTTGCATGCACAGTGCGCCAGCCAGGCCTGTGCGTGCGTGCTTTGTGCGAAGCTGTTGCAATGTTGTTGTCCAAGAAGATGACCTGCGCGCGTCCCCGGTGCAATGCAACGTCAAGCAAGCACTTTCCTCACACATCACATTGCACCCTTCACACTTCACATCTGAGCTCTTTTCACCTGCGCGCGTCCCCGGATGCAATACGATTTACGCTGTTCAGCTGCAAAAGACAATAGTATTACGCATGCAGCCGCTGCACCAAGCAACCTTGACGCAGCCACTACAATGCGATCTGCAGAGACTGAGTTGCAAAACACAATAGAACTACGCGCAATGGCGTCGGAAATTGCAGCTCCAAAACCGGATCTCGACGCCAAAGCAGAAAAAAGACGATTTTGAAGCACTTTTTAAAAGGAATTTTAAAAGGAAAATTATTAGCGCCAAAATTGAGAAAATCTGCTGACAAATCACTTTCGCAGCCTTGATGCAGCCATTCCAATACGATTTACGATCTTCAGCTGCAAAAGACAATAGTATTACGCATGCAGCCGCTAGCACCGAGCAACCTTGACGCAGCCACTACAATGCGTTTCGCAGCATCCCGTAGCAAACCTACACCTATCTACGCACGTGGCAACACCAAATGACAACAATCATGCAGCCATTCCAATGCGATCTGCAACCACAGCTCCAAGAACCGCATAGAACTACGCACACAGGAACAACCACTCGTTGCAAAACACATAGGAGGAACAATTCGCGACAGAAACGACCCCAGCCGCAACCGCCGCACAGACGAGGTACCTTTCATCGCCGGCTGCAGCCACTTTACACGGAAAACACAAGGTTTCGTGCTCCGGCTTCCTCCCCAACACAAAGCCCATGCAACATCATGCAGCCATTCCAATGCGATCTGCTACCACAGCTTCAAGAAACGCATAGAACTACGCACACAGGAACAACCACTCGTTGCAAAACACATAGAAGGAACCACTTCGCGACAGAAACGACCCCAGCCGCACCCGTCGCACATACGAGGTACCTTTCATCGCCGGCTGAAGCCACTTTACACGGAAAAACACAAGGTTTCGTGCCCCGGCTTCCTCCCCAAAACAAAGCCCATGCAACATTCATGCGGCCATTCCAATGCGATCTGCCACGACAGCTTCAAGAAACGCATAGAACTACGCACACAGGAACAACTACTCGTTGCAAAACACATAGAAGGAACCACTTCGCGACAGAAACGACCCCAGCCGCACCCGCCGAACACACGAGGTACCTTTCATCGCCGGCTGCAGCCACTTCACGCGGAAAAACAGAAGGTTTCGTGCCCCGGCTTCCTCCCCAAAACAAAGCCCATGCAACATTCATGCAGCCATTCCAATGCGATCTGCCACCACAGCTTCAAGAAACGCATAGAACTACGCACACAGGAACAACCACTCGTTGCAAAACACATAGGAGGAACAATTCGCGACAGAAACGACCCCAGCCGCACCCGCCGCACAGACGAGGTACCTTTCATCGCCGGCTGCAGCCACTTTACACGGAAAAACACAAGGTTTCGTGCTCCGGCTTCCTCCCCAAAACATAGCCCATGCAACATTCATGCAGCCATTCCAATGCAATTTGCAACCAGAGATTCAAGAACCGCATAGAACTACGCACACAGACACAACGACTCGTTGCAAAACACATAGGAGGAACAATTCGCGCACAAAACGACCGCAGCCGCACCCGTCGCACAGACGAGGTACCTTTCATCGCCGGCTGCAGCCACTTTACACGGAAAAACGCAAGGTTTCGTGCTCCGGCTTCCTCCCCACAACATAGCCCATGCAACATTCATGCAGCCATTCCAATGCGATCTGCCACCACAGCTTCAAGAAACGCATAGAACTACGCACACAGGAACAACCACTCGTTGCAGAACACAGAGGAGGAACCAATCGCGTCCGGAACGACCGCAGCCGCAACCGCCGCACAGACGAGGTACCTTTCATCGCCGGCTGCAACCACTTTACACGGAAAAACACAAGGTTTCGTGCTCCGGCTTCCTCCCCAAAACTTTGCCCATGCAACATTCATGCAGCCATTCCAATGCGATCTGCAACCACAGCTTCAAGAACCGCATAGAACTACGCACACAGGAACAACCACTCGTTGCAAAACATATAGGAGGAACAAGTCGCGCATGAAACGACCCCAGCCGCACCCGTCGCACTAGCCCATGCAACATTCATGCAGCCATTACAATGCGATCTGCAAACACAGCTTCAGGAAACGCATAGAACTCCCACGTCCCCACCTCCCTTCCTCACCACTCCCCTTCACCACTTCCCTTCATCACCACTTCCCTTCCTCACCACTTCCCTTCGTCACCACTTCCCTTCGTCAGTCACCACTTCCCTTCGTCACCACTTCCCTTCGTCACCACTTCCCTTCGTCACCCAATTCCACCGCTTCATTGTCCTTCATCAAGGTCAATTCCACCGCTTCTTCTTCGTGTGTTATGTATTGTTATGTTATGTAGTTATGTATTGTTATGTGCTCTACCAATTGTTATGTTATGTAGTTATGTTATGTAGTTATGTATTGTTATGTGCTCTACCACCCTTCATCAAGGTCAATTCCACCGCTTCTTATTCTTGTGTTATGTATTGTTATGTGATCTACCACCCTTCATCAAGGTCAATTCCACCGCTTCTTATTCTTTTGTTGTGTATTGTTATGCTATGTATTGTTCTGTGATCTACCACCCTTCATCAAGGTCAATTCCACCGCTTCTTATTCTTTTGTTATGTATTGTTATGCTATGTATTGTTAGATCACGTACCACCCTTCATCATAGTCAATTCCATCAAGTAAAAGTCATTCGTAACTCGGAAGTATTGCTTCCCAACTTCCTTTGATTAAGACCCATATTGGCGGGATGGTCATCCCCAATAAAGAGGGACATGCCGCATGATGCTCATGTCCCTGGAAGGCATGTGACAACAAAGCTATGGGCACCTGCATGATACCTGGAGTCAATGAGTGCCCGTGAGGACCTTAGCCACTCCGAGGGGATTCTGGGGAGTTCTTTGAGATTCAAACGTAAAACAAGTGGGAGTGGTCACTCTGGGTTGTTGCGTGAATCCTGTGAAAAGTCAATTTTCTTGGTTGTAAATCTATTTTGAATTCGGCATTTGTCATGTGATGGAACAGTTGGGCTTGCACACGAAAGGCTTCATCTCTGCTCCTTCAGCCTGACCCAGGTGGTCTTCCAAGTGTACAATGGGCACTTGCTTTTGCAGCAAAGGTTACTGCGGGGTGGAGTTCGGGGCTCAAGCTGACAGAGTTTGGTACCACTGTTTCTGATTTGATTTGTCAAACGATTGGGACATGGTCAGGCCTTTAAGTCTTTCCCAGGTCTGAACTTGTTGGGAGAACCGCTTGTCCATCCAACTCAGATCAGACTCACCCTTCAACCATGAGATCATCATGGCCTGTTGCCCTTGCCCTTGCCACTGCCTGAGTTCAACCTGCAAATTCCGGACCTGCACCTTGGGCGCACAACCGCCACCTTACGTGGCTGGAAATCTGGCCTTGACCTAAGAGTGGGATGCCTCTCAGGCTGCCCTGTAGGAGTTCACAAGATGCTTTCAACTTCAAGGTACTGGAGAATAAAACATAGAGGGTGGGTCACAGATTGTGAAAGAACTTGCACTATGGACCATGGACTACTATATAATTCGATTAGGATATGAAGTACAGTGACTTGAATCCGCAAGTTGGTTCAAGTTGGTTCTTGCGATTTGTGGTTGATGTGGATTCCAGGTCCAGGAGTTTGCAAGTCTCGGCGGTGAGATTCCGCCCTACAATGTTAGCGCGCTCAGGAGAGAAAGGATAAATGCTGTTGGTTTGTTTTTTCGCAAACAAACAACCTGCAAACACATCACATATAAAGCACATTTGCTGCTGCGCTGCTTGTGTTCAACAAGAAGCTCCAACTACCTCATCCTGTTACTTTAATCCTTTTACTATTGAACGTTCAAGGCGTGGTGGAAATGTGTCAAGAGTGGCTTCATTCGCACCAAATCTACAAAGTGTGATTTTTCGTTGCTTCATAGGATGTTCAGCAACAGGTGTCTAGCCATGTCACGTCGGCATGACTCATTCTTGGCCTCCACCCAACCCTGAGGCGGAGAAAGAGGAATGGGTGGTCTTCATGAATGGCTGCGTCAAGTTGCTTGCCCGGCATGTGTAGCTGGAATCCCTTGATGTCCTTCTTCCTGCATGCACTCTTTCATGACAAGTCCCTGGCCAATTCAGCAATTGCGTTCAGGACGCAATGTTCTCGACCACGTACGGATACGTCATTTGTTGATCAGGAATGTCACTAGAAGCTTAGGCAACAATACTAGGGTGACAACTTGTAACCGTTGCCAGGCCGATGTTCGTTCTGTGCATAGGAATGTCCATTGCAAGAGTCTCAGTGTTGCAAGTCTGAAATAAATTCTTGTTACAGGTTGTAGGCATGCAGCATTTGTCGCTATTTTTTTCAAAACTGGGAAAGAACGGGCAGTTGCCCCTTCTGCAAGAGACATGACCAAGGCAATCCTGACATGCGTCTGCATTTGCTGCCAACTGGAGTGCGTGCCTGGGTCGCATGGGTGGCGGGTCCTGAGTCCTTATGAATCCATCAGCATCTTACCTGTTTCTTCCCTGGACTTCACACCGCGCTCTGTGGCGACAGCGAAATTGGACCTTTAGCCAAGATGCACAAGGACTTCAGCTCATACCGTTTCCTGATTGGCAAAGCTTCTCAAGAAACTGAAAGTATTTGGACACATTTTGAAACTATGTAACATCGGTTTCCATTAGTGGTGACTAGTGACAGACATTTCTGGCTCAGGAATGCAACTGGTTCCCTACGTGTCGGCCTTGACTTATGCCTCCTCGAGCTTCTACAGTTCTCCGGTTTTTGATTTTCCATGGATGCGATCTTCATTTTTTCTACAGATATCAATAGATCCATGTTGGATTCATGGAATTCACAACTCTACGTTGTCAACATTTGTCAACCGCATGCTCGTTCATATGGTTCATATGTCACTCTGTTATCTCAGGGCTCCAGTGGTCCTCCTGTCGCTTTGTGGCGTCACAGCCCTTGACTCGGTAAGAACCGCTTTTTGAGAGGGAGAAGATAGGAGAAGCGCTCGTGAAGTCAAGGGATTCTACCACAGTCACGGCATGAGCTTTGCGTTTTGAATGCTGGATAGACGACATCAAGAGCACAGAGCCAAGACCCTTGGCTGAGGTTGCAGTGATTGTGCTTGGCATTGTGACACGTCCCAGCCTGAAGAACATGTTTGACTCTTAACGTATTGATCTGGCAAGCCTGTCGTGTCAGAGTGACAGGCACATAGCAATTGTGGGTCCTAGTCTATGTTTGTACTTTGTGGAGAAGAACAAACGGAAGGCAACACCAATTCCCGATGTGTCGTTATCGCTCACAATGTTCTTGTCCGGCTTGATGATCTACCTATGCTGCGTGCCCTGCTCAAGAGTTTGTTAAACACAACAACTCCCAGAGCAAGGAAAGTAGATCAACGGTTCTTTTGAACAAAAATGAAACCATGTTCTCCAGCAATAGCCGCAGATTGGTGAGATTCGTTGTTTCAGAGCCTCCTGGTGCTTGGGACAAGTTTAGTCGCAAGGAACCACAACCGTTGTTTGAACGTTTCCCAACAGATCCAGAGTGGCTTCCTCACCGCTCCCGCCATGGCGAGCTCCGGTTGCCCGTTGCGAGCTGAAGCCAAGCCCACGAATGATGGATGCTGGGGTGCCACAGCAGGGTTCGTTTTGGAAAGTGGGGTAGATCATGGTGATTATATAGGTTAATCTGATGACATCCTACCAGCAAACTCTGAGGGTTCTGAATTATGTATGTACTCCTGTCATCTCATGCCGCTCCGCGACGAACACCGCCCGCACCAAGTTGTTATTAGGGGAAAGGCTTTTGGAACTTGAGGAGTGTGATCGCTGGGGATGCGGGGATCTTGGGCTTAACTTGGGCCCAACTTAGAGTGCTTGCGCGGGGAGGGTTGTCAAAAGGAAAGAACCTCAAGGCGGATATTTGAGCACCAACCTGCGCCCCATGTAAGGGGTTCTCACCGCCAGATCACAGGAATGCCTTGGACATTCGTCACGAGTAACTCGGAAGTTTTTTGAACTAAACTTCCTTTGAAGATGTAGTACTGTAATGTATTTAACTATTGATATACTATTACTAGACGTAATTTCTATAATACATACATATATATATATGTAGCCCTCTCCAGGCGGACGATGCGCCGGCGATGCCGGATATGAAGACCGAGGTGTAGCCGAAAGTCTGGGATGGTCTGAGTTGTTTAGGGTTTGTTGATTTTGTTGTCCCAATCACCGATAATACTGTTTTGGAACGCGTTGGCGAAAGACTTGCTCAACCAATCAATGCAATCAATTGTTTGGGTTTTGGTCCGTGAAAAAAAATGATCCGCGGGAATCAACGGAAGGTCCAGTAGATAAAGAAGTCAAGTTCCGGTTGTTTGTAGAACCAATTTAATTTTTGGAAATGACGCAATCTTGTTGGCGCCCTTTATTTTTGATTGTTTTTCCGGCTGCCCCGTGCCCAGGCAGATGGAAAGGGACAAGCAGCTGAAGAGAAGGCAAGGGTTGAAAATCTTATACCGTATAGAGATTCGGACAATCATGAATGATACAACTTCCCGGGGCTCAGGCCTGCTATCGCGGCCGGGCCTGTGCCTCAGACGCACGTCCGCTTCGGATTGCGGCACCTGCAGCTGCTGCGGCACCTGCACCCTCATCTGACAAGTGGTACACAGGTCACCTGAAACTTGGTGTGAAGCCTAACAAATTTCGTGAGAACCTGTTTATTTGCCCAATATGCGTTTATGGTCCAATTCTGTTAGCGGGGGGGGTCAATATGCGTTTAAGGTGTGCCAAAAAAAAATACAGTTTGCGTCCGGCGACAGAAGCTGTCGCAGGCTCCTGATGCCCCTGGGCCCCTTCCAATGGCGTGTTCAAGCGGCGGCGGATGACACAAGTAAAGCTTCTGCGCGCGCTGACTCTCCGCCACTCGCTTCCAAACTTTCAAAGAGAATTGCAGACTGGAACAAGAAGAAGGACCGTGTGAATTTGCACCCTGGATTGAGCTTTTACCTCCGCCTGACACCAGCATGTCAGGCGAACAATATGCTGACGCCGTGTGCAGTGCCAAGGTTCAGTGCACATGGTGCAAGCACATAGGCTGTTTGAGTTGGATGAGAGATTTCATCAAGGTTCACCGTCATGCTGCAGATCTTGCGGCTCCTTGTTTGACCTTGCTGCACGGTCATCATCACCATCACCATCATCATCATCAACAACAACATCATCACCATCATCATCATCATCATCACCATCATCATCATCATCATCACCATCCTCACCATCAACCTCGCCGCCGTGACCATGATCATCGTCACCATGATCATTGTCATCATCATCGTCGTCACCATCATCACCACCGTCGTCATCGTCATCATCATCATCATCACCATCATCATCATCGTCGTCATCGTCATCATCGTCGTCGTCATCGTCATCGTCATTGATCGTCATCGTCATCGTCATCGTCATCATCATCATCATCATGATGATGATGACCGAAAGCCGAAAGGTCATGGAACAAGCTCTGACATTTTCAACAGGAGGGAGCTCTGCGGGGTCTGATTCGGGTGACGGGCACCTGGCAGACAGTGTTTCCGTAATGTTGCATACTTGATATAGGAAGCACAACTCACTTGTACCACCTTTGACACCGCCACCACCGCCACAACTCGTCAGGACCGCCTTTTGCACATCTTTGGACTCGCTCTAGTGTTATGAGATTTTTTGGGAGCCAGGGATTGTATATCCAGTTAAAGGTTTTTTTAATCATTTTTTTTATCATTTCTTTATCATTCTGGGATTTACCCAAGTATCATTTATTTATCATTTATTTATCATTTATTTATCATTTATTTATCATTTATTTATCATTTATTTATTGATTGCTTTTGGGGGAATCATTGTTTGTTGTGTTTGATGCATGCCTTTCATTGTTTTATGCTTCTGCATGCTCAGTCTAGGTCTCTGTGTGAGTATGTATATTTGAATAGTATATATGATTACATGCACAGAGGTGTGAGTAAATCAAACGTGTTGTTACTGTTTGTCGGAACATCGTCATACATATGACATGTATTATTACATATGTGAATGTACCAATTATACATTGCATTACATCACATTACATTGCATGTACATGTACACTTACACTACATTACATACATACCGACATACATACATACATGACCATTTGTCAAAAATAGTTGTTTAGAAGTTTAGTATTGGTTGTTGATAATTCATCTGGGTCTACTGTTTTTTCCTCTTCGTTATGAGGCGGCACGCAACTAAATTCAGCAATTCTGCAAGGCAGCGCTAGCAAACCCGCTAGGTTTGCGCTAGGTTTGATTGACAGCCAGGGCCTCCATGTAGTGAATGTCTTGCCAGCTTTTCTTACAAGTCTGTCAGTTTCCACATATTCCCAAATTTTCGATTTTTTTTACGTATTTTACGCGCTAGATTGCCGCTAGCAACGCGCTAGCGAAAATTGCAAATACATGCCCCGGTCCACCCGCAGCCCATTCAGAGGCACAGCCATGTTCACGCTTTGGTAGCTTACAGTAAGGAAACAGCGTTGATCAGGAGGCATGTCAAGAAGCATATTGCATTCAGAGAGGCGCACACACAGAGACACACAGTTCAGGAGATAGTACCAGCGACAGCGAATGAAAACCGACGTGCGTTAGCCGATTCCTGTGGTTTTAGAAAGATTTCCAAAGGTAACGAAGAATTTCCACGTTTTCACGTCATCAAGGTAGGTCATGTTTTTTAAAGGCAAACATGAGGCGGCACGCATGGAATTGCGATTTATCAACAGAACCGGGAACAGACATTTTGACAAACCGTCACATACATACATACATACATACATACATACATACATACATAAAGTGATACGTTCACTGATCCACAAAATGGTAAGAACATGATTTCAGCAAAGGTTGCTCGAACAAATGATGAAAAATGATACCAGAAAATGCTGCTGTAAAAAAATGAAAAAATGAAAAAAAATGAAACCCAAAAATGCTGCTGGAAAAAATGAAAAATGATACACAAAAGTGCTGCTGGAAAAACATGATAAAAAAACGATAAAAACATGATACACAAAAATGCTGCTGGAAAAAAATGATTAAAAAATGAAAAAATGATACACAAAAATGCTGCTGGAAAAAAAAGCGATAAACAATTGATAAACACATGATAAATTCTGGGCTGCTTCGGAAACAATCAAAAATGGTGAATATCTCGAGTTTTTTCATTTTTTATATTTTTTTAAATCACTTTTCATCATTTTTTGATAGTTTTTATTCATTTTCCTCTGTTTCCTTGGAAAATGATAAAGCAAATGATAAAAAATCGATAAAAAAACGATAAATTCTGAAATGGTGAATGTCTCGAGCTTTTTTTCATTTTTTAAATCAATTTTTTATCATTTTTCATCATTTTTTGATAGTTTTTATTCATTTTCCTCTGTTTCCTTGGAAAATGATAAAAAAAAATTGATAAAATCGATAAAAGAATTGATACAAAATTGATAAATTCTGGCCTCTTCGGAAAAAATCAAAAATGGTGAATGTCTCGAAGTTTTCAATTTTTTATCATTTTTTTTATCAATTTTTTATCGATTTTTTATCATTTTTTTTTCATTTTCCAAGGAAACAGAGGAAAATGAATAAAAACTATCAAAAAATGATGAAACATGATAAAAAATTGATAAACAAAATGATAAAAAATTGAAAAAACTTCGAGACATTCACCGTTTTTGATTTTTTCCGAAGAGGCCAGAATTTATCAATTTTTTATCAATTCTTTTATCGATTTTATCAATTTTTTTTTATCATTTTCCAAGGAAACAGAGGAAAATGAATAAAAACTATCAAAAAATGATGAAACATGATAAAAAAATGATAAAAAAAAACGAAAAATACTCGAGACATTCACCATTTTTGATTGTGTCCGAAGAGGCCAGAATTTATCATTTTTTTTATCATTTTTTAAATCAATTTTTTATCGATTTTTTTTCTCCAAGGAAACAGAGGAAAATGAATAAAAACTATCAAAAAATGATGAAAAATGATAAAAACTTGATAAAACAATGAAAAAAACTCGAGACACTCATCATTTTTAGTTTTTTTCGAGCCCAGCCAGGGAGGTGTGTGAGGCTGAGGGGAGGTCTGCCAGGCAGGGGTGGGAGTGTTAGGGGAGGTCTGTGCCAGGGGAGGTTGTCAGGGGAGGTCTGCCAGGGAGTGCCAGGGGAGGTCTGCCAGGGGAGAGCTGGCGGGGAGGTATGGGAGGCCAGGGGAGGCCAGGGGAGGTCTGCCAGGGGAGGTCTGCCAGGGCAAGCTAGGGAGGCTGGCAGGGGAGGTCTGCCAGGTTTGTAACAATATGATAAACTGACGACTGATAAACCAAATGAATAAACTATAGTTATATTCTTTCTATGGCATTCTATGGTCTGATGTTCAACTTGTGATAAAACCAAATACATTTTCATAAGGATATGTGAAACATGTAGTACATACTATATAACACAATCCAAAATAATGTAAAAGAGTGAGCACCGTTGGATCAACGATGAGTAATAGAAACAAAATTCATAATTTATATCGATCTTTCTCTCTCTCCATGTATACTCATCTACAATTGTACAAAGGCAAAAGGCAAAATCAACAGAACGACCACGTTTGAAGAGTCAATCCACAAATGATAAAAAATCGATAAATAATAAATGATAATGGGGGAAATTCCATAATGAAAAAAAAATGATAAAAACATGATAATAAACCTATTTTGACATCACCAGTCTGTGGCTCTGAATTTCTCATAACTCTAGTGCTTGGCTTGCTCATCGTTTGCATGAGGAACTGCGCAGGCAACACGGGCAAAAGATTGTTCGCAAAGACTTTGAGGGCATTCAGGAAGAGGGTGGCATCAACACCTTTGCCACCACGGCTTTGATCCAGGGAGGGTTGTCGCACCCTGCAGTGAAACATTTGCTCCCCAGCTCACAATGCCAACTTGCGGCAATAGCCGGCGGCCCTCTGTCAAAATACTCTCTGGGGGTTTTGGAAGGCATTTTGGCCGGTGCAGCCAATGCCAGACACCAACTTGAGAAGATGAATTTGGTTGAAAAACCGTGGCAGGTTTACGGACCGCACTTGGGGGCCCTCCTGGTGTCATCCTCTTGAACATTTCTACGGTGCCTTGACCCGCAGATCAATGGTGTTCGATTTTAACCCTTTGATTGCATGTTTTTAGGCTTGGTGAGAAAAATGCAAGAAATGTTTGCTGCGCCTCAAGCAACGAAGGAAAGCACCTGCAAAACCCGGCATTGTATAAAACATTATCAAAAACGAGCAAAAAGTCGCAAAACCTGAAAGCTCGTTGTTTTATGTAGTTTTCAGAACTTTTTAGAGTTCCAAATTTCATCACGTTTTTTGTACGTCGGCGTAGTGCTGAGATTTTCCCACAAACATACATGTTCGGAACAAAGTGAATCACTTTTTGGGTTGTTTGATCTATCATCTTAGAGCAGCAAGGGTCGAGGCAGTTTAGTGTTCAGCCCATCAAAGCTCTGAAGTCCTTTGCTGTGGTGCCCGCGTCGCAGTTTGCAAAGCGTATTGCTGCAGCCACTAGTGGTCTTTGGAGGTGAAGTCGCGAGCCACAGGTAAACCCCGACGGGTAGCAGTTTTTCATGACAGGGCTATTTCTTGCATTGCCACTTTGAGGCGGCTAGCGTTGTTGGAATTCCTCCTCGGCAGGCGGAACGGTATGTGTCGGCCAAAGCCATGAAAGCATTTCCCTACGGGAGTGAAATTGGTTGTCCAGGCATGCGCGACAGTCAGCCGGTGAGCTGGGCAGCTGTGGCGACCTTGGGCTTCAACCCTTTGCAGCCTATCCCTCGGGTTTTGCTGACGCTTTTGAGAAAAGGGTACGTGGTAGACCCCTTTCAGGCAATGACTTTTCAGACTGTGCTTGGCCATGTCGTCTTTTCCCGAGGACCAGATTTATGACAGTGCCTCACGCGTCTGGCCTCACTGTGCTTCAGGTCATCATTGGGATCTTCGCTTTCTTGCCAAGGCCACTGTGGTGGGAATTTGGCATCGGTTTTTCAAAAGAAACCAGTTTGGCTTTCAAACGTGGCCTGCCAAGATCTCGGGGCTGACCGGCCCCATCCGTGCAGGTTTCAAAAGCCTGAGATGGAAAGAAATCCGTGACGAGCCATGGTCATGGACACATGAAGGCATTGATGCTAGCTTTTCCTTGAACCCCAGATTGCGCTCCTGGTGTGATGGTGGAAAATGGTTGCGGCATCAGCTTCGTGAATCTTGGAGGTTTCTCCGATTTGAAAAGTGAAAGCAATCTGGCAGAAGGGACGCTCTCGGCTGTGAAAACGTTCCCTATGACTCTCAAAGATTACGTTTGCTTGGTAAGCTAAATCTCACCTCTCATGAGTTTGCAGTTGCTTGTGGTGCAGCTGTCAGTCCGGCACGATACCATGGCATGCTTGCTGAGCAGCCTGAAGCCCGCGGAAACATCCCTGGATGCCCTTGGTGTGGCCTTAGACCAGAAGATGCGTCCTGGAAACATGTGGCATGGAATGGTCAAAAGATAATATTTCCACCAGATGTTCGTCCAACCATTGACAATCCCCTACTTGTACGGTTTGGTTGGCTTACTACCCCTAGACGTTTTGAATCCCTAAAATGGCTTGCTTTAGTGCGAGCTAGGACCCTGGGGGACCGCCGCCCCCCGCCCCACTGCTAGCCCCAACCCCTGCGGGGGGAAATCTGAGGCGCCTGACCCCACTGCTGTGTTGTGGTCGCCGTCTCTGTCTACTTGCAGAAAAAGAAACACAGGCCTGCCGTCACGCTACGCTTCCTAGGCTTTGACTTGGGCCCAGGATGGCGCAAATTTAGACTAACGTGGCGCCCAAGCCGGAGCCAAGTTGATCTTGGTTGACCCCAAGGTGAAGCCATGTTCGGCAGATGTTGGTTCGAAACGTCCAATTTAAACGATTTCACGACGATGTGAGAAATGGTGAAATTGCCCCACTCCCGTGGAGGTTTTGGCGACCGTGACGTCCAAAAAATGCCACCTCCCTTTGCTAAAACTGTGTAGGCATTATGTAGCAATGTAGCATTGATACAATGCAGTGGCCCGCGCTCGCGACACGATGTGATCACACTCCGCCACTTTTGGCGCGGCGGATTTTTGTCTTGTTGAGCCATTTTTTAATCGTTGGGCTCTGCATTTTTTGCAAATCCTGTTTTGTGATGTCATGTTTTGGGATCAAATACTGTATCGTCGTTTTTTCGTCGCGTGCTTGGCTTGCCACAACTTGCAAGCAAACCACTTTCCAAAGGACAATGGCAGAACAGCAAAAGAGTTTTGACAAACATTGAAAAAAAAACTATGTTGAATTTTCCATTGTTTCCAGGCCCATCATTTTCACAAACCCAATCCTTTTTAAATTTTTGGTCGTTTCCCCAAATTGGATGATTTTGACAAAGATAACCAATGCTTGCTGCGGTTTGAAAACATTTTTATCCCTTAAGTTTGACATTGAGGTCCCATGCGTTCGGCGAATGGTGAGGCGCCGTTTGAGGGGACAGGTGTTCGAACATTTGGGCGTTTGGAAAAATCACATGTAATAATATAATGTAATTTGTTCATTCACCGCACCATGTCTCTGTCATGTTTCATTCCTTTTTCCAATTTTCTTCTCCGTTGTCCTGTGCTGCACACGAAAACGCTGAGGCACATTATGTTAAGTAAACTCGAACAAAACAAATCTATTGTGTTGTCATTTTTGTTTCTGTTGTGTCTAGCCCAATGTCGTAAACTTTCCTCGCATAGGAAAAATTGGCACCATTCCGGCTGAAGGTGCTGAATCCTCGAAATATGATGCCTGAGATGCCACAAACACCTGCTGCCACACAGAGCATGGACTTGAAGAAAGACCGTCGCTGGGCTGCTGATAGGCTGCAGATGTTCTGAGAGGCTGATGCGGATGTGGGTCATGGGTCAAAGTGGATGCCAGAGCCACAGGTTCCCGACAACATCAATTTCTGGTGGATAGTTGATGATGGTTGAGCCAAGGTATTTTCCGCATCCGACCCCATCCCATACCCTGCCAGAAGTTTCTGAGGTGAGGTGTCCTCAATCCCAAAGACTGGAGAAGCGGGCAACTGGGTCTACCCCTCACCTCAGCAGCACTTTGTCGGCAGAGGGTGCGGGTCCATTGGTTGCCATCCCATTGAGCCATAGTCTCGGTTTGTGCATGCGTCACCTTGAATTCAGTTGAGAACCCCCATCCCATTTCGGAGTAATTGGGTACTTGGTGGTCATGGTGATGGGAAACCAAGACCAAAATCACTGGGGACTGATGGAAGTCAGGGGAAACTCAGTGAAAACTAAGGTTCTACCATGCGCTGTTGCGCAAGAACAAGGAGGCAGAAGCTGAGGCGAAGACAAGGAATGTGTCAATGTCCAATGTACCCGATGTACCCAGGACCCAATGGTGGTAAGTAGGGATTGAATTTCCAAACCAGCGTCATTCAGAGGAAGAAATAATGAGGCACCTGTCTTCAGGTGGCAGTTTTCTCCAATTTTGCCAGGCCATGGATGATGTGGTCTACGCTCACAATGTCACCAACGAGAGGTCTTGGAAAGCTGTTCTGGACTGGGAAAAGCTGCACTCCAAATCTTGTCCGAGGCTTGACGAAGTGGTGTAGGAGACTGTCAAAAGCACGTAGACTGTGCACCTTGGGAATTACAGAGTATCGGTTTGTCCAAAATAGGGGGTGGCAATGGGGAAAGGAGCGGAAAGGAATGGTGTTTACCATGGGGTGAAATGGAGTGCCCGATTTTCAGACACATGCTTAATATTATATACATTACATTATATACCCACAAAGACTGGGGTTTTTACAAGTTATGAATCAGTCAATCAGAATCAAGCTGACAGGATGAAATCAAAGTTATGTCCTGAAGACCATGATTGATTTGCTTTTGGGATGAGGCCAGATAGTTAAAACCCTACGTGGAAATAATGACTTCCATACAAATCAACCATCGCTATTCGCCCAAAAGTGGACGCTACTTTTTGAATCGTGCAGAGACGTTCGCCCGCTGTAACAAGTCCTCAACTCATTAGGGATACAACAAGTTCTCAACAGACATAGACCATAGACCAACGTCAAGCACCTTTTCAATCCTTTTTCATGCGTCTGCTGCATTTGCAAGCCAAGGACACCAAGCTTACTCCGCTTTGTTGGGCGACAAAAAGATTTGAGCTGGGGTGGATGGTGGTCCAAGCAGCTGTCCTACAGAGGTGTGCCCTTTGACAGACATGACTGGTTTGTGGAGCCTTGAAGCAGCATTAGCGCAACGTTGCCAATGCCTTGACGCAAGTTTCCTCCTAAATGCATCCACATATATCCACCTAAATGCATCCACATATATCCACATACTTAAAATTGATCTAACTGTAATGTACAATTGGTCTTGCTATGTGTGTTTTCGCTTCAGGGAACTTTCCAAGCGATACACTATGGCACCCTATGTTGATTCGATTCAATGACAAAGAGTTGGGTCACTAGAGCTTTTACAATTTTGCGAGATATAGAATCTCACTAGCCGCCGGCAGCATGAAAGATCAGAGAAACTCCTCCCACGAGCTTGTTTCTAAGTTGCATTCGAGGACCGATGTGGTCAGCGCACAGTGCGCTACGTGATTGACTACTACGATGATATTAAAGCAGGCGCTTATCTGGGCTGCCAGTCCCAAATTATTTCAAACTCAAGTCGAAACCTCCACCTACAGTCGTAGGACAACCGGAAAAGATATTGGGGTTTCCTGAAACGGCGGTACCCCCAAATCATCCAAAATTGAACCATTTCAGTATTTAAACTCAAACCCATAGTTTGGGGTATCCACATTTTAGGAAATCTCCATTTGAACATTATATATATATTATATTATATTATATTATATATATATATATTTCATCGCCCTGTAGATACTCCAACAAGCAAGACCCAGCCACATCTGGGACAGCCGACCACAAAAGTGACACCATTTGTATTCATTTGTGTGTATATATGATATATGATTCTCTACATCAAGAATTAAGAATATTCGCGTAACTATATATAGAACTATGTATATAACTATATATATATAACTATATATATAACTATATATAAAACTATATATATAACTATATATATAACTATATATATATAACTATATATATATAACTATATTTATAACTATATATATAACTATATATATAACTATATATATATAACTATATATATAACTATATATAACTATATATATAACTATATATATATAACTATATATATATATTTATATATCATCAATAGGTTGTTGTTGTTGTTGCTGTTCTTGTTGTTGTTGTTGTTGTCGTTGTCGTTGTGGTTGTGGTTGTGGTTGTTGTTGTTGTTGTTGCTGTTGTTGTTGTTGTTGTTGTTCTTGTTGTCGTTGTCGTTGTGGTTGTGGTTGTTGTTGTTGTTGTTGTCGTTGTCGTTGTCGTTGTGGTTGTGGTTGTTGTTGTTGTTGTTGTCGTTGTCGTTGTCGTTGTGGTTGTGGTTGTGGTTGTGGTTGTGGTTGTTGTTGTTGTTGTCGTTGTGGTTGTGGTTGTTGTTGTTGTTGTTGTTGCGATTGCTTCCTTTCTACATCGACAAATTCCTCATGTCATAACAATTCTTTTTCTTTGCCCTTGAACCGCCGTTGAGGTGATGCAGAAGATCTGCAAATCACCGTTGAGGCGAGGCCTGCCATTGATACCACAGGAGACCAGCGCGGTTGGGAATGCAGCATATTACACCAGAAATGGTGATTCATGGGGATTTGAACATCAAACACAGATATGACGGAGATACCTTTGCAGATCACTTTTATGGCATAAACATCCATTTTACAGATATTTTGGGGTTCATGAGGGTACCAGTCGGGTACCAGGTTCCCCATAGCCATGTGTGGGATGGCAAACTACTGCAAGAACTGAAATAACATAACTTCATCACCTTGCCGTCTCGCGGAAAGCAACTGCTTTCTGTCTGGAGTTCAGGTTGTGGGAGGTTGCTCTGCCAGAAAAGCAGACATGTGACACACATGATACACACATGTGACACATCAGGTCAGACGGTCGTATATCCCACATATCCAATAATATATATATATCATATTTCATATGCCATATTCCCATATTTCATGATTGCCTTGGTAGCAGGAGACTTCTTGGACCGACTCAGAAGACCAGGATGGCAGTTGAAACGAATGTGCTTGGCCGGATTTGCTTCGGGAAGGGATGAGGGCCTGATGAGGGCTTGGTTCTGCCTGCCAAGCGATGGATTCGATCTGGATGGTGGGGTTATGTGGGGTTCATCGTCCTTTCTTTAGGATCTGAACTCAACACTGGATTTGTAAGTGCTATGACGTACTATGATGTACTGCAGCACGTGTGATTTCGTTTCAATACCCTCAACTTCCAAAGGACCCCCACGGCTGCCACGGCTCGCCACCACCCAGGTGGACAGCCTTCTTTGGGGGAGGCAACTTAGCAGCACTTGCGCTGATTCGGTGATTGTTTCGATGATAACATGATTTGACACACTTGACACTTTCTGTGCTATATGTGCTATTATTGACTAGAAATTACTCTCAACCCTCATTTTTCATGCTGTTATTCACGTCGCTTCGCGACGGCAACCGCCCGCACCGCATCGTTGGGCAGCCGCTCGTAACTGCCAATGATGTCGGCCATTGAGACCAAAAACATCCGAAAGTACTGATTGTCGGAAAAAAAAAAACGCGAAGAATTTGATAGCCATGTATAGCGGACCAACGCAGTTCAAAAAATAACGAAAAACATGAAAAAACGGCGAAATTGCTGTTATTTACAGTGTTTTTGCGCGGTGAGAAGCAGAAACCACTGCAAATACCATGGTTTTTGAGGGTCAGGTGGCCAAAAACACTGTAATTTACAGTGTTTTTTTAACCAACGTCAAAAAACACTGGTATTTACGATGTTTTCATTCACACCGTAACATAAAACAGCGTAATTTACGAGGTTTTTGGAAGTTTTGAAGCTAGCCGTCAAGCATGCAGAAAACAGAAAAACACTGTAAAAACCAGTGTTTCTGCTATCACAAAACGACGAAAATCAGTCCGAAAACGGGTCCAAAAACTCAAAAATCCGCCTCCGGGCCCGGCCACCTGCGGAACCGCAAAAAAAGATGTTGCAAACCAAAAAATTGAGGTCAAAAAGTTGAAAAACACGGGTTTTTTTCACTTTTCGCTTGCCGATTTTGGACGGGCGCGTTCACGAACAGGTGTCTTCCGTACTGTTTTTTACAGTGTTTTTTGAAGGCGAGCGTCACGACCTATCAAAAACAGGAGGTTTTGGTCGAAAAATGCCCCCCCCCCCCAGGTAAACCTGTAACCTTTTACGAGTGCCATCCGGAAGATCACGCCCCAGCACCTTCGGTGCGGGCGGATTTAACCTCCTGGGAAACTGTGTCTATTCATTTTGGCGGCCTTTTCTGAGGGTCTTTAATATGATGAGGATGCGACCATTTGTGTTATACAGCCAAGGCGGAAAAGGCCAATGACCTGTTCCTTGCCCCTGCTGGGAGTGTCACTTGACTGATTTTTGCAGGACGAGCCCCAGCTGTGACATGTACGCACACAGATGACAGATATGTGTACATGATTTATGACACACACACACATGCTGGTCAGTGGTATCAAACAACCTGCACTTGTGGTCCAATCAACTCATAGCAGATGGACAATCAGCAGATGTACAATTGGATGATAATTCCTGACAATTTTAGGTTTAGTGTTTGTTTTTTAAAACAAGTTGTTCATTTGCACATGGGAGGACTGCTTTGTGAGGTCGTGTTGGACTGCGTTCACATCGTCGAGACAAGCTGGGGCAAAGCCTCAGTTCAATCAACGATTGCGAAGTCCCATCCGCCAGATCCTGGTTCCAGACATCGCTTAAGATCCCCACACGTTTCTTTGGGAGGCATGGTTGCGTCCTTTGCATCCAACACATCAGTCACATGCTCGTTACTGTGGGATAGTTCAGAAATGTTCAGAATGATTCCGTTTGACCCCTACGGTCATACATCAAGCGTTTGTTTCCCAAAGCTTCTCGACGGATGGACGCTCTAATTCTTGGATCTTGGAGTCCTAAAGGGTGGCTGACCCTGTGGTCCGGCAAGACGGAAGCTGAGCCAAGCAGTTGGGAGCTTCGGTTCCTGACAGTAGCAGTTGGACAGACAGTGTGACTGCGGATTTTCGGGCCAAGAGTGGAAAGGCTCAAAACAGTCCCACGCTGATGTGAACGCAGCCTCGCTTGCGAAAGGACAAGCATAGACCGGCATAGACAAGACAGTTTTCTTGTGACATGTGGCCAATGATGCTCGTCATGTGATAGTTGCACTCGTTGCTGGAATCCATTCGCTGCAACACACCAAGTCGAACGATGTTTCTCATCCCCGAGTCCAGTTCAGGTGGCATTGTCGTCAATGAAAACATGAACATGATTGAAGAGCAGCTCAGCAACGGCCTCAATGGAATCACAATGTCTGACGCTACTCTCGCAGTGCTTGTGCTTTCCAGGAAACCAACTCCCTGACTATTCTTTATTTATCTTTATTTGCTTGACCTTCAACATTTCTTCATGAGCCGAGTGGGCGAATTTCTGAAAGTTAATTTGTCGGCAAAATTGTGGGTGCGAATGCAGCACATCCGACTTAGAGCCCCGGCTTTCAGTCAGGAAGAGTCGACAAGACCCTGGATGGCTCTGTTGATCTGGCGTTGGGAGCTCAAAGTTGCAGAGAAGTCGCTGAAAGTCGTCAACTTCACTCACTTCATTGCGAATTCCCAGCTTCTCAGCTTCTGCAAGCGGCATCAATGTTCATTTGTCATTCCATCGCAGTACCATCCATTTGTCCGAGGCACAAACTCATAGACATGTGCATGGACTTCAAGGTGCTAGTGGGTGAATGGTGAGATAAAAATCGCTTGTTTTGGCGATTTTGGGCAGACCATTAGCTTGCTGTGACAAGATGGTGCCGTCGGACTTATCAGATTTATCAGGCAGTTGTGGACGACTTGCCGAACACGTGCAATGGGATGCCGGTACCTTACTGGAGTTGACCTAAATTGAGCTTTACTGCTGCCTCCAAAATAGTCACGGCATGGAGGGTTCTTTATAGTTTTGATATGAAAATGGGGTACCCCATTCCACCGCTGGTTAATCATGATTTTCACAACACATTTCCCGATTAAAATGGTCTTGCTGGTGAAATCCATTGCCTCGCCCAGGGTGCCTGGTGCCAAAGAAGTGATGGCGATGGCCAGTGAGAAGGTCCGGAAGCCAGATCTTAGTGAGATAGAAAATGGGTGAAATTCATGGAATGCAGCCAACTAATACAGGGATATACTGATATACACTTTTGTATTATACAATATCATATATATATATATATAATGATAATATAATGGGCATAATGGGATACATAACCAGACTCAATACGATTTTTGGGTGTGTCTGAAAAATTGGGGATGAATTATATGATGGGCTGCAATATTTTCAGACAAACTCAGGTCAGTTCTTCCAAAGCCATGTCGTATTTTGTTGACACCCAAATGGGTTTGTCTGGAAATGGAGCATACGGTATCACTGTATACTGCAAAATGGCATGCTTTCTTCGCACTCTTAGTGGGCACAATGACGATAAATTGTATCTAATCAATTTTATTATTACGTATTACACTCATTGTGCCAATTGTAATCTATTTATAATGATACGTTGCACAAAAACAAATATCATATGATGGGCTAAGATTTGGTGCATCCCATTTTTGGACCCAACTTCGACCAGCCGGGTGTTTCTACCAGGCCAATGAGAAGCTAACAGAGATGAATGAGAAGGCCCTGTTACAGCCAGCAGCGCCAGTGGCTGCTTCCATAGTCCGCCCAAAATGGGGGAGGATGGCTAAGAAAAGGGTGAAAACTGGTTTGTCAATGTTTATTGTCATTTCCACCCAAAATTCACAACTCTTGAGTCTTGGGCATCCTATTTTTTCGACATACTGCTTCCTGTTTGGTTTGTAGGAATGAAGGACTAGGGCAATATGGGAGGGGTTGAACAAGCCTTGCCACTGATGTTGGGGAAGGGTGTGGACAGTCCATAAGATTCATCCATCAACATCAGCGTGCATGATGTGTAATTACTTCTCTAGTTGTGCAATCAACCGTACACCAACCATAGGTTGCATCAAATATGTCACAGATCTCTCCAGAGTTCGTTGGACTCAACCAGTTCTGTTCTCTGCAGGTAGATGCCTTTGCAAGGGTAGCGCATTCTGCAAAGTCTGCCATGGTGATCCTTTTGGGGAATTTCCATGTGGTGAAGGCTTGATCACGCTGTGGCAGTCATGGCTTCCATGGTTTCCATGTCTTTCAGCTTCGAATCTGCTGTGTTCATCACCTGGTGCAGGTGCTCACCATTGCGGGACCCATGGTTCCGCTGATCCTCATGGGTCTATGGACGCTGGCCATCGGCATTGCCACCATCATTTCTTGGCAGAGCAGCAATCCTCATGTGCCTTGACATGCCTTGACCGAGATGCCAAAGGCGGTGCTAGTTGACAAGGTTGCAGTTGGAAACCAAATTCGAGTTTCCAAACAAGCTCAAGGTTGCAAACTTTGGTGGTTGAGATTTTTCAACACCCCGAAAACGCAAATCTGGACTCTCAAAATTGATTTGCAAGCTGCATTTTGAATGTCCAATCTTGACCCTCCCCACCTTGCATAGAAAATCACCAGTTCGTCAGGTCGCAGAGCGTGCAGATGATGCTGTGATCAGGCAGGGGCGGGACTGTCTTGGCCAGTCGTTGGGCGCCAAATTTATATACCATAGCATCGTGCATTCATATTTTCTCAAAAACACAACCGGCGTTTTTGTGGCTTCTGGTAGGGCTTAGATTTTCACACCTACCAATTTGACAGATGGACCACTTTTGGAGTTCATACACCTCCCCCGCTTCTACCGTTTGTGTTGACAGTTTGCAGTTTGCTGCAGAGGTTCGGGAGTTGCGGCGCATGCTGCAATACGATCATTGCCAGCATGCTGGCCTGAAGCTCGTTGAGTTTCGATGTGCTGACCGTTTGCTCCATTGGTTGGAGATCCTCCTGGTTTTTGAAGACTTGGCCACCCATGAAATCCTCCTGAAGTGGCTTCACCTTCTAACATGTTGATCGACTCTTCTCCTCTTCGCTAGTCCGTACCAACAAAGATCACTAAGATCACTAAGATCACCATGAATTGACAATTGCCAAACCAATCTCTCTCACAGACACAGAGTCTCTGTGTTGCCTGAGGCCAGCACTTACCTCTTCGTTGGCATCGCAGTAGGGGGCTTCTGCACTCACTTAGACACGAATGCATGGATTCCCAGAGGATTCTGAGGTCATAGAAGCTACACAGTGGTGCACAATTCATGCACCTTTCAGGTGGGATGGGATACCAACACCGAGGTGATCAGCTTGGTGAAAGTGGTTTGAGCCCTACCAGGAGTTGAGCAATCTCTGACATGCGTCAGGTTTAGTTGGGGAAAATTGGTGGTTGAGGTTTTTTTTGTTTCTTGGAGAAGGACAACTAAGGACAACCGAAAACACAAACGTCGTGGGTTTGACATAGTTTCGCCAATTCATTGAGACGGACCCAGGTGAACTTCACAGAGTTGTCCACGGCCCAGTGCCTTTAGGGCCTTTAGGGTGTGAAGCAAAACTGGAGAAAACTGGCTCCCCAAAATGAGCCCAAATGCAAACCTATTTTTGGGATGTTTTGGGGGACTGCTTTCGGTGGGGCTTTCGTGATTTTATGCGCCCATGAAAGTGATGGCTGGGAGACTGCTGAGGACCGATTTCCCCGTGGTGATCGACCCTGTGCTGGAGGGTGCAGCAAAGTACTACATCCTCGGCAGCCAGGACTCCATATGAAAGCGGGGCTGGGACGAGAGCTCATTGCAGCCACGCAAAGGATAGAGTCGGATAGAGATGGTGCAGTTGAAAACAGCATTGAAAACAGCATTGAAAACAGCTACTCACTGCTACTCTTTGGACGGAATTGAAAGATGCCAGGAGAATCCCATGATTTCCATGATTGAAGATGTGGAGCGCGATGCACACGCTCTCTATTCGGTGGGCAGTGATCTTTGGGAGAGACTGGCACAACCAAACACCGCTTCTTGTAAGAAGTTGCTCAAAGAGATCTGAGAGAAATGGAATTTCTTTGTAGAACTTTCCGGGATGTGACACAGCTGGATATGTAATCAACACATCCTTCTATGCCTCTTTTGATCTCAAAACTCTGGAAGTGTCAGGTCGCAAGAAAAGGTTCAGTTGACATTTGTGGATTTGTTGAGGCAAAAGACATAACAAGATATAACATATGAATTACATATTATATCCCCGTGGCAATTTCCACTCTAGAACTGGTGAACCTGTGCATTGTTTAAACGATTTTTTTAATGTATTGGAATTTTAAAATTGATGTCAGGCTAGTCATTTTATTGTTGCGGGGTTGGTCTGAGCATTTTATTGGCAAGGTAAATCCTGATGATTTTTAACATATTAAAATTGTTTCCATTCTCATTTTATTGCAAAAAACAAATTGTTTGGAGCATTTTATTGCAGAATGGAACCAATGCTTTTCCAGGATCTTTTTATATTGATTTTATTGGGCATGTCATTTTGGATCAGCGAATTTTAAGGAATTTGACGGAATTCTAAGGACTTTTAAGGAATATTAAGGAATTTTAAAGGAATTATAAGGAATATTAAGGAATTTTAAAGGAATTTTAAAGGAATTATAAGGAAATTTAAGGAATTTAGAGAGTTTTAAGGAATTTTAAGGAATCTTAGAGGAATTTTACTGAATTTAAAGGAATTTGAAGGAATTTGGAGGATTTTTAAGGATCTTTAATGTTTTTAAATTTGAAAGGACATTTAAGGAATTTTAAGGAGTTTTTGGAATTTTAAGGAATTTAAAGGATTTTGAAGGAATTTTAAGGAATTGTCACGAAAGAATGCCACCGTATTTTTGTTGCTATAAAATGCTATAAAAAAAAGAAACATACGTAATATTTGGGCACCTTCACTCTAAAATACCCCTATCTAAAAAGAATTTCCTGACCCCTTTTTAAAGAGGCGTTTCTGAGGGTCTTCGAAATTGGATGAAGTTGGATGCAAATTCGGGCATGAATTTGCTGGCAAGGCATTTTATTGTAGAACCAGTTTTCATGGTTTTTGTGCATTTTAAAGCCTGAGGCCCTATGCACAAAAGTTAGACCGCTCTAAAACTCCTGCACAGCTTCACTTAATGAAATGGAACCCCGATTTACATATGATATAACAAGACAATGTACATCTCTTGCAGGTCTACAGCAATGCTACTTGGGCTGTCGAGCCCGCAAAGGCCGGAACCTGGGAAAGGTGAGAAAGGGTCTCTGCGAGAACAACAGATTTTTGAGCAGAAAAGTGGCATTGAACCAATAGGAACTGGCAGAGTGTCAAAAGTCAGCAGTCAGAACTGGCGCTTCTCCTGTACGCCGTACTTTATGCTGAGATCGCTGAGATATGATGAGCTATGGCTACATACATGCACAAGTAAATGTATGCTGTATGCCTATATGATGTGATTTCTGGACATTTTTGGACATTTCCGCAGTGAATGTTTCACGCTGAGATGGTTTGCAACGGCGTGAAGAACCTGAACGCTTCTGACGCCATGGATGCCTGTCACGAGCCGCAGCACCCAGCGGGGCAAATCTTCACCTTGGGAAGGTAGACTGATGACGGGTGATGAGGGCCGCAGGTGACGGACCTCTCAGATTTTGGGTCGATCATCTTTTGGTTTTCCTGTTTTTTTCCATTTGTGTTTCTTTTCGCCTTGTGGACCTCGGACAACACAATGATTGGAGGATTGGAGCAACTTAGGCGATCTCAGGCTGGCTCGAGGTCTTGTGAGTTGCTTCGGATTGCTGTAGCGCCCGTCATAGATGCCATCACCATGGCAACAGTCACACGTAGTGGTAGTATTCATGATGGTGACTATGATGATAATAATGATGGCGAAGACGGTGATAGCAAATGACACTGCATGTTTGTTACATGTCAGTCTACTATTCGCAACAGCAGAAGACATTTGTTTGCCACTAGCATAGTGCGAACATCGTTTGTGAAGCAGCCAGAAATATGACAAATGGTCCAAAATGTTATCCAAAACCGTTTATATATATATATAATTTTCCCTTTATATTGAATAGATTATCATCATCATTTTCCCTTCCGCAGACTTCCTGGAACCGCGCTAAGATCAACTGAACGCAGCTCCGCTGTGAATGGAATCATTTTCCCCATCAAATTGCCATAACTGGAGGGTATACCCCAATTTCAGACACACCCATATCGTCTCCATATCTAATGGATTTTAATGGTCCCATGTGCACAGGGAGATCAATTCCCGCTGTGGCAAGGTCTGTGAATTTTGCAGGGCAGCTCATTGCTGCCAGGTGGGACTCAGGGTCGACAACGTACATGGCACGTTGTCTTCCATAGTAAGGCTGATGAGTTTGTTTTTGAATATATGATATATGTCGTCTATATTTGTAAATATATATATATACATAATATATATATATATATGATCGAGAGACCTTTAGGTACCATTTTGTTCCGGTTAATTCTGATAATTTTGAGAGCCTTTTGGATAATTGAGAGGATTTGAAGAATTAAATGATTTAATCCTTTTAATCCTTTTAATCCTCCAGAGCCTTTTGGGGGATTAAAAGGATTAAAAGGACTAAATGATTTAATCCTTTTAATCCTTTTAATCCTCCAGAGCTTTTTGGGGGATTAAAAGGATTCAAAGTATTAGATGATTTAATCCTTTTAATCCTTTTAATCCTCCAGAGCCTTTTGGAGGATTAAAAGGATTAAAAGGATTAAATGATTTAATCCTTTTAATCCTTTTAATCCTCCAGAGTCCTTTGGGGGATCAAAAGGATTAAATGATTTAATCCTTTTAACCCTTTTAACCCTTTTAATCCTTTTAATCCTCCAGGGGGTCCGGAATTCCCGGCCCAAGCCCTTGAGAAATATATTTAAATCCATTTAATCCTTTTAATCCTCCAGAGCCTTTTGGGGGATTAAAAGGATTAGAGGGATTAAATGATTTAATCCTTTTAATCCTTTTAATCCTCCAGAGCCTTTTGGAGGATTAAAAGGATTAAAAGGATTAAATGATTTAATCCTTTTAATCCTTTTAATCCTCCAGAGTCCTTTGGGGGATTAAAAGGATTAAAAGGATTAAATGATTTAATCCTTTTAATCCTTTTAATCTTTTTAATCTTCAGGGTGTCCGGAATTCCCGGCCCAAGCCCTTGAGAAATATATTTAAATCCTTTTAATCCTTTTAATCCCCCAGAGCCTTTTGGAGGATTAAAAGGATTAAAAGGATTTAAAGAATTAAATTGCTGGGCTTTTCTTGGGATTCTGGGAAGGATTAAAAGGATTAAAAGGGGATTAAAAGGATAAAGGATTAAATGATTTAATCCTTTTAAATCCTTTTAATCCTTTTAATCCTCCAGGGGGTCCGGAATTCCCGGCCCAAGCCCTTGAGAAATATATTTAAATCCATTTAATCCTTTTAATCCTCCAGAGCCTTTTGGAGGATTAAAAGGATTAAAAGGATTTAAAGAATTAAATTGCTGGGCTTTTCTTGGGATTCTGGGAGGTCTGGAGGATTAAAAGGATTAAATCATTTAATCCTTTTAATCCTCCAGAGCCTTTTGGGGGATTAAAAGGATTAAAAGGATTAAATGATTTAATCCTTTTAATCCTTTTAATCCTCCAGAGCCTTTTGGAGGATTAAACGGATTAAAAGGATTAAATGATTTAATCCTTTGAATCCTTTTAATCCTCCAGAGTCCTTTGGGGGATTAAAAGGATTAAAAGGATTAAATGATTTAATCCTTTTACTCTCCCGAAATCTAACTTATTACGAAAAAAAAACGGCAGTCCATGTTAGTTGAATTTATGTTGTTTTTTACAAAGCCGGAATTGGTCCATGTTAGTTGTTATTTTGAAGCTGTGATTTTTGATGATTTTTGATGATTTTTGTCGCCATGAGAGGCTCATGCAGGAAGGTCCACGTTAGCTGAAATGGAGGGTTCAGCGCGTGGGTCATCCTGTTATCAAAAGTTTGGCAACAGGACGACTAACATAGATCCTGCCCAGGGTTCCCAAAACCTCCAATAGTATATCATAATCATTAGTTCAGCAAGTAGCCAGATTGGTAACATCGACCAGGAGTTTTTTCCTTATTCAATCTATTATATAAAATTGTTGATTTTGAAGTTTTTTTTGGGTCCAGTAAGGGTTCACCCCACAAAGAGTCACACAGACATCCAAAAACAGTTGTGCCAGTCATGATTTCCAATCCAAAACCAATGTTTTGGCAACAGGACGACTAACATAGATCCTGCCCAGGGTTCCCAAAACCTCCAATAGTATATCATAACCGTTAGTTCAGCAAGTAGCCAGATTGGCAACATCGACCAGGAGTTTTTCCTTATTCAATCTATCATATAAAATTCTTGATTTTGAAGCTTTTTTGGGTCCAGTAAGGGTTCACCCCAAAAAGAGTCACAAAGACATCCAAAAAACAGTTGTGCCAGTCATGATTTCCAATCCAAAACCGAAGTTTTGGCAACAGGACGGCTAACATAGATCCTGCCCAGGGTTCCCAAAACCTCCAATAGTATATCATAACCGTTAGTTCAGCAAGTAGCCAGATTGGCAACATCGACCAGGAGTTTTTTCCTTATTCAATCTATCATTTAAAATTGCTGATTTTGAAGCTTTTTTTTGGGTCCAGTAAGGGTTCACCCCACAAAGAGTCACAAAGACATCCAAAAACAGTTGTGCCAGTCATGATTTTCAATCCAAAACCAATGTTTTGGCAACAGGACGACTAACATAGATCCTGCCCAGGGTTCCCAAAACCTCCAATAGTATTTCATAACCGTTAGTTCAGCAAGTAGCCAGATTGGCAACATCGACCAGGAGTTTTTCCTTATTCAATCTATCATATAAAATTCTTGATTTTGAAGCTTTTTTGGGTCCAGTAAGGGCTCACCCCAAAAAGAGTCACAAAGACATCCAAAAAACAGTTGTGCCAGTCATGATTTCCAATCCAAAACCGAAGTTTTGGCAACAGGACGGCTAACATAGATCCTGCCCAGGGTTCCCAAAACCTCCAATAGTATATCATAACCGTTAGTTCAGCAAGTAGCCAGATTGGCAACATCGACCAGGAGTTTTTTCCTTATTTAATCTATGATGTAAAATTGCTGATTTTGAAGCTTTTTTGGGTCCAGTAAAGGTTCACCCCAAAAAGAGTCACAAAGACATCCAAAAACAGTTGTGCCAGTCATGATTTCCAATCCAAAACCAAAGTTTTGGCAACAGGACGACTAACATAGATCCTGCCCAGGGTTCCCAAAACCTCCAATAGTATATCATAATCATTAGTTCAGCAAGTAGCCAGATTGGAAACATCGACCAGGAGTTTTTTCTTTATTCAATCTATTATGTAAAATTCTTGATTTTGAAGCTTTTTTGGGTCCAGTAAGGGTTCACCCCACAAAGAGTCACAAAGACATCCAAAAACAGTTGTGCCAGTCATGATTTCCAATCCAAAACCAAAGTTTTGGCAACAGGACGGCTAACATAGATCCTGCCCAGGGCTTCCAAAACTTCCAATTTTCCAGTCCCTCCAATGCGCACGCGCGTTGGCGGAAAATGACAGTAGCAACCTTTGAGATTTCATCCGCTGTCATTTTCCGCCAAGGCGCGCGCGCGCATTGGAGGGACGGGAAAAATGGAAGTTTTCGGAACCCTGGGCAGGATCTATGTTAGTCGTCCTGTTGCCAAAACTTTGGTTTTGGATTGGAAATCATGACTGGCACAACTGTTTTTGGATGTCTTTGTGACTCTTTGTGGGGTGAACCCTTACTGGACCCAAAAAAGCTTCAAAATCAAGAATTTTACATAATAGATTGAATAAGGAAAAAACTCCTGGTCGATGTTGCCAATCTGGCTACTTGCTGAACTAATGATTATGATATACTATTGGAGGTTTTGGGAACCCTGGGCAGGATCTATGTTAGTCGTCCTGTTGCCAAAACTTTGGTTTTGGATTGGAAATCATGACTGGCACAACTGTTTTTGGATGTCTTTGTGACTCTTTGTGGGGTGAACCCTTACTGGACCCAAAAAAGCTTCAAAATCAAGAATTTTACATAATAGATTGAATAAGGAAAAAACTCCTGGTCGATGTTGCCAATCTGGCTACTTGCTGAACTAATGATTATGATATACTATTGGAGGTTTTGGGAACCCTGGGCAGGATCTATGTTAGTCGTCCTGTTGCCAAAACTTTGGTTTTGGATTGGAAATCATGACTGGCACAACTGTTTTTGGATGTCTTTGTGACTCTTTGTGGGGTGAATCTTTACTGGACCCAAAAAAGCTTCAAAATCAACAATTTTACATAATAGATTGAATAAGGAAAAAACTCCTGGTCGATGTTGCCAATCTGGCTACTTGCTGAACTAATGATTATGATATACTATTGGAGGTTTTGGGAACCCTGGGCGGGATCTATGTTAGTCGTCCTGTTGCCAAAACTTTGGTTTTGGATTGGAAATCATGACTGGCACAACTGTTTTTGGATGTCTTTGTGACTCTTTGTAGGGTGAACCCTTACTGGACCCAAAAAAGCTTCAAAATCAAGAATTTTATATGATAGATTGAATAAGGAAAAAACTCCTGGTCGATGTTGCCAATCTGGCTACTTGCTGAACTAATGATTATGATATACTATTGGAGGTTTTGGGAACCCTGGGCAGGATCTATGTTAGTCGTCCTGTTGCCAAAACTTTGGTTTTGGATTGGAAATCATGACTGGCACAACTGTTTTTGAATGTCTTTGTGACTCTTTGTGGGGTGAACCCTTACTGGACCCAAAAAAGCTTCAAAATCAAGAATTTTACATAATAGATTGAATAAGGAAAAAACTCCTGGTCGATGTTGCCAATCTGGCTACTTGCTGAACTAACGATTATGATATACTATTGGAGGTTTTGGGAACCCTGGGCAGGATCTATGTTAGTCGTCCTGTTGCCAAAACTTTGGTTTTGGATTAGAAATCATGACTGGCACAACTGTTTTTGGATGTCTTTGTGACTCTTTGTGGGGTGAATCTTTACTGGACCCAAAAAGCTTCAAAATCAAGAATTTTACATAATAGATTGAATAAAGAAAAAACTCCTGGTCGATGTTTCCAATCTGGCTACTTGCTGAACTAATGATTATGATATACTATTGGAGGTTTTGGGAACCCTGGGCAGGATCTATGTTAGTCGTCCTGTTGCCAAAACTTTGGTTTTGGATTGGGAATCATGACTGGCACAACTGTTTTTGGATGTCTTTGTGACTCTTTTTGGGGTGAACCTTTACTGGACCCAAAAAAGCTTCAAAATCAGCAATTTTACATAATAAATTGAATAAGGAAAAAACTCCTGGTCGATGTTGCCAATCTGGCTACTTGCTGAACTAATGATTATGATATACTATTGGAGGTTTTGGGAACCCTGGGCAGGATCTATGTTAGTCGTCCTGTTGCCAAAACTTTGGTTTTGGATTGGAAATCATGACTGGCACAACTGTTTAGTAGTAGTAGTAGTAGCAGTAGCAGTAGCAGTAGCAGTAGCAGTAGCAGTAGCAGTAGCAGTAGCAGTAGCAGTAGCAGTAGTAGTAGTAGTAGTAGCAGTTGTGCCAGTCATGATTTCCAATCCAAAACCAAAGTTTTGGCAACAGGACGGCTAACATAGATCCTGCCCAGGGTTCCCAAAACTTCCAATTTTCCAGTCCCTCCAATGCGCGCGCGCGTTGGCGGAAAATGACAGTAGCAACCTTTGAGATTTCATCCGCTGTCATTTTCCGCCAAGGCGCGCGCGCGCATTGGAGGGACGGGAAAAATGGAAGTTTTCGGAACCCTGGGCAGAATCTATGTTAGTCGTCCTGTTGCCAAAACTTTGGTTTTGGATTGGAAATCATGACTGGCACAACTGTTTTTGGATGTCTTTGTGACTCTTTGTGGGGTGAACCCTTACTGGACCCAAAAAAGCTTCAAAATCAAGAATTTTACATAATAGATTGAATAAGGAAAAAACTCCTGGTCGATGTTGCCAATCTGGCTACTTGCTGAACTAATGATTATGAAATACTATTGGAGGTTTTGGGAACCCTGGGCGGGATCTATGTTAGTCGTCCTGTTGCCAAAACTTTGGTTTTGGATTGGAAATCATGACTGGCACAACTGTTTTTGGATGTCTTTGTGACTCTTTGTGGGGTGAACCCTTACTGGACCCAAAAAAGCTTCACAATCAGCAATTTTACATAATAGATTGAATAAAGAAAAAACTCCTGGTCGATGTTTCCAATCTGGCTACTTGCTGAACTAATGATTATGATATACTATTGGAGGTTTTGGGAACCCTGGGCAGGATCTATGTTAGTCGTCCTGTTGCCAAAACTTTGGTTTTGGATTGGAAATCATGACTGGCACAACTGTTTTTGGATGTTTTTGTGACTCTTTGTGGGGTGAATCTTTACTGGACCCAAAAAAGCTTCAAAATCAACAATTTTACATAATAGATTGAATAAGGAAAAAACTCCTGGTCGATGTTTCCAATCTGGCTACTTGCTGAACTAATGATTATGATATACTATTGGAGGTTTTGGGAATCCTGGGCAGGATCTATGTTAGTCGTCCTGTTGCTAAAACTTTGGTTTTAGATTGGAAATCATGACTGGTACAACTGTTTTTGGATGTCTTTGTGACTCTTTGTGGGGTGAACCCTTACTGGACCCAAAAAAGCTTCAAAATCAAGAATTTTACATAATAGATTGAATAAGGAAAAAACTCCTGGTCGATATTGCCAATCTGGCTACTTGCTGAACTAATGATTATGATATACTATTGGAGGTTTTGGGAACCCTGGGCAGGATCTATGTTAGTCGTCCTGTTGCCAAAACTTTGGATTTGGATTAGAAATCATGACTGGCACAACTGTTTTTGGATGTCTTTGTGACTCTTTGTGGGGTGAACCCTTACTGGACCCAAAAAAGCTTCAAAATCAACAATTTTCTTTACTGTAATAGATTGAATAAGGAAAAAACTCCTGGTCGATGTTGCCAATCTGGCTACTTGCTGAACTAACGATTATGATATACTATTAGAGGTTTTGGGAACCCTGGGCAGGATCTATGTTAGTCGTCCTGTTGCCAAAACTTTGGTTTTGGATTGGAAATCATGACTGGCACAACTACTACTACTACTATACTACTACTACTACTACTTACTACTACTGAACAGTTGTGCCAGTCATGATTTCCAATCCAAAACCAAAGTTTTGGCAACAGGACGACTAATATAGATCCTGCCCAGGGTTCCCAAAACCTCCAATAGTATATCATAATCATTAGTTCAGCAAGTAGCCAGATTGGCAACATCGACCAGGAGTTTTTTCCTTATTCAATCTATTATATAAAATTCTTGATTTTGAATTTGAAGTTTTTTTGGGTCCAGTAAGGGCTCACCCCACAAAGAGTCACAAAGACATCCAAAAACAGCTGTGCCAGTCATGATTTCCAATCCGAAACCAAAGTTTTGGCAACAGGACGACTAATATAGATCCTGCCCAGGGTTCCCAAAACCTCCAATAGTATATCATAATCGTTAGTTCAGCAAGTAGCCAGATTGGCAACATCGACCAGGAGTTTTTTCCTTATTCAATCTATTACAGTAAAGAAAATTGTTGATTTTGAAGCTTTTTTGGGTCCAGTAAGGGTTCACCCCACAAAGAGTCACAAAGACATCCAAAAACAGTTGTGCCAGTCATGATGTGAGGAGATCATGCTATCAAAGCTGGTTCAGGTCCTTGTTAGGTGAAATCTTGCCACAAAAATCTACTCCCAAAAATCCGCATTTTGATATCTCCAGAAAATGTGGCTAACATAGACCCGTAGGAACGAGGCTTGAAAAACCATATCTGGTCCAGGTTAATTGAAAAACGGTTGAAAAATCAAAAAGATTGACAAACAAAGCTGCAACTTCTATATCCAACTGCCTCTGGTCAGAGTCCATGTTAGCAATTTGGCTTCCCATGTTTAAAAAAAAGTTACGCGTAGTTCCTGGGGAATGCAGATATTACCAGGACGGTACGGAGGTCCATGTTAGCTGACAGTGGGAATAGCATTTATATCCACGTTAGATTTCATGAGTGTATTAATATATATATATAATTATATATAATTATATATATATATCAATATATTGCAGTAGTGTTTTCCGAAGTTTTCCTTCCAAGACGGGACTCCATCGAGACGCCCAGCTCCGGCCTCTGTCCTGTTCAGGTATGAGGTGCCCGAGGCAGAGATCTCTTCAGCGCCCGTGGAGTTCAAGAAGAACATTGGCATGTCTGGACCTCGTAAAGCAAGACTTTCAGACTTCTTTCAGACTTCTTTGATTTTCAGTCATCTGATCAGGATCATTGAAAACATATCATCCGTTCCTCACAACTCTCCAAGTATATCATCTCTTCAGAGCCCTTGGCGAGGCCAAGGGAAGTCGATTCCTGCATAAAGACGCTCATTCAAAGTCACGCCTGGGTCGCTTCTGTCACTCGACATCAACGTCACTCAACGTCACTCAACGTCACTCAACGTCACTCAACGTCACTCAACGTCACTCAACGTCACTCAACACTCAGAGTTTTTGAAGTAGCTTGAAGTTTTTTGAAACGCAAATCTCAGCTCTCACAGGCCCTAGAGGCCATCTGAGTCCCAGCCGTTTTGCAAAGAGCCATCGTAAAAGGACTGCGATGGAAATTCCGAGAGGCACGGGTGCATTCGGTATTGCACCTGAGAATCTCACATGCACAGAGTCTTTGTCAATGGATTGATGTAAGACAAATTCACAGGAAACACGTGGTTGTTACCCCAAATATATAGAGGTGCCCTTTGGATTTCCTCTTACACCATTTGATTCCGACGCTAATTCAATCTCAACGATCAAGATACTTTGAATCAGAACGATGCAGTGCATGCTGCACGTCAGCATCTTAGCATCTTATACGTATAAGCGATCTTAAGCCCTGCTCTTACCACTGCGCCTCCAATCGCACCGGTCGAATGCCCAAAAAGATCAGGCGCTCGAAAAGGCTCTGATGCAAGCCAGCCTCACATGAAACTCACGTGAAAAGCTTCGAATTGCTCCGTCTCTGTTTGCCCTGGAATGCCCTGTCAAGTGATGTACAGCATCCACTGGTCAAGCCTTGGCGGCCTTCTTGCACATGATGACCTTCGCTGCAAAGCAGTGCAAGATCAACAGCACATTCGACCCGCAAAGGTACTCACTTCAGTAAAAAAACAAAGAACATCAGAATATCCATCAGAATCAGAATATCAGAATATCACAAAGGAGTGTTCGCACAACGAGTGTGTTCGCAAGACTCGAAAACGCAGCGACACTTCAGGTGCTGACAGGGCCAAGTTGGCAATGATCTCCAACCAACACAATCTGCTTGGCACCCATCCTTGGTAGATGCGAGTGCATTCGCTTCAAGGCGTCTTGGCTGCAGTTTTCCATGTAGCGAATACAGTCGGGAGTGTCACCCGGTTGAACCCAACCAACTTTCTTCAGCATGCGCTCTAGCTACTCTAGTTCGGAATTTTTGGCACCCGGGCATGATTGGGATGAGGCACTCTGGCTCAGTGGCCTGAACAGCTTGAGTTCACTCGATTCGCAACCCGGCCTTCCCAAGAAGAGAATCATTCTGAATTCAGATACAAAGTATCCTCGAGTTGCAGATGCTTTCGTCCCAGATCTATCAGGCATAGAGACGTCTCTGGACTCCAGAGCAAAAAGTGTTCTTCAGAGCATTCTGACAGTCATGCGGGTAGCGCCTGAGTCGATTCATCCACCAAAACCTGCTTGAAGCGGAAGTTCTGCAGTCGCGGGTCACCAGCTCCAACCTCGACCACCAGGTATCAGTCACCTCCGAACCTTGAAAGGAAATCTCAAATTCAAAAAACTTCAGACACATTTTCTACACGGAAGTGAAACCTAAATTCGGCACAATTCTAAATTGTAATATTGTAATATTCTACAGGAAGTAATGGCGTCCTTGGAAAATGATCTCCACTGCAGGTTCACTGAATTCCCGAGTGCCCTGCGCATGTTGTGCAAATTACATCTGCGGCCTCGCAAATTGCACTGAGCACAAGCTGGTCAGGACAAAGGAGCCCAAGAGCAGAGGAAGAGGATGGAAGAGCAACGTTGGATCCAACACGTTGCAGTTCTGGTTGGAGTTCTGGCAGTTCTGGTGAGGTTACGGCGGTTACGCTATACCAACAAGATCCAACACGTCTCATTGTACCGATCCCGCTTTTACGTCTCATTACATGCTTTTGCAACAGTTCTTGCATCTCTCAGAATATCTCAGAACCCTGAAATAGGTCCAGCCAGAGTGACTGTGAGCAATTCGCGCTCCGTGGAGTTCTGCAGCTGTTTGAACTTCTTCTCATCTGCATGAGACAACTCACCTCGCCAGCCCATCGGTTCTTGACGAGGCAGTAGGCTTGTTTGCGTTACTTTACGTTTTTTTAGTCATGAGAAATATGAAGAAATGATGTGTGCCAAAAAATGTCAGTTCATCAGTTGTCTTTGAGAAAATTCCGGGTAAAAAAAACTCACGAAACCTGTCTACCCCGGCAGGGCCTAACTCATCCTTCAGGGCCAACAGCTTCTGCAGCTCCTCACCATCTCATGTCATCTCATGTCTAGATCTGCCCAGTGAAGCCTGTTCATCCTACGTGTGACCCATGTGATGAATCCAGAAAATACCAGAAAATCCTGGCTGTTTCCAGGTTTCCTGGTTCTGTTACTGAAGTGGAAAAACTTGTGGCGAAGATCGAGCTACGGCTCAATTTGGGAGTGCAAAATTGAGCAACTTTGGCACATTTTGGCACATGTCTTTGAACAAGCAGGTGACCTCTGACAATTCTCGATGCATGGTGAAGAGAGAGGGCTAACGTGCGGAGAGACCGCCACTTGTGCTTTGCTCTTAAACCCATGGCGCTGTAAGCTGTTGCCTCAGCAAGAGTCTTCGTTATGTCGACCCCTCCTTGACCCTGCTTATCATCTCCAGGTGATTGATGATAGTATCTGATAGGGATGTGAGTGGAGCCCTCGTCCTGGTGGTCAGGTGTGTCCAAATGTCTCACCTGGTGATGCCTCGGGATCTGCCAGGCTCAGCTGGCTGGCTTAGACGGCTCAAACATTTGCGCTAGAAACAATAGACGCCAAACATTGCCAAACATGACTTGGGAAGATTCTTGTCAAAGCTTCTACAGTTACGAAGTAGCCAGGCAGCGGGTGCTCGAAAGTTGCAATGGTATAATTCATCGTCTGGAAAACAGAACAAATCTCCAAGAGCTTCAACAGCTTCAACAGTTTCAACTAAACTTGTTATAACAAACTTGTGAGTCCACAGCGACTTGGCAGGTTGGTGCCATTTGGTGCCCGGACAATGTCAAGAAGTCAACACTGCTAGCCACTGCTTCGCGGCTCTTTGCGCTCAAACGCACCACCTCTGTGTGTTGACTGCTGCAAATCATTTGTGCTGGGTAGACAACCAAGGACAGTCCTCAAATAGGCATGTAGACCTTTTTTTGGCCTGTTTGATATGTATACTTAATTTTCCTTCTCCCCTCATGGGAGGAATTCGGTTTCAGAGGTGAAGTCATTCTGTCATTGTCACACTGTTGCAGAGAAGACTGTGAATTGCAAATGACCCTCAAATAGGCACATCAATATTATTAATCTGGTGGATTCTAAGTCTTTACTGAAACAATGTTCCGACGCAAAGTTAGAACTCCTGTTGTGTAGCCTCTTGACTTGAACCAGCTTGACTTCTGGATTCCCTGTCAGCTTCGGGTGCGGCAAGTCCTGACATCCCTCAGATCGAGTGTTGAGGTGTCGGCTTTCAGACCTGTCTTGTGTAGCTTCTCAGCCAGCTGGTCAACAGCAATGTTGGAGGGAGCACAAACCAAGACCTGCCGTGATCGGAACTCCACTGTGCCGGTCGGTCTCAGTGGATCTCAGTGTTAGTTTCACGTTGTGACATGCTTTTCGAATCTTTTCGACATGCTTTGTGACATGGTTTCACTGAGTTTCACTGTTTGTGTTGCAGCAATTGCAGCATGACAGCATGCACTAACATGCACTGCATGTTTCATCAAACAGCGACTGTCGAATCGCATCAGCAAACTCTCAGCGAAGTCTGCGAGCTCTACCTGACCCTGATTCTGCCGAGTGAGGTGGAAAACAATGGTGGCACTGGTCACGGTCTTTCCTGTTCCTGGCAGCGAAGCTCAGCTACAGATTTCGTGCATTGTCACACTACATTTGTAGCCACGAGAAGGACCCTTCACGGCATGTATTGAATGACTGATTGTCACACAGAACTCTGGGCCGCCGGTTCACCTTATTCGGTAAAAAATATTTGAGAAAGAAAAAACACACCAGCCACCCCCTGCAAGTGTCCGCCCATCACACCTGGAGGTCCCTGGATGAGGCACAATGGATTTGACAATGCTTTCCGCACTGCGTAGACCTGGTCCAAACAGTCCACACTCGACACTGTCGACATATGTCGACATTGTCGACACAACGATCTTTTCACACATGATCCATCATCAGTCATCATCCTAGAAAAGCGATTGGCACCCAAAGCTAGTGGCAGCACCTGCGAGTGGTTCAGTTGTGGAAGGTTTGGAGCTGTGAAATGCTTCGGCACATTCGCACCTCAGCAACTTGGCACTACTTGGCACTCCTGGATCCCAAATCTTCATCGCCCTTTCTGCTGAAACATGGCCAGAAACTTCGACAAACTTCGACAAACTTCGGCCCTGGCGAATGGTCTGAGGCTCCACATCATGACCTCACCCAGCTGTCCGATCAAGCGCAAGCTTTTTCAAAGAATTCTAAGGCACTGGCCCAGGAGTTTGTGGTACAAATAACCAGAGACCTGTCCAGGAAAGGCACATGCTTGAAGCTGGTTGATTCCTAATTGCATGTTGGAGTCCCATGTCAAGCACAACTTTGTTGTCTGTTTTGTTCCATGCCATTCAGCTGCATTCATCTTGCCAAATGTTGCGATTTTTGTGCTGTGGTCCCCAAGCCATCCAAAGCCCTTCCGCTCTGATGCTTCACTTAGGATGCTGCGCTGGTGTCATCTACCGCAAAGGTGCGCATGGCAGCTTGCATGCGGTCAAAGGATGTGGACTTCCAAACCTTCATCGTGGTCAGATGTGGTGAGCCATCGCCGGTGGCTCTATGGATTTTTTCTGTACATCCTTTATTGTTGCAACTGTGCAATAGAGTCCTCTCGCCAAATTATATACACCGATGAAGCATCTGGCGTTCAACAAGATTCTGAGCATCCGGCAAACTCCACTTGGAAGCCATGGTTGATGTCCCATGGGCCTACCTGCAGGGAAGTAGTTGAAAACAAGATCATTCATTCCCAGCTTGTTGCCCTGGCTCGAATACCCATATGTAATCATCAGAAAAACTCACTGTTGGGACTTGACCAACCAGGCAGGGTGTGTCAGAAAAGCGGTTCAAAGTCAATATAGTAGCTTCTTTGGCCAAACCAACACTGGACCTGCAGTCAAAACACGTTACCTCCACAGAATGTAACAAAGATGTAGTATTTTAAAATGACTATATAACTACACTAAATTAACTACACTGAACAGACTAAAACCCACGGGTCTGCAACTGCAATTCCAGCACCTGCTGAGGTCCACGGAGCTCCAAGGCAACCTCCTCGTTTGCCGTGATCTTCGAGACGTGACCCACGGCATTCCAACCAGTCTCCTCAGCGTCGCGCAAGTCACGCACGTCGCCCAGTGAAACTCATGTAGCGAGAAAATTCCAGGATCGAATCGATCGAATCAATATTAAAATGATGATCAACTGCGTATTCACGATGCACATGAAAACACGCTACATCCAGTTGAAGGATTCCTCTCACCACGGCTAAGGTCCCTGCATCTGCGTTTGCAAGGTTGGCATAGGCAGATGAGTTTAAGCGCAGACGCAGTTCATCGCCCGGCACCAACCGTGCCTGTGCCAGGTTGGGCTGGATGATATGGTTGATACGAGTATTGTTGTGCTAAGCGTCAAATATATTCACATATCAAGTCAATTTGCACCTATCATACCCGAAGCACAGTGCTGCGTGCTTCATGGCACGCGTGGATCAATATCGAATGCTTTTTCGACGTGTCAGAGGTTGTCACGTGTCAATCATCCTTTGCTGACTCGACAGTCTCAGATCAAATATCTGGACTGGAGATCTGGCTCTACACAAGAGAGTCTACGCAGAGTGGTTGTACTCCTTTGTACTTCCACATCAAAAGTGCGTGAGGAAAAACGGTCACGTGACTAAAGATCTGCCTCCAAAGGCGACTAGGCTTCAAGGCTCGAGGCAACCTCCCTTCAGAGGTCGTCCTCGCCTCCTCTCTCAGGAGACACCAGAGAACTTGCAACCTTTTCCAATGAGTCGACATTATGTCTGTATGAATCTGGCGCTGTGTCAAAATAAGGGACGAAAGAAACGTCACCATTGCTTCTTTTTCTGATGTCGCAGTTTTGAGGGGTCCCTATTCTGGCACATTCTGGCACATACGCCCAATGATTGTTGAAAGTGATCGGGGTTTGTTCCTTTCTGCAGAACAGAAACGAATTAACACCAGCCACACATGGAAAGGACTTCACAGAATCTGACCAAAAGGCTTTTTACAAGTAATTAATAGTAATTATTATGTTACCATCAGTATGGAGCTGTATCGAGAGATTCTCGCCTTGCCGGGTGGCCAGTCCAGAACAAAATTTGGCTACTGCTCACTGAAGGAAGGAGCACGTTGGGCTAACCTACCTCTGAACCGAGGTCTTGGGGCCCTGTCCTAGTTGCCCTCAGAGAAAGCATAGCCACGGCGTCGTGACTTGCCAAGAGTATGAGTATCCAAGTGAAAGTCCAAACCAAATGCACCTCCTGTGCGATCTGCTTGGGCTTGTGCTTCCGTAAGCATCTTCACCATGGCTTCGTTTCCGAGCTCTTCTGCGATCTGAATGGGGCTTGCTCGTTCGATGCGGACGACCTGGTAAAGGCTGCTCATGTCTCTTGAGTCGTTCAAATCTGCAAAGCCATGTCGCTGAAGAAAAGCATCCACCAGCTTCTTGCACAAGGTATCCATTGGGAAACCTGTCTGCATGAGTGGACACCGCTCAACAATGCAAGACATACTCAAAATGAGAAAAGTTACTTGAGCCACAGAGAAACGCGAACTTGAGTCCGGTGGAGGCAAGTGCTCTGCTGGCAGTCGCTTACTCTTGTGGGGCTTTCGGCCCTCCGTGATTCTCAGCAAACGACAAATGTCAATTGAGTCAGTTGATGTCAGTTGTTTTTTTTTGGATCTTTGGAATCGTGACTTATGCCGAAGCTGTATGGAAATCAATAGCAAATCTGATGCCATCCACCTCGCTGTCCTCTTTGGTGAAGTGAAAATATGCAATCCGCTTCTTGTTGAGACCTGCAAGGCTTCTTTTGCAATGAGTTTCAAACCTGCACTGCATATCACTGCATATGATTGAAAAGAAAATCAGCTCAATTCAAGTCAATGTTGTTCTTCCGCTTAGCTCTCCAAACTCATCTTCAACATGAGGAAGATTTGTTGCATCCCCAAGTTCCACACCGATATCCCATCTGACCACTACCTCAGGTTTTCTGGCAGCGCTAAGAACTGGAAGAAACCGAAGCAAAACAAACATACCAAGAGCGCAAAACCACTTTAGGCACATAGGTCTGTTGTGTTTTTTGTTTTCTCAAGGTGTTGGCAATATTGCCTTTCCATGGATTCTGCAACGTACTTTTCCCCGAATAGCTTCAGCTATAAGGCTATAAGGGTTCATATTTCTAAATGAATCGGTTGCTGATTTTTGAAATTGGTCCTTTCAAATTTGTCCCATATGTGCAAAACATAGAAAATTGCATGGATATAAAATGCATCTACACATATCTACAGATTATCTACACATAAACTGAAAGCATAGGCCTTGCGCCGAGATGCGTTCTCCTGCGACTGCGACTCTTTCACTTTCTTGTCGTAGTCAGCCTGTTGAAGCACCACTGAGGTGGGACTTGACATGAGAAACGGCAACAGGCAATGTGTGACATGAATGACATAATAATACATAATATATCCTGCTGCAGATCCGAAGTTCCTAGCCGGACAATGCTGGACCGACCAGGTTCTCTCCATGAACCCCAGCATGGCCTCCATCTTCACCAGCGGGGCAAACACATGCTGGTACTGGTAAGCATCCTGCACAGATCGCAGAATCTCCATTTCCTTTGGAAATATCTGGAACGTGTGCAGAATTCATGAGAACCTTGGGGAACCAGATGCGATTTATCGGGTAGCCCGATGTAACCCGGGTACCTCCCAAGGCTCGCCTCGTACCGGAGCATCACCGGCTGTGGGTCATCCTCCATGCCTTGTTTTTTTACATGTCGGGTTCCAAGACATCGCCCAAGGTGTGACATGTCGGACGCGTCGGACGTGCTGGTAGCGCCTGGACCAGACTTTCCATCTAAGTCCTCTATGGTGGCGTCTGGATTGGTCTTCCACATCCTAGGAACAAATTTAACGCCAGGACGGTTTGAACATGTTTGAACCATATCAAAGTTACCAGTAGTGCCGGGCCCGCGCCAGAGCAGAAGTTTCGAAAAAAAAAAATCGACTACTATGGGAAGAGGGCCTACTGTATGGGAATGCTTTTGAAATGCAAAGCAACGAAATGTTGAAGCTGTGAGGTGTTGAAGCTGTGAGGTGCACCAACGAATGAGGAAATGTTGTTGAGATACCACTGAAAGGACATGAAAGAATCCATGCACAACTGACTGGATGAATCAATGAACCACTGAACCGGTGAATCAATGAGCCAATGAATCGAGGAATCAGTGAACCGATAAACGAACGAAATGGAAGGAAGCAATGAATCGATGAATCAACCGATCAATCAAGCAATCAATCAACCAAGCAAGGATTCAGCGAGTCAATGAAGCAACGAAGCAATGAACCACTGATTCAATAAATGAGTGATGTAGTGAGTCGATGAATCAACGAATCAATGAATCAGTGAAGCAACTAATCAAGGAACCAACGAATCAGTGAATCAACGAATCAGCGAATCACTGAATCAAAAAATCAAAGAATGAATGATTCAATGAATCAACGAATCAATGAATCAATCAGCCGATAAACCAATGAATCAGTGAGTCAATGCATCAAAGCATGAAATCAGTTTTTGAACATTTTGAAATGCAAGTCGAGCTCTCGCTACAGTCCTGCGCGCTTTTTGTCGACAACTTTCCCACGGCGACCCCAGGAGCCACATTATCCGAAAAAAACACAGGTTTTCGCGCTTGAGAGTGTTTTCACCCGTAAATTCACGCGCTTCCGAACTGATACATTTCCCAACTACTTGATGATGGGTGGTTGACATGATGATGTGGTTGACATGGTGGTGGGAATGCTAACCATTACAATCGTCCGTAACTTGGAAGTTTTCTAACTAAACTTCCTTTGATGACATAGAGCAGTCAAAAGCTGGGACAACCACTCTTCGAGCTTGTTGACCTGGAGGTGTGTCAATTTTGGATGTCATCAAAATCTCATTTGAACCATTGGACTGTTTCCAAGAGTGTTCAGAGCAGCTGTGCACCTGCGCTGCTGTGATGTTCCAGGAGCGCATTTGTTCCTGGCGTGGGGCCATGTTATAAAATCATGCTGCAATGAACATGTTGATCCAGGTGAACGGGTGCTCTCTTGCAGGGCTCTCATGACGTTCATGGGAGTTCGTTAAACACTTGATGACAGGAGATAAGCACAGCTTCATGCTCAGGCCACGCAAACGGACTTTCTACCTTGCGCAAACCTCTACCCTTGACCATCTAGCCACTACTAGCATCATCTGATCATCTGCGACTACCTACGACCACCTGTGACCACCTGTGACCACCTCGGTCACATCTCACAGCCGTCGCATCCCATGCAAGTCACCACTGCGCCTTGGGATCTGGCACCTTCACCAGCCAAGGCAAAAAGCTACGATCCTGGCACGGCTTCCAATTCTCCGAATGTCCGTTCTGCTTGGCCCATGCATGCAGTGCCAACCAAAGCATGCCCGCTTATCTGCAAATTCATCTGTATCTGTCTCTGTGTTCAAGTGTGTTATGTGCGTATGGCAAATAAAGTATGTATGTAGGTTATGTCAGCAGGTAGGTAGGCATGTAGGCATTCAGGGTCGTAGGCATGGTGGACCTGGAACAAGGAAGGCCCTGCAAGTGAGCGGATGCAGTTCACATCCCACACCGTACTTCTCCTCAATGAGGGGCTGCCATTGACCAAGGTCCCAATTGGAGTCCTGAAATGAGAAACACAGCGGTGGGAGCCAATAGCAAAGCCCATGTGATGCGCTTTGTGTACTCAGTGTACTCTTAAAATTATTTTGCCAATACCAGGAAGTCCTTAAGCGCATTGTTCGAGAGACAAACGCGGCAGAGCCTGGGAGGTCAGTCGTGCAAAGAGCACATGGAAAGCCAAAGCTTTCAACTTCAATTCTACTATCTATATAAGACTATATAAGTACGATTACAGTATCAAATTATATATTTGTAGAATCCAACTTCAGAGATCACCTGTGAGAAACTATGTGTGCCGACTTAGGGCCTACTTTTGCGGCTGGATTTCGATGCATCATAGTGACATAGTGAAAATATGTGAAAATCTGAAGTTGCTTTAACATGTTGTATCTCTTGGACGCGAACAGAACCACCACGGAGTCGCTTTTCGCTGCGATGAAGCCCAGCAGAAACACATTCCGCTGACCTCAAAAAGCTCAGGACCACTTGAAGCGCTGAAGGCACCGCAGGCGTCCGAAGCTGAGAAAATCTGGGAAAGCTGAACAGTCTAAAGACATCTAAAGACCCCAGCTGGCAGTATTGGATTCAGAGTTCGGAGAAGATTTCGCGACAGTTTTCTCTCCTGAGGCTCCCTCCACAATTGTAGCATTCCAAAACAATTTCCCCTAAAGGGCTTTCGGGATGCAAAGATACCTGCAAGTTGCGAAGGCTGCTGGACACTGATTTGATGGTTTCGATGTGTTTCGCTCAAGCTACAGATATTCAAAGTTCAGGCTGTTCAGGCCTCCTTCTGCTTGGCTCTTACAAGATGCAGAATGATACAGCCTCATGGGACATGTAGCTGTTTCACAAGGGACATGGAGTGACGTGCAGCTTTGTTTTCTCAAACTTGCACTTGTTCGGGAAAAACAACGAAGCGGGCTGGGGAAAAAGGACATCGAATCCCCCTCCCATCTCAGGCTCAAACTACTTGGAAGTCCTGGAAGCCGATTATTGCAGAACCACTTGCCATCACCGCGGCACCTAGGCCGCAGGAACCAGCATCGTTTGGGCGATCACCTGTTCAATTGGAACTGAATCCGGTTTCCATTGCCACTTCTGAAGTTCGAAAGGATCCAATCTTGAAGCGGCTTAAGCCGTCACATGCCGTCACCCTTGTCTCTCGCAAATCGACATAGTCTGATGAGTCCGAGTTGAACACTTCATCACACTACCAGGGCTGTGAATACCGCAGTACCTTGGCCGAAAGACTTGACGACTTGACGACTGGACGACTTGACATCTTGGCACAGACTCACAACATCTCACAACATCTCACTGCTCGCCTGCAGGCATGCTCTGGCAGATCCTTTGGATCATAAGGAGGCTCAAACCTGAGCAAAGATGCGAAAAGCAAAGCACTGAAAAAAAAACAACTGGAAGAGCAACTGGAAGAGCCTAGAAATCCTAGAAGAGAAACTCAGAAGGTCTTAAGAGTCTTAGAAGAGCCTTTTAGAAGAGCCAAATGGGCCAGAAATGGCCAGAATCAATCAGTCACTAATCTTAGAAAAAAGACAATATCTTGAGAAAAATCTACAAAAATCTTAGAAACTTCGCTGCCAAGTCACTCATCGTTCATGTCTAGGTCATCGAACTGGAGCCTTGAGCCCAAGTCATGGGGAGAGATTCAGAGATGCTCTGGCTCTTCAGATTTCAGGGGGTGAATGCAAAATATTGCAACATGATTAACATGATTAACATGATGACTTTCAAGTCTTATGAAATTACATGAAATTATATGAAATTATATGAAATCCTGTTTTATTTGATTCTGGTCTGGTACTTCAAGGTAAGAGAAGCGGTACAGTCTACTGAGTCTACTGTCTACTTCCGCTACTTCCGTTGGTGAGACATCGCTTCACACCTCCCTGCCATGTGAGTATCGACCATCGACTTCCAAGTCATCCAAGTCATCCAAGTCAAGTCCAATGATGCCAGGAGGACTCAGCTGTGGTCTGATCCAGCAACGAGACCACCGGCTCCTGTGATTTTGCTGGCACAAATATCACGGGGAAGGGAAAACAAGGGAAACCGAGGGAAAATCCAAAAATCATGCCCCAATGGCAACAACCTGTGGTCAGTCCCTTCCACGCCTGCGACAAGCCAGACCTCTGCTCATCTTGTGTACCTTCCTGCGTACCTGGTATTGACAAAGTAAAAGCCAACCCATTGCCACGTGGGACGTAGGAATATCGGTTGCTGACTTTGTGATACATGCATCGGTATATGATGCACATATGTGTGTGTTTGTGTGCATAATATTGTGAACATTTGCGCTGGTGTTCCAGCCATTCATAGCTTGCTTCTCTCGTCCTACCTATTCTGCCCCTCACTGGACAAGTCCGACACAGGCCTTGCGTTGTGTCATAGGGCATATCCAGGGTGTTCTGACTGAGGTTCTCGAACTGGGAACCCTGAGCACAGATCAAGTGAGTTTCAAGATCTGTCGTAGTGAGAGTCTTCTTTATGCGTGTGGCACTGTGACAGTTATTCCATCGACTGATTTCCAGTGTAATCACAGCACAGTGAAGCATGCCTGCGTGTTGAACTCATCCAGAAAATTGAAATTGCCCTGGCCAAGAGCGCAACAAGAAACACCTATGTAAATTGTCTGTCCGAGTCTGTCCTATGATGTGACCTCAACACCTGTAGTGCCCGTTCTATGCAAGATTCAACCTTTTGCGAGATACCGATGGAGAGACGATGAGAAAGCAAAGTAAGCAAATCCAACACATTGCCAAGAAGCAAAGAAGCTCTGCTGCACATTGCCACTGCACTGGCTGCACTTTTCTATTCTTTGAGTTTCCTCATTCTTGGTGCAAAGGTTGCCTCGCCGTACAGCAGGTCATCCACTTCTTGTGACAACTCACCCATGGCGGGCCTCGGAAGCAAGTGCTACAACGAGAACACAATTGCACCAGATGTGCACATGGATGATGTCGGCATAGTGAAGCGTTTGGTGAGGTTGGCCAGAAAAGTAGAACCCAACGTGCTCCCAATGCATGACATGGATCCACCACAGTTATCATTTGGTTATCATTTGGCTCAAGGTTCTGTTTATTCTGTTTATTCACTTCAAGCTGCATTGAGATCAAACATCACCAGTTGTATATGTTGAACGCAGCTGCACGTCTCGGACTGGCCAGTGTGTTTCAGAAGTGCCTTCTTTGCACAAATGATTTAAATTAGATTAACTAAATTAGATGCATTGAATGGCAGAACTAAGTAGCGATAACGGGCCAAGGCTTGGGAGCGGCATTTGCAATAAATATGGCAAATACGGTGTTTTTTTTACCGCAATACCACCCTCCTGAGGTCTCAACGTACAAAGCCTGTCTTGGCTTCGCGAGTGTCCTATCTAGGTTGAGCCAAACTTTGAAGAACAAGGAGTAGACTCTGAGTAGACCTTAAAGTAGTCACCAATCAGAGAATTTGGGAGTGCAAAGCTCTGGCCTTTGAGTCTGCAAATGTGAGCAAATTAAGCAAAGGTTCAGTGTTTCATCTTTGCTTGAATTGAGCACTCTTCACAGAGAATATCAAATTCTGTGAGGGGTAGAAACTAAACGCCCCTAATTAGAACCAATGCGACTTCAACGAAGGGTTTCAGATAAAATGAGCTAGTATGGGGTCTCGGTGCGGTGTCTTGGCTTTTGCTGGCCCACTTTCAAGTGGATTTCGTAACTCAAAGAAAGATTAGACATGAATCCAAGAAACGATCACAACCACCAGTGGAAGACAAATTTGACTTCGCCGGAGCTTGCACTTTTCCACGTGCCAATCAATGAGTCACACAAGGCCCAGTCAACCTGTAGCCAGACTGCTTCTGGCAGCACTTCTGGCACTGGTCATTGCATTTACAGCATCTGATTTTGCGAGGAGTTCAAAGTGCGGGGAACACAGAAAAGTCCACACTTGTGTGACACAACTAACAAAAATTTGCTCTTTGCCCCCTGCAAAACCCAGCAGGAATTCAATGCCTGCTTACAATGTGAAATTGGAGACATCTCTGCCTTCAAATGTCCGTTAGAACACAGACTACAGATCAGATTGAATATAGGAAAATTTAGGAAATATAGGAGTCCAGGATTTTTTGGTGGGTTGTTCTCTGTTTGACAGGTTCATGAGAGACCGCTTTGGGTCGGCCATGAACTCTTTGGACATCTGGAGGTGCAGCTTGGGGCAAATCAGTGCCGCATCCGTGTTGAAACCGATGCCTGATGCAATCAAGTAGTAATCTTCACGAAACAAAGGACCCAAAGGAACCATGACTGGCAACAGAGACTGACACCACCAACAAACATATGCATCATATGCATTCATATGCTTGTATGCCAAAGAAAATAACTGCGATGAACCTTTCAAATCGAAGGTCGGGTTACTTGGTGGCCCAAATAAGCTCTGATTCCCTGTGAACGAGCTCATTGCAGTGCACTCAAAGTTATCCAAATTGTCTCAAATCTGTCCCTCCATGTGTGCTGCAAATACTTTCTTCCACCAGAAACACAGTCGCCAGCCTTGGTCCTTCCACTAGCTTTGATGCCGAATGAAGCCAGCAACTGCAGGAGATACAGGTCTACAAGTCATCTACAAGTCATCTACAAGTCATCTACAAGTCATCTACAAGTCATCTACAAGTCGTCTACAAGTCATCTACAAGTCATCTACAAGTCATCTACTCAGAAGAGTTCATTGTCTCGATGAGGTGCTGGACTACCGTGTTGGACTACCTCCACACTTTCAATGTCTTGTGATGTCTTGTGAATGTATCTGCATTAAATGCTTGAAGCCAACTCTGGAGCAAGGGCAGAAGTTCATCAAAATGTCCTTCGGCAGGCTTTTTTCCGCAGTCAATGCACGATCTCTTGTGCTTATCCGACTCAATCGCTTAGAGATACGCCGACTCCTCTCTCGGAGACTCTGAGGCAGTTCTGGCAGCCACCGTCTTCGCTGAAGCCATGCCTGGTCACCGAGAAATCTCCGGTGCATCGCCGGGTCACACTCGTCTGGCGTCGAACTTTTTCCATCTTTTTCCCACTGATTGCAATTGAAAAACATTGAAAAACTGACACACAAGACACCCCCTCATAATATCACAACACCTCGAAACAAAATAGCATCGCCCGGCAGCTTTTTGCAAAGTTTCTACTGGAATGGCAGCTAGCTAGGGTCGGGACTTACTCAGCTGTGTCAAGACTCACAAGTCAACTTCACGGCCCTGCCCCATTGTCCCATTGCTCCAGTGCCTTTGGTGGCTTCTTGCCCTCTTTTAGCCACTTGGGTGGCCACACACCCTGAAAAAGCACTGGGCACTGAGCATTGGAAACAAACAGACCCCAACATCCACTCCCAGCTCCAACACCCTGATCACCCTCCAATCGCCTCACATTTGATGGCCCAAATGTCCTGAGACAGCCATCCATTTGACAACAGAAGAGCAACAAGATAGCAACAAGCAAACTGCCGAAACTGCCACCTAGCCCAGCTTTCGCTCAGCTTTCTCAATGATCCCGATGTCACCCACGTCATTGTCATTCTCGTGTCAATGAGCCGTCAATGTGCCATCAATGTGCCGTCAATGTGTCTAGAAGCTGCTCCTGCCGATACACACGGAATGCGCCCTCACTTGTCTCGCTCACTTGCAGTTGAAAGACCTGGTTGACAAACGCTGACAACAGGATGGATGAACTGCTGGCAGATACGGCATATGCCGGGACCCTGTCATTCCAGGCATTCTACGCCAGCTCCCAATGTGCAACATGCAGCTCCAAATGCAGCTGATCCACATGAAGGGTCAAGAAGTCAAGGAAGCCAAACGATATCAACGAGAAGTTGAGGGTCTGACATCTTCCAGCAGCTCACGAACCACCGGTTCCAAAACCACCCTGAATTGATCAAGGATGTACCCAACGCTCGGAATACAAGAACATCCTAGGCTGACCTGTAGGTTGCCTTTAGCTGTGTTTTTTGGCACAAGTGATATTTAGTCGCTGCCAAGCTGGTAGATCTAGTGCTCCAAACACTGCTCTCAAGATCTATTCACAGGGGGGAGTGGGATTCAAATTCAAAGAAGCAACAGACACTGGGGACGGGAAAAGCACTGAGATGCCAACTGGTTGTCCTTGCTGTGAATGCCCTTGCCAACGATGATCTTTAGTCCCCTGGATGAATTGAATAGCTGCAGCTTCGCCGGCTTTGCAAACGGCTGCCCAAATCTGTCAAGCAAATTGAATTCAGCCAGGCATACCACAGGAAGGCAAGATCATCTTCTTCCAGATCTGGCACGCCCTTGGCAAACGTGACAAATGTGACAAGGGAAGGAATAGCTAAGTTGTGTCCCAAGTTATGCCAACTCGGCAAACGTGTCGCGTGGTCTCCAATCCACTGTCGCGATGGTTCTCATTCCTTCTCCGGGTGCACTGACAGAAAGCGCCACGTAAACTGCCACCTTTGCAACCTGCTGGTGCGCAGATCTGACCTCTCACCCGTCCTAACCCGTCCTAGCACATGTTTTAGATTGATGCGCTTCCATGGAAAATCATTGCAACACATTGCAGCCTTTGCAGGCTTCAAATGTTTGAGGCTGGCCTCTGTGCTCATTCCGTGAAGGTCCAACAGCCTGACACAACACACGAAATCCCGGATCGACCGGATCCATTTGTCACAAAGGAGTGGTGTCGGCCTACCAGGTCGCACCCATGGTGTAAAGGCTCCATCCTTCAGAGCCTGTCCAAATGATCATGGACAATCGAGGTGACTCGGAACGGAGATGCGCGCAGAAAATGTTGAGATTGGACTCATCGGACAAGCATTGTTGCAAATATTGTATAATATTGTGATATTTGTTGTGAAAACCTCTACATTGGGCATCATCGGGCATCGGGCATCATTGGGCACCGGTCTTGGCCTCCATGTAGAGTTTGGACGCTCCTTCCACCTTCTCCATGAACACCTGGGAAGAGAAGGCGCGCAGGGCTCTGCCCCAGATCAGCGAAACGTGAACGGTTCGCACATCTCTTCAGGAGACTCAGAGCTGCCTTGCCACAAGAATTTAAGCACTGCCTTTTGTTGGAACATGTTGGAACCTTCAAAACGCACTGGAGCAAAACCTATTGCTGCCAGCCCTGCAAGGGTGAGTTTAAGCCCTCAGATTTGTGACCATCCAATGGACTATCCAAGAACATCAACGCACAGTTCACTTCTTTGGCTGTTTACTAAGTTGCATCATGTCACTGAACATGGTCCTCTCAGGCATACGTGTCCACCGGGGCACCCCGTCCAGTTCTTGGATACAGAAACTCGGTACATCTTTGGCCACAACAATTTGCTCCAACCGCTCTGGATCAAAAATCCGGGCCTTTAGAGATGCTCCCGAGAGCTTCTGCTGTTCCAACTGTTCCGACTCTTCCTGACGGTTTAGAAACTGTCTTAGCTGTCGCTGAAAGCAATGAGGCTGCCAGGACATAAGAAAAAGCCGCACATGCCAAAACAGGATGGTGAAAAATACCGCATTCGAAATGCTTCGTATTGCTTCGCCTCGGCCACAGGGGCTGCAGCACTGCTATGAGATTCCTGGAGTTGTGTGGGTGCCAAAACTGCGCATGTCGAGAGCCCACAGAAAGTTCAGAACCCTGGACTAGTTAGATATAAAGTGGTCATTGTCAATGCCAGCAACTACAAGCTGAAGCATGACGAAACCGGAGCTGACTTCTCTCCTCCTCTTCAGCAGCGACAGCACCGGCATCGGTGTCCAAGTCAACTGCATCAAAAATTGAAATGCTTGAATAACTCGAGCATGGCATGATATGTTGATATATATATATATATAAGGAGGAGAGACAGAGAGACAGAGAGAGAGAGAGAGAGAAGAGAGAGAGAGAGAGATAGATTAATATGCTCACGGCTGCCCACGTGCAGATCCTGCTGACTCGACTGACCGCATGCCTGACACAGAGAAGGCGTTGTTGTCCAGGGAGGCACCTCTCAAAGCTTGACATAGCTGTGTTCCATTCAAAAGGCAATCACAAGAGGAATGCCAGGCAAACATCTTCGTATCTTCGTCTTTGCCGGGTGAAACCAATGGATGTCGGCAGTTACAAGGCAAAGGCACCCAGCACATCTACTCACAATGGAATTGGAAGGAACCAAATTACACTGCCAATTGTACTGTAGGCTCCAGTACTGGGAAACTCAAAGAACTTCCAGACATGTCGGCAAGTTTCTCTCCGTGCCTCTTCGCCGCATTTCTGCCAGCAAATAATCCACCCACGCCTTGTAAGTGACAAACCAGGTAGTCACGGTAGTCAAGTTTCTGTCTCACAGCGCCTCGCAATCAGTAGCCCGCCTGTTGTCCGCAGCGGCTGCAAACGCCAGCCTTTCAACACAGAACTTGTCTCCAATCCAAATCAAAACCAAAAAGCGCTCAGTGCTCAGTTGCCAACCACGCTGCTCAGAATCACGCCGTTCGCAGCAAGGCCCTGTTAGGCAAACTGCTGAAAAAAACCACCTGTGAAAAATAGAAATGACACGGATCAAAATGTGGTACTTGGATGTACTTGGAACTTGATGTGTCCAACCCAGTTTTACCATACCTTCAAAGAAACGACACATCATAGGATGTTCTCTATAAATATGAAAAATATAAATGTATTTATGTATCTATATGTATATAGTTTATATATATATATTATTATATTATATATATACACGATTTTACTGCAAGGTCCTTCCTGTTTTCCAAGTCTTCAGGCAGGCTTTCCCACCTGTGACTCCATCTGGTGCCAAAGGTTCACTGCCCATTCCCACTGCATGGCCTTTGCAAATCCGTAATTCAACGTCGCGTGTTTGACAATCTCATGTGAAATGAACACGCGACGCGCACCGACGCGCACCGTGAATGCCATGCATGTAAGCCTTGAAGGAGCTTATTTGCAAGGCACATTCAAATCCTTTACATCTTGACCAAATGACGTTGGAAAAAAGGTTTCTTGCGGTTTCTATTCATCTCATTTCATGTCCGGTTGCATCAGTCCCATTCCGAAACTGGGGAAGTCAAACCAAGAAGTCAAGCTGCATGCCGGAAGGGGGCTGAGGGCTCCACCATGCTGCAAGAAAGGATCACTGCGCCATAGCTGTAAATCTTGGGAGGAGCCAGGCATCAAGCAAAAAAACAACAATGATAAGGAAAAATAAGGAAAAACAATATATGTAACTTTCTTTATTTCCGCCAGCCTGCCGGTGTGTCTTGTGGATCTTGCTTGTTCGTAGTTGTACTGTCTGTTTTGCCCTTGTCTTTGTCTAGACTTTCCCCTTGGCGCGGATTTTTGCCTCGTCTAACTTGATCCCACCCCCCCTCCCTCCCCTCAACCCCTCCTGGCGTAGCTCTTCTTCATCTTCGTTCCGTCTTCATTTTTCATTACGTTGTGCTGGGCTCAACTCTGCCCACGCCTCGCTCAACAGCTTGGTTTTGAACATTTTGCTGTCATCTCCATGGTTGTATCCGCCCTTTTGTTGTGTTTGCCATCGGTTTGCTCGGTCGTTTCATATATATATATACATATATATATATACATATATATATATGTACAGTTACAGTACTTGATCCACTATCTATCTATCTATCTATCTATCTATCTATCCATCTATCTATCTATCTATCTATTTATCTTTCTTTATTGCAACGGCTTTCTGCAACTCACTTGCAAGGAGCACGGATATTCTTTTTAGCCATGGGGAGTTCGTCTGATGCATCTGGACGGCTCGGTTAGGGAATTGTACCCACGAGGGTCTGAGAAAAATTTCGTGACATGATTGAGTCTTCAAGTCGAAATGTCGACATCAATTCAAGTCGAGTTCAACCGGAGGAATCATGTTCCACTGTCGCAATGTGGTCTGGAGCGATCGATGGAAGATGACAATTTGGTGCAACTTCACAATGCGTACAGAAACTATGGTTCTTTCTAAATCTTGGATTGTGCGGCGCACATGGGTGAGTGCTGCAGCTGCATTGAGGTCTTCTAAGTCATCTGTCATGTCGATCAAAGTGCCCAACATGTCATAGAGGATGGAAAGTTGGCGGTCTGCAATGAGAACATTCTGTAGTAGTGTCTGCAAAGCAGGGGCTTGACCACGCGGCACAAGAGCCATGATGACAGTGTAGAGGTAAAAAGTGATTAACGTGGATGCTATGATCAAAATGATCAAGTGACAAGGTGAGAAGGGGGTTAAAGGGAGGGTGGGTTTTTCTGTTGAATCTGGGGCACCCTTGAAACCAAAACTTCAACAATCATAGATTCAACAGACATGTATGCAAGAGAGTTGACGTGTGACATTCACACTCAAACAGCCTACAATAAAGAAACATCCCTACGGGAGGTTATCCTTATTGCAACGGCTTTCTGCAACTCACTTGCAAGGAGCACGGACATTCTTTTTAGCCATGGGGAGTTCGTCTGATGCATCTTCCCCGTTCTCCACATCAGAGAACGACACTAAAACACTAAGAGAAGAGTGTGTCCAGCACATCGCTGACAGAAATGGGAATTTCAAGCGTGAGGTCTAATCCAGTCAGATCACCTCTCGATGGATCATCAGCAACATTAGCTGTTGAAGGCACTCGTTCGTACCAGCAAACCGAGCCAGTGTCATGTTCCCAGTTTAGGACAGATTGGAAGATACGGTTGTCAATCTCCCCACCTTTGCCAGAGACAAGTCTGCTTAAGACTGCACCGTTGTCGACAAAGATCACTATGCGATCGTTCGACCTCACTCCCTCAGACGGTAGTAAGCATGTTGTGCCAACAAGAACCGCAAGGGCCTCCAACTCAAAAATGATGGTCTCCTTCTTGAGCGGGTTCAGCATTGAAACTTGTTTGGTGTCAACAACCGAGGAGAAGAAGGAAAGAATTGTTCCATGCTGGTCAACCAACACTCCCCCAAGTCCTCCTGTTCCATTCTCAAAACAAGCATCAGTATACAAATGAAGGACCCGACCCATGTCCGCAAGAACTTGTCTGGGCCCTCCAAGAACAATTCTGTCCCTGAGGAAAGTCAGGCTTGCGCAGAGATCGTTATCGACACGAGATTCACCAACTGCATGCTCCCATCTGCTAAGTTGTTGCATGTGGATGCCCGCAAGACGGCCGAAGATCTGGGCCTCTGCAAACACCAAGCGTCCCCTCAACACCCTCATCTCGGCAGCCGACAAGGTGCGTCTGTTGAGAATGTCGTCAATTGTGTTCACAAGCTCCTTGACCCTCGACTCTACGTTGCAGACTGTAAAGGACCCTAGGAGTGACTCGCTAAGGTCTATCTGTACCCCCAAAATTCGGGCAATCGCCCCAAACTGTGCTTCCTTTTCAGACGAAACTTCACAGCCAACCAGTTTGAAGAAAGCCTGTTGTGTTAGTTCAACATGTCTTGACTCCTGGTCAGACGCGATCAGGTAGAAGTCGTCAAAGAAGACCGTCCAGTGCAGTCTAAAGAGTTTCACGCCCATCCTCCACAACGCGTGAGACACTCTGCAGAAACCCATGACTGCAGCCCTAAACGGCAAGACTTGTGATTGGAAGGCCTCAGGTTGTCTTCGCTCAGGGGAGTAGACGCAAATGTAGGAGTCGTTCAAAGCCTCATGCGAAACTGGCAAATTCTTGTAAGCTTTCCGCAGGTCAATCGCCTTTCCCACTAGTCGCTCATCTCCACAAAGGCGGTGGCGCAGGGCTAGGGCGGCAAGGATCATGTCAATCGACATTGGTTGGATCGACTCTTCACAGGAACTGGTTGAGTTCACAAGGGATTCCGAGTAGTCATCAATTGGCCTTGTCTTGAAGACTCTGCTACCATCTCCAAGGGTAGATGACTGTTGGACACCAAACCTCCTGGTCAACACTGCTTTGTCAGGGAGGTGCCGTATGTCGAAAGGGCCCCTCAGCCAACCTCGGTCCCTCTCGTCGATGGTAGCTTTGTAGACCTCCCCCGCAAGTTCGAGGTTGGAGCACCTGCTAGTCGATTTCCACACTGCTTGGCGTGAGATTTTGGACATAGCTCTGACCTGATCTGGGGTCAGGGTTGCATGTAAAGGTTTGGTTGGGAAAATGCCTCCTGTCGGAATTGTCCCCATCAAGTCAAAACCATTCGCCATGTTCGAGGCAATCTCTGTGTCAGGGGATCCCGAGGCTTTGTTCATTTCATCAAAAAGCTGTAGGTTTTTGCCCTTGAGAACTTCTTTGACATGGTCATGCGAGTCATGGAGACCGTCCGCTCCTTGTTGTCTCAGCTCTTGGGCTCTCAGGAACCACTTTCTCATCTGCTCTGAACGATCTTTGGCTATGGCTGCAGAAGATCTCTTTGCCCTGTGCTCGAAAAGTTCTTGCAGCACCGGGTGTACTCCATCCATGAAGTGGCCTGGATGGGAAGATCCTGCTGCTTGTCTGATGAATGCTTCGGGTTTCCAGGCAACTCCAAATTCAGTTTCCCATGGCGCTTCGCATGTTGAGGTAGGGCATGTACTGGTGGGTGCACTGTGCAACACTGTGGGATTGGTATTGCTGCTGAGCACTGCAGGGGCAGGTTATTGATGAAATGGCCGGGTCCAGAGAGTTTCAGGATCTGTGCGTATTCACGAACCAAGGGTTTGAGACGTTTGCCACGAGGTTGATGTCCAAGTGCGGCTCGACTGGACTGGGTCAAGGAAATGTGATTGTCCTGATCCAGCTGTTGTGGCACATCAATGGCTTGGAATTTCACCAAGAGTTCGTGATATATCCTGGCCATGGCCTTGCAGAGGTTGTGAGGGTACTCCGTCTCGGAGGCTGTGGCCCACCCGGTGTTGCATCGACCCCACGGCAGATGTGTGTGTTGCCCGTCGCATTCAGCCGTCAGGCTGAGAAAAGCGGGATGGTTGCACAAGAGCTTGGTTCTCTTCTTGCGAGCTGCTTGATACATGCAAGAGTGAAAACAAACTTCATGGAGTGGATGTAGACCTCGGAAGTGCTTGGTGAGGAAAGAGGTGTTCCACATGTGAGAACGCACTGGGTTCTCAAGTGTGCATAGGACCCCTGAGGCAGTACACCAGGCCATAATTTCTCCAGACAGGCCGTAGAGTATGTTGGCTGAATGCACACGTTTTGCATCAAGTCCCCGCAGAGTGGGTAGGCCGTCTGGGAACTGTGTGGACCGGAGTGGTTTAGGGTCAGGTCCATGGTCACGTCGGATCTCACGTGCACGTGAGCTTGTCCCACATGGTGGCCCCAAATGAACGGCCGCAAGGTTAGGGTGATCAAGAACTTTCCACAGGAGTTCTTGGCCATGATGGGATGTAAGGTCCAATCTGATGATCGGGGCTTTCACTCGTTTTGTGACATGAGCATCAACTCCCAGGCTATGTTGTAGGCCCAAGTGCCTTACTGCTGCAGTCAGTCCACCTGTTCCAGAAAAGACCTCAAGGAAATATAGCTCGCTGATGGACTTATTGGACACACGTTCGAAAAACTTTTGTTCAAATTCTGAAAAACTGTGCTGTAATGGTCGTTTGAAGCTTCGGTCAAACTGCTCTGTTTGCCCTACGGAAGGGCCACCATGCAAAGTTGCAGCCCCCTGTACAGGAGGTTGAGGCTGCTTTGGCTGATCAGGTTGTAGTCAAGCCGTTTGCCCAGGAGGGCACTGGTGAGCTGGGTGCAATCCAAAGCATTTCATGCACACGTGGCTTCCTTTGTTGCAGTCTTTTCCTGCCTCTGCGAAGTTGCAACCTCGGCTGAGATTGTAGTTGTAACAGATCCGCTTGCCAGTCTTCGTCATTTGATTGAGACCCACCAGTTCGACTGGCATACGCCCCTTGTTGTTGGCTTTGCCACGGTTTTTGCCTTTGCCTTTGCCCTTGGAAAAGTTGTTGGGTTTTGGGGTCTTGTCAGGTGCCCCGTCCTTCTTGATCGGTGCTGGCTTCGTTGGTTTGTCAGCGGCTCTTGGCATGGGCAAGGGCATCATATGAAAGATTGTTGTTGGGTCGGTCTTGAGACTGTCCAAGGCCTCGTCGAGTGGCAAAGTGCCATCTGGACGTCTGCGCAAGCCATCAACTTTTTCTGCAATGCGAATCCAGCCTGCACGGTCCGCGCGAAGAATTTGTTCGACCGTTGGTGATTTGTAGCCAGGCGGAGCATGTACCTGCATGGAGTCCATGAGAAATCTGTGCCACTTCTCCATGCAGCGAAAAGTGCAAACCCCCATGAGGTCACAAGCCAATGCCCTTCGAGTGAAGGCTTGAAAGATCTGGAGTTCCCCTTGCATGGGGCATTTATCCTTGTTCTCCATGTCTTTGACTGTGAGGTGCATCTGGTCCAACACAAGCTCTTTCCCAAGTTTTTCGCGTGCAACTTCCGCCGACCTTGTAGTGAAGCGGTGTGGTTCCAAGTAGGAAGGTGCATTTTGCTCTATCATTTTTGCAACGTAATCATAGGAGGCATAGCTGCATTCATATGGGCCAGTCAGGTCCATGCCTGCTAAACGATTTCTCTAGTCCTGGATTCTCTGTGTTCTCTCCGCCGGGACTAGTTCGGCCTTCTTCGCAGCTTCACTGCCAGCTAAGATGTGTTTGACCTGAGCAGCTGACAGCGTTTGGGCATCAAAAGTCAAGCGCCGGATGGAGGACAGCTGGCCAACATTGACCGTATCCGCATCATCGGATAGTAGGCCCTTCAGTGCCTCATCAGTTGGTGAGGTTCCTGGCGTAGTCAAAGCAAAAGCCAGCTGTGCCAGCGTACTGATGCCTTCCCTTTGCAGGCGCTGCAGTTGCTCATTTGTCAAGCCATGTTCAACAGCCCGTGCATTAAATGCAGCAACAGAGTCCAGTATTGTGGCCATGGTGCGAAGGGAAACGGTGGTGCGGCAAAAATCAAGAAAATGTCATGTTTCTGTGATAAAAAAAAATGTCACACTGTCAAACTCAAAGCATTCGATTTTGAGTCGTGACATGTATTTTCATTTTTTTGGGGGGGCCTGATGGCACATGCCAACACATTCAAGCTAGCAATGCCGACATCGATGGCATTGACAACTGCCATATGGCATGTGCTGAACATCTCAGAACGTTTAAGGCGATTTACCTTCTTTTCTATTCGCGGCGAGCACGCTTAACAGCTGATCCCAGTCGTGCAGAGTCCTCATCATGCGATCGACCGGCATGTCTTCTGACACACTGTTGACACTTCATTGTGTCAACAACCAAAAGAAGGGTGCACTGCCTATACTCCTTGGTGAGTTGTCTGCCACATAAAAAGGAGTGTCCGCAGAACGATAAAAAGTGGACAACTTTGGACTGCCTGTGTTGATAGTATATAAGTTCCCTCTTGTCTTTCGTTTGGTTGCTGGCCACATTTGTCGCCTCTCCTTGCACTGCGCCATTCTTGGCATAGTCTTCAACCACTTCGTCTAGGCAGCTGTCAGAGCTTGAGCTGCTTGAGGAGGAATCAGAGTCAGAGTCAACATCAGCCTGGGATTTATCTTGCGCAACTGATTGATCACACCCGGCATCGCTGCCAATATTCACTGGCAATGCCGAGGCCTCTTCTGTCCCAAGCTGAGGATCATCGTCAAAAGGCACAGAGTTGGTCACAGGTAAGGGGACTTCTGTCGATGCCAATGCATCGTCCCTTTGTGACACCATCATGCCAGACCTGGTTTCGTCTGGTCGGAAATGCCCCTTCCTGATGTCTCTGAACATTGATTCCAAAACCCTGAGAGGGGCCGACTGAACATCCCTGGCATACACTTCTGAAGCCCCTTTCCTTGTCTGGTGGTGGCCCAGAATCAGGCGAGTGTCACTATCAGCACCATACTTGGCCAACATTGTCAAAGTAGTAGCCTTGCAACCATGCGGAGTGAAGCCAGTTGAATCGAAGTTGCTACCAATCAAAAGCTGGAGGATCCAGTTGCCAATCTCCCCCGAGGTGGTTGCCCTTGACGTCCAGTCTCCCATCAAATTGGGTGCTGGCAGCATTGGGCACATGGGTCGCCGGGCTTGAAAAGGAAGACCAACTTTGACTGCAAGTTTGATGAAAGTTTTGCCCCACGACTTTGGTCCCACCCCTTTGAGGGGAGCCACAAGCGGGAGGTGTGCACCAAGTCTATTGCCAGTTGCTCGCATTTTGTGCGAGGCAGAGGTGGCCTCCAGATAGCCAAGAGAGTCTTGGTCTCCACCCACTGCCTCATCGATGAAGATCTCGGAGATCTTTCGTAGGTCACCAAACCTGGATCTCGAATAGGTTGCAAACAGGATCACACCTGTAGCATATCTGTCAACGATGCCAATTTGTTCATCTTCTATCAATGCCTCCAAAAACTGTAATGCACTGACAGTAAGAGTTGTCGATTGTTTTCTGAGTGGCCTCGATTGTCCAGCCGTTCGGAATATTCCCGTGATCCATGCAGACTCAAAAGCATCGAGGCAACAGTCAAGTCCAACCACATGTTTCGCAAATTTCATGGCCTCTTGGAACCCTACCAGTCTGGAGTAGGTTGCCGAATCATTCCGAAGATGTCTGATGTAGTTCTTCACAAGCTCAGTTGTCACTGGGAAAGGCGGTCGCCTTGCCTCTTCCATTGACCATTTTACATACCTGCTCAGTTGGGCCAACCTCTGTCTGAGAGTGGCTATGGCCTTGCCTCCAAGAATGTCTTTTACAGCATCCAGTCTCTCCGCATACGTGAGGTGCATGATGTCAACACCCAGATCAAAAGCAGAGTAATCAATGGAAATCATTGCCTCCCATTTTTGTATGAGTAGTTGGAGCTGGTCATGGTCTTCCAAATGACACACACGTTTCGAATCAAATGCAATCGCGTGTTCGAAAGCAGTGGCTTTTGTACAAACCGTCAAGACTGCTTGGCCCTTAGACTCACTGCTTGCAGGCGGGTCGACATACCCAGGCACGGTTGGGACCCGAGGAACAAGTGAGTCTTCTTCGTTGCCAAGAACCATGGATAAGCCAGGGAGGTTCCAGGGCATTGTTATCTCTGGCATGGATGCGCATGATAGTTGGGCATCCGAAATTGCTTCATGCATTCTGTGCCTCTCTGCTGGAGTCAGTGCCTCTTCAATGGCCCCGCCGTGCCGCATCAGAGAGACATCTCCACCCATGGCCTGGCAACAAAGTTCAAATTGAATCAAAGTCAGAAAAAGAAAAGGGAGGAATACCATGCAGCTGATGTTGTGGTCAGGCCCATGTGAGGATTTACACAAGACATCAGGAGTGAATGAGACTCGAACAAGAAGGTCTGAGGTGGAGGCTTGGACCAACACTTGACTGCCTAGCGGTCGACTGGTGTTGGGTCAGTACGATACATGCACTGCAACAGTTTTCTGAGTGACATCCACACTCAAGTAACCTGCTGACCGAAAAACATACATATGGAAAGTTGCCCATACTAGAAATTTTCCATTGGATTGACACTTCGAAAAAGGGGGTTTTTGAGCGCTCCCTTTACGCGCCCAAAGGGGATCATGAAAACAGAGGAAAAAAAAGAAAGGGTGCGCCCTAAAACCCAAACCAATGGAAAAATGCCAGTCCATACTCATGACACGAGAAGGGTGCCAACATGTAATATGTGTCAAGATGGTCGGCAACACACCGAGCCCTCGACTCAACGGCACACACCGTCAAGACTCCCAGGGACAGGCCTTGCACAGCAATACATCACTACCCACATGGGCTTGTCATTGTACATGCAACGACAGGACAGGCACATGGGCCCCAGACCAAAAACGTTTCCAGGCTGTTGCAACTCCCTCGTCTCAAAGGGATCCAGGGCCTGACATACAGTCGTTGATTCGGAAAATTTTGGTCAGGCACAAAATGCCAAGATGGACACATGTCCAAAGAAAACTCTAGTTGAGGACCTGGCACACTCCAAGGTTCAAAAACCCACCTCACATGAGAGGGTACACCGCTGACATCAGCGAAGGCTCACATGAGCTGACTGACCACACGTACCAGTTCTGAGGATGACACTGCTAAGCCGTTATGGCTCATCCAACCCCGAGCCTGACATTGCGTTGCTTCCCGAGGTTTAGGGTATCACTTGAAAGGTCGTTGCATGGAAAATAAAATTAAAACACAATGAACCCACAAGCCTTCCACCAGGGCTACGTTGACTGGGCCCACAAAAATGGCTGCGAGCTGAATCCGACAAAACAAGAATACGCGGTGACATGACATGTCATTGAGCGGGCTCATGTGCACAACACTTGTGACATGTATGGCACATTGCCATCAATGGTCAACCCACATGTTTGCCACATCGGCACACGAGTGAGACAAGTGGAAAAACTTCTGGTGACAACTGCATTGAGTCGTCAAGATTGGCTGTCAATGAAATTTAAAAAGGGTCCTGCGCGAAAAGATCCATCGTTCAAGCAAAGCCCAAATGAGAGTCAGTCACTCCATCTGCAAATTTTTGTAGGGTGCCACAAGACCAAGGGTTCACAAGTCACGTAGGGTGCCACAAGACCAAAGGTCCAAAAGCCAAGGATTTCTAGTCAAAAAGCCACCTGTACCTAGATGTATGATGGACCGGCTTGATTCACCAAAAAGTTCAGCTTCCACGGCTTCCGTCTCCTGTCTCCGGTTCCACATCAGGTTCGGCCGCTGTTCTGGAAGCCGCTCCTGCACTGCCCGCACTTCTGGTCGCATCACCCCCTGCTGCAGTCGATCCAGAGGCCACTGTAGGCAAGATCAAATTGAAGGCATGGGCCAGCGTGTTGTCCCAAGCACAGATTGTTTCGATCACTCTGCCAAGGCTACGTTGGAGGCGAACCTGTTGCTCCTCCAACTCCACGATTCTCTGCTCCAGGGAGCGATGACGCCACAGAAGCGATGTGAGTGGGACACCACTCAAGGTGAAGATCTCAGCCACACACGCCCGATGGAGGCAACGAGATGGGCAGAGCCTGATTGGAGTCGTAATACAAGTCAGCTTATGCGTGACTTGCTCCAAAAGGCCTGGCTGGATCAGCAGAATAACCCTGTCAGCTGGGCTAAGTTCTTTGTCCCAAGGCGCAAGGTGTTGGCCCAGTTGCTCGATAGCCGGGACTATGGTCTGTTCAGCGGGGATGGTGATAGGGAAGATGTGGTCGTTCAAGTTGTTGGAGTGGTTCAGGTGAAGCACCTCCAAGACATTGTGGATAGTGCACCTTTGCGAAGGTTGAAACGTGACCACAAAATCCCGTGATTCCGGAAAAACCACTGCAGTAGCTGCCATAGCACCAGCTGAGCGAGTACAGAGTCAACAGAGTTTTTTCTGTTGAATCTGGGGCACCCTTGAAACCAAAACTTGAGCCAAAATGTTGAATCTTGAGCCAAAATGGCTACGGACTCTTTCTATCTATCTTTCTATCTATCTAGTACTTGATCCACTGGCTTTTGTGCCGAACACCTTTTACACGCGTAAGCTTTCTATTATATATGGCCTTTTCCAAAGCCCTGGTTTACACACAAGGTTTGGTTTAACCTTAAACCGTGGTTTGGACAAAAGCTGCGTCAAAACCGTGTTTTACACAAAGGGCTCTTTTACACAAAACCGTGTTTTACACAAACACCATGTCTTACCCAAAAAACAACGGTCTTGCTGGGTCTGTGCAAACGCAGTTTGCGGCTTGAAGAGTAGCTCTTTCCATGGTGGCCGGCGGAACACGCCGACGGTGGTTAAATCTTGGGCGGAGCCAGGCATCAAGCAAGGAAACGACAAAGAGAAGGAAAGATAAGGAAAAGCAATATTTCTAAGTGTCCAGGTTATCCAGGTTATCCAGGCTATCCAGGTTATCCAGGTTCAAGGACAATGTTGGTCATTGTTGATAGATGCTCCCTTGGTGGTCTATGCCAAGCTATGCAGCACGTTTAGGCCGTCCCAAATCCGAGTTGCATCCGGCATGATGGATTGTTTTTTCATCTCCTGCGAGGAGGAAGTTAAGGCTCATCCAGACTGCAGTTCTGGTAGATATTTTCTTAGCGGCGAGTCTCATCCAACATGCTATGAACGATTCAAACTATCTGACTGAACACAAGCAGCTAGACTTGCGCAGTGCAACAGTACCGCTTAAAATTGACGGCGTGCGCAGTAGCCAAGATCACGACCTAACCAAAAAAAGGTAGATGCTGAAATATGCTAAAAGATGTGTGTGTGTTCTCTATTTGTGCATTTGTATTTATATTATATATATATATCGTGTGAATCTATATTCTAGAATCTATATTCTAATCTATCGCTCTATCGATCTATCTATGTATCTCTGTGTGTGTGTGATTCTTCTATGTATCTATTTATCTGTTTATCTATATGTGATCTATGTATGTACGCATGCATGTATATCACAGTACACTGAGTGTTGTGCTTCGTGGCTTTTCTTTGATATCAAACTAGTATACTATGACGATCTACATCAGTACTAGTATCCACTAGATTTCTGTGTTGGTTCGAGATGCTTCTTGTCTCTGGCTGCCTCTTCTCTTCGACGTTTTTCGAGCTCGAGAGCTCTTCTAAGGGAGTTGCCAACCACACAAAACTCACTTCCAATTGGCATGACAAAACCATTGTGTCTCCTCGAAGATAGCCAATCCCATCTGCCAGTCTCCGGCATCTTGACACGCAGCAAGAACCGCATTGTAGCCTTTGCATTTCGAACCATTTAGCAACACTTCAACTCTTCTGACCTTGTTTATGTCCATAAAATTCCATAGTGTTTCAGGTCCATCATCAAACTGCATTAGCTCTACAGACAGGGACAGAGCTCTTCTCGCATGTTCAGCCCAATATGGACTGAGAGGTGGGCTGTAAACGTCAGGTTTCAGACCCAGCTCCTGCATTCTCCGCAGGAGGCGAATCGCCAATTCCAACCTCAGCATGGCACCCTGTTACTTGGATTGAAGTGTTGTTTGGGTGCACATGCCCTGTGTAGTTTGGGCACACTAAGGAGGCAACTTGCCACTGCTCTCGCAAACGCTGATTGCGATGTTGAAGGTTGTCACCTCATCCGGGACGTGTTGCGGATTCTTATTTTTGAGCAGACATTGCAACAGTAAAAATAGCCTTCCTCACGATCTTTCTAGAGGCATTTTTCTCACACCGGTCATGTCAGCTCTGCGCTAATTCTGATCTTTGTTTCTTTGTTTGCTAAGGAACGCCAACATTTTGACGAAGGTAGATGGTACATCCACATGGAGCAATTGTGGTGACAGAAAGTTCTTGGGACGCCGATGTTGAAAGCTGCGTCTAAATGTTATTGGTTCCAATCAAATTCCAGAATCAAGACAAGTATGCTGATTATAAAGGGGTGGTCTGAATCACCTGCCTTGCAAAGTCCCTTTACAATTTTTCCTTGTTTCATAACAGTAGCAAACATTAAGTGCCAAGATTTGATAAGTGTGTCATATGTGTCATGAGAGACGAAATGTTCGATTTCATATTGCTTGGTGCCCCGAACACTAGTGGTGGAATCTTCGGCTAGCGAGGCCTCACATATGGGGCAGGTTGCTAAATCACAAATTTGCCTATGGTTTCATAGTTAGCACATACATGTGGAATAGAATAGTTTCACACGTTTCAATGAAACTTTCACAAAGATTAAATGATGAAATCAAATGGCCTCCAGGAGACTCAAAGCAACTTGCCACTTCCTGGCAAACCCAGCGAAGTCACCGACAATAAATATCTCACATGCTAAAATTTTGCAAATTCGGCCTATCTCAATATGGGCCAAATTGGCAAATCTACAGAAGCTCTCTGTGAGTGCCTGGATTCCTTGCATGCACTGATCAGCTCTCCATAGGTCACCTGCGCGCAGTCTTTTGACCAATAGAAAATTGTTATGAATGGTTTCAATATGTCGTATGCCTCAACATCCGGAATGCAAACACATTGTCTACATATTTCTGACGCCTTGCAAAATCTCACAACTGACGTACTGAGGTTGTGTGAGATTTGCACAGAGCATAGAATGTAGATCTGCACAGCACAAATCCTCAAGGCATATCTACATTATTAAACCAATAAATGTATTTTTTGAAAAGTTTCTGCTCTGTTTTGATCACCTCGGAGGGCGCGATGCTCTGCTTCCGAAGACGTTGTCCAAAGGCCAGGGCCTGGTTTTGAGATGCCGTGGACGCCGACAAAACCGGCGTGAGCGCGAAATACCAAAGACATATCAATATCAATACACTTCAGCATATGAATTTATATATATATATATATGCTACCCCCCACCACCAATAACGATAAAATAGCTTAAAATTTGATGAATGCATGGATAGCATAGTTGTGACGCAATGCGTGAGCCAAAGCAAAGAGATCAGATGTGTTCAGAACGGCAAGCACAGTAGCAAGACTAGACTGCTGCAGGCTTTGAAGAGTGCATTAAGCTTGCCAAGAAGTCGTAAAACTGACACAACTAATAACAGGACAAGATGTGTGCACACTCCGAACATTGCAGTCATGTTGTGAAGCTGACAAGCGACGTATCAAGACTAGATACGCTGATGCTCTGCAGGAGGTGTCTTGAAGTTTGTAGTTCTGTGAATGAGCTTGCTGGCGCATGGGAGTACATTGGAAAGGTGGCTTGCAATTTGTAGGTGTGAAAATGTAAAGGACTTGAATGTAGGAAGGGCCGAGTATGAGTTTGCAGGCAAGAAGACAAGCTGAGCAAGCAGACAACACCCCTTTCATATCAGCTGCGCCTTCCCCCAATCTTCAAGTCCCAGAATTTATGCTTTGAACAGGTATCCCGACATGGCATCTTTGACCAGCTCACCTATCTTCAGCCACAACCAGCCCTGCGGTTCCAGTACTCGTACTGGGCGGAGCAAATTGCTGCACGAATTGCTTTGGTGCCAGCCTTCACCCTTTGATGCGGCGGAGTTGGTCTTTCGGGAAGCGCGAAGCGCAATCTACATGTTGTGTGCCTGCCTTCACTTTCAAAATCTTTCCATCTGGGAGAGGATGGGTAACGACACGTACGTACTGGGGCGACGACCATGTGACTTTGCCACCGCGTGTCTCTTCTTCTTGCAATGGACGACAGCATACGACCCCTTTGACCTTTGCCTTGTAGTTCTTGACCGAATCAGTGTGCAAAACGATCTTCCGGTTGAGGAGGTACTTCTGCGCAATCGGGCCCAATCGACTCTGCGAATCGCCCCAGGGCCGGCCAGGCGCACGCTTCACAGAGAGTGAAGGACTCAGGCGTGTCAAAACCAAGCTGGTAGGTTGCCCACGTACCAGTATGCCGCTCCATTGCTCCCAGTGCCCAGAGGATGCACTTGCCCTTGGCGACCAAGTCTTTGTAGCAGATATCTTGACTGACATCTGCCCGATCAAAGGTAGCTTCATCAGCCTCAGCATCAGACGCGCACTTTCCCGCGTTTTGGCACCACACCTGAGTTGAACCTCCTCGTCATGGCTCAATTGACTTCCACGAAGATGGAACGCAGTGTCTGAACTCTCGAAAAGGCTGCTGTGACAGAAATCCGACATATGTGGAGTTGATGCGGTCACGAGACGCTGAATGCTAGCCGTGGATTGTCGCGCCAGCCAGGTTGCGTTGCCCCGACCGACAACCGACGCAGCAGGAAACCCAACTGGGAAGCCTTCAGGCAGTAGAAAAGGTAAGGACCAGATACAAGTCTTGCAAATACTAGAAAACGATGGCTTCCAGTCATTGCAAAGAAGTATGAAGGTAATGAAACATTGGTATTGCACAGAAGTTTGCAGGTTGTTCAGACACAGCACAGCAAGAAAGCTCGGGCACTCAAAAAGCACCTTTTTTTGCACCGCATGAAATTTCAAGTTGTCGCCTATATGCAAACACAGTTCCCAAAGCACTGTGCTGTGATAAGGGTCATGGTCCACCAAGCAGTGATGCCTACACAGTCCTAAGCGTTCATGACTGCAGCCGCCTCTTCATCAGCAGTAAAATCTTCATCACAAAGGGCACTTTCAGCTTCTCGTGCAAGTACTTTATAGCTAGCCCAAGCGTTCAATATCAACGTAGTTCTTGAATCAAACAGCCCAGCGCCTGGGGAAGCGCAAGAGGATTGTACTGTAGAAATCAAGAAGTGCAGCTGGCACCTCTAAATCAACGTGTCTTATAGACCTTGAATCGCAAAACTGCGTTTCGGCCTCGCATTAAACATTTCCTGCTGGTCATTGACGTTGCTTCCTTGGGGCTACGTTTGTTGCTATAAACACGATTGCTTTTAGCATGGTTGCGGCTACCTTCGACCTTGAAATCTTCCCTGCCTTCCTCTCTTTTTTCTTTTCCCTCGGCGTTACGTGTGTTGAAAAATATTGTTTGTTTACTACTCTCTTCCTTGATCTTGCTTCCAAAGCGTGCGTTCTGTAAGTGTCGGTGTGTTGCCCTTCCGCCTAACAAATTTGCTCGATGCTTAAAGACTATTGAAGGTAAAAGCCGGTTCGTATGATGCCGTTGCAGGTTCCTGTGCATGTGACGCTTTGAGCTGCTCCTCCTTATTGTCATTGTACCGGTGGACACTAAACTCCGCGAGTCCGTGGCTGGCTTCAACTTTGGCGAAGGCAACTCCTCGACATGCTCTAGTAAACCCAAGCAGGATGCATGCATAGGTGTGCAGTTGTCGTTGTGTAGTTTCATCGTCTGTTCCGGCGCGGGCGCACAACCATGATTGTCATGTGTACCCGCAGCACCAGACGCACAATTAACACACACTGAACTAGAATAGAATGAAGACAAGCAAAAACCATCAACAAATGGGTCCAGATCGAAGGGAGGTGATAAAGAAGAAGAATTGAAACAGCAGCAACAACAACAGCAACAACTATTGCGACAAGAGTCAGCTGAAACGTTTTTATCTTTGTTGGTTCGGTTTGAGGTCTTGTGGCCGCTGCGCTTTAGTCGACCAATGCATCGCTGTCCTACCTTACGGCATGGGAGTGCTACTGTCCTCAACGTTGTTGATCTTGCATCGGGGGGGTTACTTACACTTGGTGACAAGGAGTGAGGTAATACCAACTTTCTGTTAGGTACTTCTGTGGAGGCTACATTTCTGCCCGTCACTGGGTCATAGTTGCGCATGCACTTGCTGACACGTATTGGTAAACCAGCGGCTGTGCGACACAAAGCCTTTGTATGAGACAGTTTTACACCCAACAAGTCAGTCATCTGGAACTCAAACATGCAAAGAATATCCGAAACACTGTGCGCAGAATTTTGGGGCAGAAGCGACAAGCACCACTCTTGCCAACGAGTCAACAACCTGTTGCCTGCAGCACTAGTCGCGAGGCACGCTTCAGCATATTTCATCCGGCGACAAGTGTAACACAGCTGCACGGGACACTGTTTTGATGGTTTTGTTTGGTTGTAAGTGGACAAGTGTGTGCGCGCATCCTGCTTGAGATTCGCAGCATATGTCGAGGGATTGTCTTCAGCAGAGTTTAGACTGGTCTGCCAGGACCGGGCCGAGTTTAAGGTCATCAGCCAGGACCCGCGGTGTTTATTGTCCACCGGCACGACAAGAGGGGGCGGCCCCGTATTCCATCACATGAGTTTGCTTGTTCCTTTTGCGCCCTTTAACTATGTTCTACTTAAGCATCCATAACAAGACAAATCTGTGTCTAATTCCTGATTTTGACTTTTTCGCTGTTGGATTGCCAAGCCTCTGTCCTTGCTCCTGCTGCGCGTGGTGTTGAAACACCATTCAAACCTGTTGGACAATACAATGGCATGTGGATTGTCCCGAATTGTGGCTATGTCAATTTCTACTGCTTATTCTATTGGTCCACGCCTTGGAGAATTGATGCCAAATTGTGGGAGGCAGCGTACGAGCTTTCCCCGCGACTTGAATCTAGTCTTGAGCAGCGAAGCTGCATGAAGATTGAGTTGTCCCAGTGAGTTCTATCCAGTAGTTCGCTGTTTAGATACACGTGCTTGATGATTTTGACATGTTTTGTTCCTATCAAGATTTGAAATCGAGGGTTTCGAAATAAAATGTAAAATCTATAGCCACTCATGACATGACATGAGTCTCCGAAAAAATTGAACAACTCTGCCTGACAACATTCAGAGATATCTTATAATACATGTCTCGATAGGTGTTTTTATAATAATTTCAAGCACCTCCAGTGCCCGCCAAACTGACTCTTTGTTGGGTTAAACATCCAAGATAGCATTACAACAATCGAATACACGACGCGCATTGATCATCTACGCAAGACTCTAGCGTTGAGCTCTGGTAGTAGCACTTGGGCATTTGTTTTTGATGCAAAAACAAAAAAAGAAACCAGTCCTCAGATTTAAAAATAGAACACAGATTAATTAGACGGCATTCAGGACTACTAAACTTAATCAACCTCATGTGCGTGTCCATGGACGTTTGGGAATGACAGTCCACATTCACATGATCGTTCACCCTGGCCAGTTTTCCGATTTAACCCATCAAAAATAATCACAACTAGTTTTTGGGATAAAATGCGGAAGACTTGCTTACATTTAAAACGATCTTTGTCGCGCATTTTGTCACCCTGAATTCTTTCCGTCATCATCGTCATTGTCGTCATCACCAAGGGTTTACCGTGACCATACCTTTATGTTGGGCAGCGTCGCGCCCTGCAGGGAGTGTGGCCCGGAATTGCGGGGGGTTGTAGAAAATCCTCCCCGTCTCGACATCGGTAACCATGTCATCGAGCAGCCCCCAAGCCTCGCTGCCAAGGCCGCATCTCACAAGGAACAACACTTTTGGGGTTTTTACGTCCCCGCCGTGCTATTGTCTTTTCCTGGGGTTCTTGCGTCCCCTCCGCATTATTACCATTTCTTCGGGTCCTTGGGTTGTCCCGCTCCCTCGCATCTACCCGGCATTAAAAGCACGCTTCAGTCAGGTTGGACCTTGGACGTAGATATAATATAAATATATATATATATTACTATATATACATATATAAGTCTTATTTAGATAGGTACACGCAGATATAGATATAGATTTAGATTTAAATACTTGAATTTAGATATGGATATAAATATATCCGCCAACCCCTGCCGACACTGAGGGGCAGCACGTACTGATGTACATATTTCAACTTAAAGAGGTTGGACAATCATAAATACCAACTTCCTCAAAGAGATCATCAAACCCTCAATACCAAATCCCTCAACAATGAGGTGGGGCCAAGCATATCCGGCCATCGCATTTTCCCACCTCATTTTTCGACCAACAGTCCCTGACCTTTTTACGTATATTACATAGTTACAGCTCTTCCTTCAAGGTAATACATGCACACAACGCAGGGCCCAACATAGAACGCAGAGCCCAACATAAACTCAAGGCTCATAGAGAAAAGGAACCTCGAGGTCCTTGACGGGATTTTAGGTCCAAAAAAAGTTCTATGGTTCCATTTGAAAAGGGGAGATGCTTCAAAATTGCCAGTTTAAAATATTCTAATGGAATTACACCGGCATAGACCCCAGATAGAAAAGGTTGGAACTGATGGTTCCCAACGTGGGAACCAAAGGTTACCATGGCAAGGAACTGCCGGTTGACAGAATGAAACTTACGGTTCCCAACCTGGGAACCAGAGGTTACCATTGCAAGGAATTGCCGGTTCCCAGAAGTTAGAATTTATGTTTTCGAAGCTAAACAACTATCATTGTAAGGAACTGCGGATTCCCAAAGTTTGAAACTCATGGTTCCAAATCTGAAAAAGCATACGTTACCAGTGGAAGGATCTGTTGATTCCAAAAAGACAAACATCATGGTTCTTAATGTTGTTTTGTTTTGTTTACTGAGCCGGTAACAGAACCTTTTGTTTTGCTTAATGGACCGGTAGCGGAATGTTTGCGTTCGGCTGCTGGGCCGGCATAAAAATGTTCTTGTGCACGAAAAAGGTGCATGTTAAAATGATATGAAAACAGTTTCTTTACAACTTTTTGGTTTTGCTTAATGGACCGGTAAAGAACGCTTTGTTTTGCTTAATGGACCGGTACCGGAATGTTTGCGTTTGGTTCATGGCAAGGAACTGCCGGTTCCCAAAGGTTGGAACTCACTGTTGCCAACGTGAGAACCACAGGTTACCATTGCAAGGAACTGCCGGTTCCCAGAGGTTGGAACTCCTGGTTCCCAACCTGGGAACCATGGGTTACCATTGCAAGCAACTGCCGGTTCCCAGAGGTTGGAACTCATGGTTCCCAACCTGGGAACCAGAGGTTACCATTGCAAGCAACTCCCGGTTCCCAGAGATTGAAACTCATGCTTCCCAACCTGGGAACCATAGGTTACCATTGCAAAGAACTTCCAATTCCTAAAGGTTGGAACTGATGGTTCCCAACGTGGGAACCAAAGGTTACCATGGCAAGGAACTGCCGGTTCCCAGGCCTTGAGACTTCTGCATGCCTTGCTGCTACTGGCCTCCGCCTACCGGATCACTACGATGACCTTCTTGAGCACTAGAGATCCTCTTCGTGATGCTGAAGATAGACAAAGCACACCTGAGAGGAATCTGAGTTGCCTCTGAGCGCCGTTACTGCTTCTGTCGTTTCACCTTAGATCCGGTTTCACACCACGTTTCACTGTGTTTAATTTCCAACTTTCCTTTTGCCACATGGCAGTGTCATTGCTGGCTTTGGATTGTGTCGAAGTAATCTGGAGAATGTTGCCCGGCGGCTCGCACTCTGTGATCTCGAGGCTCCTGGCTGGGGGGAGCCTCGGTTTCCGCATTGTGCTCTTGTTGCTTCCTGGCTCACAGATTGCTGTGTGGCATTTTCGTTGTTTGTTGTTCGCTCTTGTTTTATTTTGCCATACCAATCCCAGGGGTGATACTATGTTATCATCTCTTCTGATACGTTTCAATGACTATGAACTGACCAGCTGATCACCGGCCGTGCTGTTTTTGCTTTGTGTCTTGTTTTGTGTTGTTTTGTTTGTGTGGGTTTTGTTTTGCTTTTGCTTCGTGGTTTTTTGTTTGTTTGTGTTGGTTGGATGTCCTTGCACGGTGAAAGCTCAATGGATTATGTATCGATCCTTATTCAGTTCCTCTTTTGATGCACATTGTCGATACGATGATGTTGCCATTGCATTAATTCACTGAATTTGCAAATATGGCAAATTGGCAAATGAAAAGACAGAGTGGACAACCATGGACAACCATGGACAACCATGGACAACCATATTCATTCCGTTTCTAGTTGGGCGGAAACTACCAAATTCCGCATGGGGCCTGGTCCCACCTGTGAGCCACCTGGGATAGGGAAAGCAGCCGAGCAGCACAAGAACCAAGCGATGGACTTGATGGTTGGGACCTGAGCGGCCAAAAGGTGCTAAGGTGGAAGTAGGTGGAAGTAGGTGGAAGTAGGTGGAAGTAGGTGGAAGTAGGTGGAATGAAAACATGTTGAGCTGGATCCTGGTCTGACGGACATCCAATCCCCTGTGAAACACGCCGAAACACGGACATCCAACATCTTAACAATTGGAGTTTCGTCTCGGGGCTTTCCCCCATTGAGTGCCCGGCATACTGCATCGGCTCGCTGCCGTACCTTGTGGCATGGAGGATCAGGTAAGCATTTGAGGCTCCATTTCAAACAATTCCGGGGTGGATTTGTCCTAGCGGAGTTTTCTTTTTACAACTTCAGACTCTCAGCATCTCTCAGCTTTTGTTTTGGCTCCCAAGACACTGCAACCCTTCGTTGACGTCCCAAAACACGCCAAGTGGCAGTGAGGCGGCCATGCAATACCTGGGCGACGAATTGACGACTTCACTGTGGCTTCCAAAGGAGGACCGTTTTGAGATGAACATATCTGCAGATCATCTGCAGATAATGGAATTTCCTTTGAGTTTGCTCAAGTTTGATCTCAGGTGTTGGGATGCCAAAGATAAAAGGATTTTTGAGAGGACCAATGTCTTTCACCTGTTTGAGAGGACAACATCTTCAATACAAATTCTGTGTTCACCAGTAACGGCCTGAGTTTTCTAGCAACCCTGTCCCAACAAAACATTGTCAACTCAAAGTCCCATCCATTTCTGCCATTGGTGAACTCTCCAGTGCCACATGGATTTCAAAGGCATCGCGGACAAGTGACATCAGAATGTGAAAAGTGACCATGATAAAAAGGTTTCCAACCTCAGTAAAGCCAAATCAGGATGATCAAATGATTTGGATTTGCGGTGAATCTCCCAGGTGTTTTTCAAAAGATTCATGGTGAGTAGAAGGGTACTCACGTTTTGTCATGGATCTCTGCCAGATGTATAGCATGGCCCCTGTAGCAAGGATGCATAGCATGACATGTAGAAGGGTGTAGCTATCGTGAAGAATAGCATGGCCCCTGCAAGGATGCATCGCATGACATGTAGAAGGGTGTAGCTATCGTGAAGAATAACATGGCCCCTGCAGCAAGGATGCATCGCATGACATGTAGAAGGGTGTAGCTACCGTGAAGAATAGCATGGCCCCTGCAAGGATGCATCGCATGACATGTAGAAGGGTGTAGCTATCGTGAAGAACAGCATGGCCCCTGCAGCAAGGATGCATCGCATGACATGTAGAAGGGTGTAGCTATCGTGAAGAATAGCATGGCCCCTGCAGCAAGGATGCATCGCATGACATGTAGAAGGGTGTAGCTATCGTGAAGAATAGCATGGCCCCTGCAAGGATGCATCGCATGACATGTAGAAGGGTGTAGCTATCGTGAAGAATAGCATGGCCCCTGCAAGGATGCATCGCATGACATGTAGAAGGGTGTAGCTATCGTGAAGAATAGCATGGCCCCTGCAAGGATGCATCGCATGACATGTAGAAGGGTGTAGCTATCGTGAAGAATAGCATGGCCCCTGCAAGGATGCATCGCATGACATGTAGAAGGGTGTAGCTATCGTGAAGAATAACATGGCCCCTGCAGCAAGGATGCATCGCATGACATGTAGAAGGGTGTCGGTTTCCCATTCCTGGGAAGCAAGGTTACCATTGCAAGGAATTGCCGGTTCCCAGAAGTTAGAATTTATGTTTTCGAAGCTAAGCGGCTATCATTGTAAGGAACTGCGGGTTCCCAAAGCTTGAAACTCATGGTTCCAAGCCTGAAAAAGTAACGTTACCAGTGGAAGGATCTGTTGATTGCAAAAAGTTAGACCTCATGGTTCTTAATGTTGTTTTGCTTTGTTTACTGAGCCGGTAACAGAACCTTTTGTTTTGCTTAATGGACCGGTAGCGGAATGTTTGTGTTTGGCTGTTGGGCCGGCATAAAAATCTTTTTGCACGAAAAAGGTGCATGTCAAAATGATATGAAAACAGTTTCTTTACAATTTTATGGTTTTGCTTAATGGACCGGTAAAGAACGCTTTGTTTTGCTTAATGGACCGGTACCGGAATGTTTGCGTTTGGTTCATGGCAAGGAACTGCCGGTTTCCAAAGGTTGGAACTCACGGTTGCCAACGTGGGAACCACAGGTTACCATTGCAAGGAACTGCCGGTTCCCAGAGGTTGGAACTCCTGGTTCCCAACCTGGGAACCAGAGGTTACCATTGCAAGCAACTGCCGGTTACCAGAGGTTGGAACTCATGCTTCCCAACGTGGGAACCATAGGCTACCATTGCAAAGAACTTCCGTTTCCTAAAGGTTGGAACTGATGGTTCCCAACGTGGGAACCAAAGGTTACCATGGCAAGGAACTGCCGGTTCCCAGACCTTGAAACTTACGGTTCCCAACCTGGGAACCAGAGGTTACCATTGCAAGGAATTGCCGGTTCCCAGAAGTTAGAATTTATGTTTTCGAAGCTAAGCGGCCATCATTGTAAGGAACTGCGGGTTCCCAAAGCTTGAAACTCATGGTTCCAAACCTGAAAAAGCATACGTTACCAGTGGAAGGATCTGTTGATTCCAAAAAGTTAGAACTCATGGTTCTTAATGTTGTTTTGTTTTGTTTACTGAGCCGGTAACAGAACCTTTTGTTTTGCTTAATGGACCGGTAGCGGAATGTTTGTGTTTGGCTGTTGGGCCGGCATAAAAATGTTTTTGAACAAAAAAGGTGCATGTCAAAATGATATGAAAAAAGTTTCTTTACAACTTTATGGTTTTGCTTAATGGACCGGTAAAGAACGCTTTGTTTTGCTTAATGGACCGGTACCGGAATGTTTGCGTTTGGTTCATGGCAAGGAACTGCCGGTTCCCAAAGGTTGGAACTCACTGTTGCCAACGTGGGAACCACAGGTTACCATTGCAAGGAACTGCCAGTTCCCAGAGGTTGGAACTCCTGGTTCCCAACCTGGGAACCATGGGTGACCATTGCAAGCAACTGCCGGTTACCAGAGGTTGGAACTCATGCTTCCCAACCTGGGAACCATAGGTTACCATTGCAAAGAACTTCCAGTTCCTAAAGGTTGGAACTGATGGTTCCCAACATGGGAACCAAAGGTTACCATGGCAAGGAACTGCCGGTTCCCAGACCTTGAAACTTACGGTTCCCAACCTGGGAACCAGAGGTTACCATTGCAAGGAATTGCCGGTTCCCAGAAGTTAGAATTCATGTTTTCGAAGCTAAGCGGCTTTCATTGTAAGGAACTGCGGGTTCCCAAAGCTTGAAACTCATGGTTCCAAGCCTGAAAAAGTAACGTTACCAGTGGAAGGATCTGTTGATTGCAAAAAGTTAGAACTCATGGTTCTTAATGTTGTTTTGTTTTGTTTGCTGAGCCGGTAACAGAACCTTTTGTTTTGCTTAATGGACCGGTAGCGGAATGTTTGCGTTCGGCTGCTGGGCCGGCATATTTTTTTTGCACGAAAAAGGTGCATGTCAAAATGATATGAAAACAGTTTCTTTACAACTTTTTGGTTTTGCTTAATGGACCGGTAAAGAACGCTTTGTTTTGCTTAATGGACCGGTACCGGAATGTTTGCGTTTGGTTCATGGCAAGGAACTGCCGGTTCCCAAAGGTCGGAACTCACTGTTGCCAACGTGGGAACCACAGGTTACCATTGCAAGGAACTGCCGGTTCCCAGAGGTTGGAACTCCTGGTTCCCAACCTGGGAACCAGAGGTCACCATTGCAAGCAACTGCCGGTTCCCACCTGGGAACCACAGGTTACCATTGCAAAGAACTTCCAGTTCCTAAAGGTTGGAACTGATGGTTCCCAACATGGGAACCAAAGGTTACCATGGCAAGGAACTGCCGGTTCCCAGACCTTGAAACTTACGGTTCCCAACCTGGGAACCAGAGGTTGCCATTGCAAGGAATTGCCGGTTCCCAGAAGTTAGAATTTATGTTTTCGAAGCTAAACAACTATCATTGTAAGGAATTGCCGGTTGCGAAAGCTTGAACCTCATGGTTCCAAACCTGAAAAAGCATACGTTACCAGTGGAAGGATCTGTTGATTCCAAAAAGTTAGAACTCATGGTTCTTAATGTTGTTTTGTTTTGTTTACTGGGCCGGTAACAGAACCTTTTGTTTTGCTTAATGGACCGGTAGCGGAATATTTGCGTTTGGCTGTTGGGCCGGCATAAAAATGTTTTTGCACGAAAAAGGTGCATGTCAAAATGATATGAAAGCAGTTTCTTTACAACTTTATGGTTTTGCTTAATGGACCGGTACAGAACGCTTTGTTTTGCTTAATGGACCGGTGCTGGAATGTTTGCGTTTGGTTCATGGCAAGGAACTGCCGGTTCCCAAAGGTTGGAACTCACGGTTGCCAACGTGGGAACCACAGGTTACCATTGCAAGGAACTGCCGGTTCCCAGAGGTTGGAACTCCTGGTTCCCAACCTGGAAACCATGGGTTACCATTGCAAGCAACTGCCGGTTACCAGAGGTTGGAACTCATGCTTCCCAACCTGGGAACCATAGGTTACCATTGCAAAGAACTTCCAGTTCCTAAAGGTTGGAACTGATGGTTGCCAACGTGGGAACCAAAGCGCAGCACGCTGCACAGCACCCTGCACAGCACCCTGCACAGCACCCTGCACAGCACCCTGCACAGCACCCTGCACAGCACCCTGCACAGCACCTTTGCCAGACTTCGCCACTGCAGTCTGGACACCACCCTGCACAGCACCTGCACAGCACCCTGCCATCACCTTTGCCAGACTTCTCCACCGCAGTCTTCCACCGCAGTCTCCACAGCACCCTGCACAGCACCTTTGCCAGACTTCGCCACCGCAGTCTGGACAGCACCTTGCACAGCACCCTGCACAGCACCTTTGCCAGACTTCGCCACCGCACTCTGGACAACACCCTGCAGAGCACCCTGCACAGCACCCTGCACAGCACCCTGCACAGCACCTTTGCCAGACTTCGCCACCGCACCCTGCACAGCACCCTGCACAGCACCCGGCACAGCACGTTTGCCAGACTTCGCCACCCCTTCGCACCGCAGTCTGGACAGCACCCTGCACAGCACCCTGCACAGGACCCTGCACAGCACCTTTGCCAGACTTCGCCACCGCACCCTGCACAGCACCCTGCACAGCACCCTGCACAGCACCTTTGCCAGACTTCGCCACCGCAGTCTGGACAGCACCCTGCACAGCACCCTGCAACAGCACCCTTTGCCAGACTTCGCCACCGCAATCTGGACAGCACCCTGCACAGCACCTTGCAACAGCACCCTGCACAGCACCCTGCACAGCACCTTTGCCAGACTTCGCCACCGCAGTCTGGACAGCACCCTGCACAGCACCCTGCACAGCACCTTTGCCAGACTTCGCCGCCGCAGTCTGGACAACACCCTGCACAGCACCCTGCACAGCACCCTGCACAGCACCTTTGCCAGACTTCGCCACCGCAGTCTGGACAGCACCCTGCACAGCACCCTGCACAGCACTTTTGCCAGACTTCGCCACCGCAGTCTGGACAGCACCCTGCACAGCACCCTGGGCTCAAAAGTTCGCCACCGAAGACCCCACCTTAGAGAAGTAAGAACCCCTATAGCTTGCCAGCTGTCTGGGGAAAAATACGAGCAGATGATAATTAACTATCATATTTTGGGGCACCCTCTTTTCAGGCACACCACAATGCCGTCATTTGAGTTTGTCAAGTCCATCCGGAATGATGGGAAATCTCTAGAGATTGTGCATAATTGATAAACCAGAAAAATTATTTTTTCATCTGTCTATTCATCCCGATGCCATAGTTCCAGTCATCCCCATGTCATGGAGTAAAACCAATCGCCCAAACAAAGACATAAAGATCAGTCTGGATGACCAGTACGAGTGTTTGGGTTGGGTTCATGAATAAGTATAACCATTGATATAGCCCTGCAATTGTATGGCACTATAATATTGACGCTGCTGTATTCTTATCATAAAATATCACAGTTTGGGAGGTAGTGTTCTTATCGCAATGTATCGTGGCTTTGAGAGTAGCCAGGTTGAGCGCATACCGTTGGATTCGTATCATAAATTATCATATATAGTTTTGAGGGTGGCCAAGGTAAGTACGCACCCTTCCTCCCTCATTCAAGACAAACAAACACAGACACACACTCACACACACAAAAAAAAAAACGAGCACGCCCATAAGTGCCCTTGTTCGAGGACTCCCTGTAAACGTATATATATTTATACATATGTACACATATATGAGCAACCAAACCCTAAATTGTGACATAGGATACCTGAACCATTAGTGCCAAAAAAATATGAATGGTATATATACTGTGTGCTTCAGCTAGTTACTACACCTTGCCACGAACAATACTGCGCCTTGCCACAAAAGGTGGGTAAATGGGAGGGTTTATATTATTTTGATTAATCAATTCTGAAAGGCTCCAGACCCAAACTCTGGTTGTACTCGCCGACGAACTGCTGACAGGGGGGTAAAGAGGTTTGGTGGGTGGGGTGTGTATGTGTGTGTATGGGGGGTTCTTGCTATTTCTTAAGTCTATATCAAATATATATATATATATCAAACATATTTATTCAATTAAAATATCTATCAAATAAATGTCATAAAAATCTATGTATCAAAAAAACGAGGCGAAGGCCTGAAAGTGCGAAGCACTGAACACTTGGTGATCCACCGTAGTGGAGGTGTGCGTCAGCGCCTTTGGTCGCCTGACATCCTGACAACAGGGGGGGTGCATAAAGAAAAAATTGTATGAAACACTAAGTACCAAGCCATATCTTCAATCCGTATAAAATCCACCCAGACACGGGGGCAGCATGGTTTCTCCAAGGTTTGCGGTGATTTTTCGTGTTCCAAGATTTGAGATTTGATATTTAAAAAATGCTAAAGAAAAAAAAAACGGCGCTCCTGGTGGTTGATTCCGGGGTCGGCGGCAGGGGCGGCAGCCCTTAAATATATATATATATATTTTAAAAAAAACAATGGTATTTACAATAGAATAGTGTCAAAAAATATGTTTCCTTCTACGTCTCTAATTCCGGCTTATGATTTTACAACCCTATGGATGGATTGTGAAACCAATGCAAAACAGGTGACAGAAAACACCACAGCGCACGTTACTGGCAGCATGTACTTTTGTCCCGGGCAATGCCAAACTTGCTTCGATTGATGCTCATAACCACATGTTGCGTCCGCCATCAAATTTGCTCAGGCTAATACTCGTAACCAAATGTCATGAGAGCAGAGCATTATTAAATAGGAACTTTGGCGAGCAATCATGTCGGGGGCAGCAAACATAAAACAGATATAGTGTGTTCATGTTTTTCGCTGTCACTGCTGTATGAAAATGGATGCCTTGAAAGGAAAGCCGTAAAGAACCTGTGCGCTATGCCCGGATTAGAGGCTCACGACTCCCAAAGTAATCAGCGCGCCGCTTTGTTGGATTGCCTTTGTTGCGACCATATTCTCCTTTCTGGCTTTCCAACCGTTTTCTTTCTTTTATCACTTCCTCTGGAAGCATGTCACCTTTTCTCTTCGTGCTTCGATAGTCTCCGCTGTCAATACGGCGACCTGTTGGATTGCCGGGGTTTCTTGTGCGTTCGTTCCCCTTCCATGTTGTTCATTCCGCGCCGTTCTGCAATAACATACAGAGGAAGCCTGTCACCCATGGCGAAGAGATATGCGGGCGGGTACGATGTGCAATAACCGACAGAAATTGAATCGAAAATGCTACATGGATACAGGAACGCGTTTTCTGACTTGATGGAAAGAGAGTTAAGCATGAGTGACCTTGTCCATCAAATTGCCTAAACAACCTGCCATTAAGTCCTGGTAGTGGGATATTGCACAACGAGGATATTAAACATTGACATGTATATATGAATGGCAACCCCCTTGGGCCCAGCCATGTGATAGTTTCAAGATTGAAGCTATTTTATCGTTGTTGGGAGGTACCATATACATATGTATGTATATATATATATGTATATTTATATGTATATATATATACATATTCATACATACATATATACATATATATATAATCGAAAACAAACCATTCCGTCTCAGCTTGAACATCTGACGGCAAACAATTAAAATCGTATGACATCAAGATTACCAGTCGCGTTCGTGTTTGAAGCAGATGCACTGTCTACCGCTGCAGTTGCCACTCTCTAAAGGGATTGGACATTTCAAATGTCACCCTATGAACTCACTTCAAGAAGGCCTCTTGCCAACGCCCTTTTTGCACCTGCGGTAGCCGTGATGTTTGACCGTTAAAAAAATCACAGAAGGATGGCGGGTAAAAGGGAAGCTTTTTGTGTTCGCTGGGCACACTTGCATCTTGTGCCGCCAAGCAACGGAAACACCTAGGGCAGAATTGAGAGTGACCTCGGGATTTGTATGACTGCTGACACACCATCTCAACGCGGTCGTTCAAACCACTAAAATCTTCAGTCTCAACAGTTTCAACTTCACGCAACTCAGGACTGGACAGTCGTCGGTTCTAGCCCCTCCTTCGAATTGTGGGCATTTGTGTGCGACATGCAGTAGCTGTGTTCTGACTGAAAGCGGCAAACTTTGAACCCTACACACTACAGATTCACACAAAGGCATGGCTAGGTAGCTGGCATATCACTTGAACTCTGTTATGAAATAAGCACTTTACATTCTTAACAAATTGCAGCACAGCTAAGGCAACACATTCCACTGGTAGGCTAAGCATGGTCACATTGCAGGGCTGATCTATTCCATTTTGTTCGCTGCTGGCCTTTTGCATCACAGAGAGGAGCCGCGCCACCGCATCCTCATTGAATGTATCCTGCGCAGAACTCCCACATCATTCTGGACTTCTGAAAGATGTGGACAGCGGTGTCTTGTCGTGGGGACTGGAAAATCAAAGCGTAACTGCAAGATGTGAATCCACTTGCGAATGGGACATCAGGTAGCCACTCTCATGAAAGGTCCTCTGCGTCGCATCCCATCGCGTTCAACGTGCTGTGGTAGCACTCCAAACTTGGCATCACTTTTTTGGCCTTCTGCGCAACACATGTAGCAAAATTTACAAAACAATAAACAACTGTTGCGAAGGTTTGACAGCCATTTGCTGGCACAAGTTCTCAGGGCCTTCATGGAGCGCAACAATTGCTCCGCCATCCTTCGAACAATTCAATGGGCATCGTCTGAACACCAATCCATATGAAGGATCCAGGCAAATGAAGCGACTGAAAACAGATGGCAACATCCAATTCAGACATCCATTGCTTCCCTGCCAACATGGCGCCTGCCCTTCCCCGCAAGGCTACAGGCACAAATGGCAAACTGAGCAGACAAGACACCAAACTGAGCAGACAACGAACACGATCTCTGCGGCGTATGCTTTGCGTGTCTGTCTTGAATCTTTATAATCTCTGTTATATTCTGTTTATGTTCTAGTATGCTGTCTACCAAGCTTCCCAAGCGTCCCAAGCGTCCCAAGCGTCCCAAGCGTCCCCGTCCAAAAGTAGGGAGTGGACATTCCAAAGGTCGGCATCCTGTTCAACCGAGAGCTTTGGAGCTGCATGCAAAAGCCCAAGGGCCTAGCAGCTTAGCGAACACAGGCAGCAGATGAGAGGCTGCGCTTTATTGGAAGGCCTCTACCTTGTCATGCCAACAAATGTCGTGACATGTTGTGTCACCTTGCTTTGTCAAGTTCTCAAACAATGTGCCTCAAGCACGAACACAAACAATGCAGATACGGAGTGGGAGAAGACAAAGATTGAAAGAATATGATAATTATATGGCGTCGAAGTCGTGTCGCCTTTTCTACGAGGAGCTGTGGCATTGTGGCAGTCGCGAAGCCGAAAGGCCACCGTGCCACACATCAGCCCAGTCTGTGTGCTGGAAACATGGCAGTTTGAGCGCACTGAGCTGCAGACCCTCTGCCATTGCAAGCCTTCTTTGCAGGCTGGGCTGGAAAAAAACAGCATTTGAAAGAAGGGCCTTGTGTATAATTTGCACACAACACTGCGACACCTATTCCTCTGCTATTTGCTCACCTTCTGAGCAAGATTCTGGAGAAGAACGTCCCATGAGGACGCCGCAATGCACACTGCAATGCAAGCTAATTGCTCACAAAACGTGAAGACGAACCTGGGGAGAACTTATGAAAATATTGTATACACGGCTAAAGACAAGATCTGCTGAATTAGGAAGCACCGAAACACTAGTCAAAAAACAAGACAAACCAACAAACCCGAATCCAGTCACATGAAACACTTGTGCGAAACAAATTATGCCAACAGTTTTGTACATGATTCCTGTGCTACCGTGCAGTTGTAGACTGTGGAGTGTGGAGTGGGGGGGAGTGCAGACTGTGGGCTTGGAACAGTAGAGTATTGAGGGTGGAGTGTTGAGTGCGGAGTGTAGTTAAGAAGAGGAGTCTGGTCTGGAAAGTGTAGAGTGTAAAGTGTGGAGGGTGGAGTTTTGAAGTGTTGGATTTCGAGTGGGGTTTGGAAAGAGTAAAGTGTGGAGTATGGAGTGTAAAGTGTGGAGCGCAAAGCCTGTGAAGTGTGGCGCGTTAAGTGTGGCGTGTTAAGTGTCGAGTGTAGCGCATAGAGTGTGAGTGTGGAACTTAGAGTGTGGAGTGTAGAGTGTGAAGTGTGGAGTGTGGAATGTAACGAGTATAGTGTGGAGTGCGGAGTGTAAAGTGTAGACTGCGGAGTATGAGGTGCGGAGTGTAGAGTATAAAGTGTGGAGTGGGGAGTGGGGACTGCAGAATGTGGAATGTAAGCTGTGGAAGGTGGAGTGTAAAAGTATGGAGTGTAAAGTGTGGAGTGGGGATGTAGAGTGTCAAGTGTGCAACATCGGTGCAACCCCCCTGACGTTGCTCCGCGCCGGATTGCGGAAGCGTTGCGTATTTTTGAAACGCCATGTCGGTGGACTTTCAATATGTAGATGTATATGTGATCCATGATCATCATCATCACCATCATCATCGTCATCACCGTCACCGTCATCGTCATCCTCATCATCATCATCATCATTATCCTCATCCCTTCTGAAGATCAGTTGATGTTATTCCTTATTCAACATATTTGTCAGGGGGCGTGGTGGATTTGTTGTTGATCCCTTTTGAAGATAAGTCGATGTGATTGCCCCATTTCACATATTTGTCGAAGGGGCTGATGGATTTTTGGTCCCTTATGAAGATGAGTTGTTGTTATTCCTTATTGAACATAGTTGTCAGAGGGAGTGGCGGATGTTGATCTCTTGTGAAGACAAGTGGGTGTGATTACCCCGGTCAATGTATTTGTCAGTGGTTGTGATGGATTTTTGTCCCTTTTGAAGATAAGTTGATGTGACTACACAACTCAACATATTTGCCTCAGGGGGTGGTGGATTTTTGATCCCTTTTGAAGAAAAATGATGTGAGTACACAATTCAACATATTTGGGGTGGCGGATATATGAATACAAGACATATAAATTGATGCTATTACCCATTATTACCCCATTCCACATGAGTTGACACTGGTGATGATGATGATGATGATGATGAGGATGATCATCATCATCATCACCATCATCATCATCATCATGATCAACATGGTCATGATGATGAGATCATGATCGTGATCATGATCATGAGATGATGATGACAAGACAATGGTGATAATGGTGATGATGCCCATCATCACCATGATGATGAGGTCATGATGATGATGATGATGATGATGATGACGATGATGATTGTAAGTGTGGAGCAACATCCAGGTTGGAGTGTCAAGTGTGCAGTGTAAAGTGTGGAGTGGGAAGTCGGAAGTGTAGCGTGTAGCGTGCGGAGTGTAAAGTGTAGAGCGTGAAGCGTGAAATGTGGAGTGCACAGTGTAGTGAAGTGGAGGCTGCGGAGTGCGGAGCGTGACGTGTAGAGTGTGGAGTGTGTAATGTAGAGTGTAGTGTAGAGTGTGAAGTGGGGAGTGTGAAGTGTAAAGTGTGGAGTGTAGAGTGTAAAGTATAGTGCCTGGAGTGCGCAATGTGGAATGTAGAGTGTAGTGTGTGGAGTGTGAAGTGTAGCGTGTGGAATGTAGAGCGCGGAGTGTGACGAGTGGACTCTAGAGTGTAAAGTGTGGAGTGTGCATTGGGCATGTGAAGTGTCAAGCCTGCAGTGTTCAGCATGCAGTGTAAAGTGTGGAGCGTACAGTGTAGTGTGGAAGGTAGAGTGTGGAGTGCGGAGTTTAAAGTGCAGAGCGTATAGGGTGTGGAGTGTGGAGTGTAGGGTGCAAGCTGTGGAGTGGAGTGTAGAGTGTGGAATGCGGAGTGGGGAGTGTAGAATGTGGAATGTAAAGTGTGGCATGCGGAGTGTAAAGCAAAGTGTAAAGTGTATAGAGTGGAAAGTGTAGAGTGTGGGTTGGGGATGTGGAGTGTCAAGCGGGCAGTGAACTCGCAATGAGACTTCACCAAATGCGGCGCCTGCCACGAAAACTACCCTTCGCGGTTTCCCACACACTTTGCACGTTGTCACCACTTGACGCAGCGCTGACATTGCAATTCGCAAAAACGCGCAACACGACACGTCTAAAGTGCCTCGAAAGCGCTGCGCCTGCCGCAAAAAAATGCAAATCATCTTCTGACAGCATCTCAAAAGTATTAAGTATTGTGCCCGTCAGACAAAATGACCTTCGACGCGTTATGGTCGTTATGAAACACGTCGGAATGTCACAAAGTGCCACGCCTGCCACACACAACCAAATTACAACCTCTTTTGAAACCTTCAAGAAAGGTTTTGCAGCTTCCCCCATATGCACGGGGACACCACAACCAGAGAATCGAGACGAGACATGTCAGAGGCTCAAAACGAGCATTACTTCGCACGAGACGTCCTCAAATTTTCAGAGTTTGTAGCTACACAATCGACGTTTTCCTACGAGTTTTTTAATGAACCCCAAAAGCTGATTGATCGAAATCGATGTTTTGTGCAACGCATCCGTCAATTTTTTGACACGTCAGAAGCCCCACACGCGATTTGCGAGTTGTCACCACGTGACTTGCAGCCCTGACAATGCGATTCGCAAAAAAACATGCAGCGCGACACGTCTAAAGTGCCGCACCTGCCACGAAAATTGCATGTCATCTTCTGAAAACGATGCAGAAATATTGTGCCTGTCACGCAGAACGACTTTTAACACGTTATGAACCAATGAACCCTGTTGGAATGTCACCATGTGCCCCGCCTGCCACACGAAACGATGTTACGCGACGTTTGAAACCTCCAAAAGTTACAATTTGGCAGCACTCGCCAGAGGCACGGCCATAGCGCCCTCATCGCGAACGGTTGCAGACGGTTGCTGACAGTTTTGGTTGGTTGCGACGGTTGCAGACCGTTGCAGGCGGTTGCGGACGAAAAGCAGCGTCGAGCGAACACCTCTACACCCCTAAACGAGAACCCTTCGCTACACGCATCCGGGAAAAAGTTATGGCCGGCTGCATTCTTTAAATTTTGTTGGAAGAATATCGGAAAAAAAGACCGTTTAAGTTTAAGGTTAGCAGCAAAATCTTTTCCAACATCCAATGTCTTCCCCATCCGCCTTCTCCACACGCACGGAGTGCACTGGAGAGCGCCACGCAGGAGACACAACAGGCTCTGTCCATGTCTCGCAACCTTGGACTAATTCGATGACGCTAGATGCTTACCAGGATTCTTTACTTATTATCATGAATTATAGATATTCCTCCATTGTCCTATCCAGGGCGTGTCATTTCAAGGGAATCTCCTGTCGATTGCTGGGTTGCAACTGTGGCTACAGGATGTGATCCTGACTGAGTCCAAGGACAAGCATAATGCAGCCTCCCACCTAAGATTGCCAGTCACACCTTGTGCTTTGATGTCAGAGCAAATCTGGGCGCCACAAAATCCACACATATTCAAAAGAAATCGGCAAGACTAGCACACTTTGGGAGTTGCACACGTCTGCTTTTTTTCTATTTGCCAATCGGTGTCTTTGCTCCGGACTGGGCTGCAGGGACGCAGCAGTTGATTGCCTGCCACTCAAAACCCGCAACTCTGAAAATAGCAACGGGCTGCACCTGTCATCTTGAAATTGGAAACTGCCAAACTGACTGACATTTTTCCCACATCACGCAATGTCTGTGCGTCCGCCTTGCCAAACATCATTTGGTTGGCGGTGACACTCCGTAAGCGGCTGTCCTCCAGGAGGTGCAAGGCACGTTGCCACCTCAGGACTTGCCCATGTCCTGATGGCCTCTCGCATCACTGCTGACCCATGTGCTGTCAAGCCACGCGTTCTCATCTGAACCATCTCCAATCAATGCAGCGTACCTGGGATCACTCGAAAATGGCTTCTCATTTCCCCTGCGCTCCTAGCGCTCCTTGCGCCAATGACTGTACTGCTTTTTGACCAGAATGGAGATAGTTGGGCAAACGTGTTGAGCGCAGAAGCATGACTCCGTCCGGATGAATCAAGATTCACCAGGTCTCCCAACACGTGCTGATTCGGAGTCACCGAGTTCTCCACCATCTCCTGCCACAGAGCACTTCCGTAATCCGAGGGTGTTCCAAGAACAATCAAATTAGTGTAAATTAATCAATGTTCTGAGATCAAAAGATTCAGAGAAGCCACAGCTGCGCTACCCAGCTGCCAAGGCCCTGCCAAGGCCCTGCCCAGGCCCTGCCAAGTCTGTTTTGCTCCTTGAACAAATGGTAGGCCTCCTGGAGCTGCCCCAGCCTCAAAAGCTTGACCCTTTTGAAAGCTCACCTTGATAGATTTGTGCAAATTCATGTTCGGAAGCTCAGCAACACCTGCAACTGCACGGTCGGGAGTTCGCTTGGAGCGCCGGAAAGCGGATCACTTCGAGCGCCGGAAAGTGGATTGCTTGGAACGCCGAAAAGTGACACGTACAGACACATAAGAGATACATAGCCCTAGAGCTACATATATACACAGAGACATAGGCACATAAATGGACACATTCATACGTGCCTAGACGCTGAAGGGCAATGTCTCGCTTGTGACTCAAAAAACATCTCGCTTGTGACTCCAAAAGCATCACCATCATCGTCGTCGTCGTCTTCTTCTTCTCTTCTTCTCTTCAACAACAACAATTAACAACAACAACTACTACTACTACTACAACTACAACTACAACCACTACTACAACCACTACTACTGCTACTACTACTACTACTACTATGACTACTACTATGACTACGACTACGACTACGACTACGACTACGACTACGACTATACGACTACGACTACGACTACGACGACTACTACTACGACTACTACTACGACTACTACTACTACGACTACTACTACGACTACTACTACTACGACTACTACTACTACGACTACTACTACTACGACTACTACTACTACGACTACTACTACTCGATACTGCTACTACGACTACTACTAGACTACTATACGACTACTCTACGACTAAATACTAACGACTACTACTACGAATACTACTAAATACTACGACTACTACTACTACTTACTACTTACTCTACTACTACTACTACTACTACTTACTACTACTTACTACTACTTACTAGTACTTACTACTACTTACTACTACTTACTACTACTTACTACTACTTACTACTACTTACTACTACTTACTACTACTTACTACTACTTACTACTACTTACTACTACTTACTACTACTTACTACTACTTACTACTACAACAACTACAACTACTACAACTACTACAACTTACATGTCATCATCAGCCTTATCATCATTTTCATCTCCTACGTCATCATTTTAAAAAAACATAAACATCTTCAACGCCGTCATCATCATCATCATCATCATCATCATCATCATCATCATCATCATCCATCATCATTCTCATCATCATGGTCATTCTCACCATCATCATCTACAACAACCACCCACATATTTCATCATCAGTATCCTCATCATCTTTTCATGACCTACATCGTCGGCAGCATCATCAGCATCAGCATCAGCATCAGCATCATCATCAGCATCATCATCATCATCATCATCATCATCATCGTCATCGTCATCGTCATCGTTATCATCATCATCATCATCACCACCACCACCATCATCATCATCATCATTTTCATTTTCATGGCGTTAGGATATAGTCCCTGGGTCTACAGCGGAAGGAGGTTGTCACACCCCACCCCAGCGCGGCATGACAACAGAAGAAGATCTCATAGCGTGGCATCATGTCCGTGTGCAAGTGCAAGAGAAGATCTCATAGCGTAGCATATGTGTGGAAGCGCTCGAGAAGATCTCATGGCGTTAGGGTTTAGTCCCTGTGCCTAAAGCGGAAGGACGTTATCACACCCCACCCCACAGCGAACGATGATGAAAGTGCAGTGCCTGTGTCTGCACGACAGCAGGAAAGATGATGAGGTTGCTGTGGCTGTGTGTGCGCAGGAACATGGACGTTATTATCCCACCCCACCCCACCCCACCCCACCCAACCTCTGGTGCTCAAAGTGATCCACTTTCTTGGTGCTCTAAGTGATCTGGTGCTCTAAGTGATCCGCTTTCCGGTGCCTCTAAGTGATCCCTTAACCCAACGGGACCATGTTTTTTTTTTACAATCTAGACTTCTACCTGATCTGTGACTCACAAAATGCACCGCTTCCAAGCATGAAAAAAGACCAACTGGACAAGCACCGTTGTTGCATGCCAAATTCAGCAAATTTCACGGGAAAAGATAAGAATAGCGACTACATCCACTGCCTTATACAGGTTGCTGCAGCTTTATTACTGCTCTTTCCAAGTCCACAAATCTTGAGGTACTTGAGTTTGGCTCCCCAGGCCTCTCCAGAGCGATCATCTGTGCCTCAGAGATCTATTGCCAGAAAGAGTTCAAAGGTACAGAAAGAACATCAAACTTTGACAAAGTCAAACATGTTGCTTTTCTTCCAACACCCCAAGAAGTAGCTGAGCCGACACGCTGGTGATATCTTTGTCATGAATGGGGCGGTCACCCTCTGGCTAAAATGCGACACTCGGCGATTTCAAAAGATTTCAGCCAACATGTTGTCCAAGATGCCGCGTAGCCATAGGCATCCTGCTCTGAATGCTCAGAGCCTTGGAAGATAACATGGGCCCAGTGTGTTTGACTGGGCCCAAGTGGCAGCTTGCCATGAACTCTAGAAACTGTGACGCCTCGGTGGAATTCCGCTTAGAAAATGAAATTGATGCAGTGGGCTGGGTAGGGTGGGTGACGTGCTGTTGCACATGCACCCATAGATGATGCTTCGGTAACGACCTTTCTCTTCTACTTGCGACTCAGGTGATGCTGCAGTGGGCTGGGTAGGGTGGGTGACGTCCTGTTGCACATGCACTACGCCAATAACCTTTCTCTTGTACTTGTACCCATAGATGATGCTTCGGTAACGACCTTTCTCTTCTACTTGCGACTCAGGTGATGCTGCAGTGGGGTGGGTAGGGTGGGTGACGTCCTCTTGCACATGCACACATTGATGATGCTACGCCAATGACCTCTCTCTTCTACTTGCAGACTCAGATGATGCTGCAGTGGGGTCAGTAGGGTGGGTGACGTCCTGTTGCACATGCACTACGCCAATGACCTTTCCCTTGTACTTGTACCCATAGATGATGCTTCGTTAACGACCTTTCTCTTCTACTTGCGACTCAGGTGATGCTGCAGTGGGGTGGGTAGGGTGGGTGACGTCCTCTTGCACATGCACACATTGATGATGCTACGCCAATGACCTCTCTCTTCTACTTGCAGACTCAGATGATGCTGCAGTGGGGGGGGTAGGGTGGGTGACGTCCTGTTGCACATGCACTACGCCAATGACCTTTCTCTTGTACTTGTATCCATAGATGATGCTTCGTTAACGACCTTTCTCTTCTACTTGCGACTCAGGTGATGCTGCAGTGGGGTGGGTAGGGTGGGTGACGTCCTCTTGCACATGCACACATTGATGATGCTACGCCAATGACCTCTCTCTTCTACTTGCAGACTCAGATGATGCTGCAGTGGGGTCAGTAGGGTGGGTGACGTCCTGTTGCACATGCACTACGCCAATGACCTTTCTCTTGTACTTGTAGTCTGAGACGATGCTACGTTAACGACCTCTCTCTTGTTCTTGCAGACTCAGATGATGCTGCAGTGGGGTGGGTAGGGTGGGTGACGTCCTCTTGCACATGCACACATTGAGGATGCTGCGCCAATGACCTCTCTCTTCTACTTGCAGACTCAGATGATGCTGCAGTGGGGTCAGTAGGGTGGGTGACGTCCTGTTGCACATGCACTACGCCAATGACCTTTCTCTTGTACTTGTAGTCTGAGACGATGCTACGTTAACGACCTCTCTCTTGTTCTTGCAGACTCAGATGATGCTGCAGTGGGGTGGGTAGGGTGGGTGACGTCCTCTTGCACATGCACACATTGATGATGCTGCGCCAATGACCTCTCTCTTCTACTTGCAGACTCAGATGATGCTGCAGTGGGGTCAGTAGGGTGGGTGACGTCCTGTTGCACATGCACTACGCCAATGACCTTTCTCTTGTACTTGTAGTCTGAGACGATGCTACGTTAACGACCTCTCTCTTGTTCTTGCAGACTTGGACGATGTTACGCGAACGACCTTTCTTTTGCATAGGTAGGCTTGCAGTCATGGCCTTTATGCGCTACATAGCGATTGTCAAAGACAAATTTCATCCCAGCAAGACATATGTAGATACAACTTGGCTCAGTGAAAACAGACGCAATTGAGAACGAAAAACCTCGCAACCCCCCGTAAGGGCTGTTTTCAACATGTACATATTAAAACAATGGAAGTTGAATTGATGAGGAAATTAATAAACATCTGACACAAATCCTGAAGATTAGCATCAACACACAACCATGTAAAGACTTGAAAATGTGCTTGCCACTTCAGGGAAACGCACCTTTTTCAATATAACAACTGTGTACATCCAAACATGTTCATTGATGAACATGATGGAGCTTATCCTGAATATTCTCATGTCATTGTGCCAGTTCTCAGCATCTCAGCTGCCCACTCTTCTCACTCAGCTCCAGCCTCGGCAGGTCGCGTCAGAGCATCAGATTGATGTGGGTGAATCGTGTAGAGCGGTGTAGAATGTGTGCGCGAGCCCTCGGCTCTTGCATATCTTTCCTGACAAGAACCCAAGAGTGCAAGGTATTTGTCACCTGTCACCTTGCTCCTTCCCATCCGCAACTTGCCAGGTGTTGAAAACATCTTCGTTCACTGAAACCCCTTTTGCTACCTAGCACACCTTGTATGTCTTGCACCTAAGGTCCAAACACCTTTTGCCATTGGCCAGCCTTAGACAACTATCTGGAACAGTAAAGCAAACTCGACCTCTGTATATATAATACTATTGCATAGTGCTTTCAAGCGACCAAGAGCTTGGTTTGGTAGGATTCAAAAAGCCAAATGGGCCAAATCGTCAAAGCAATGGCATGACAGAGCTACAGAAGTTGGCAAGTTGTGAAACAAGATGAAACAAGACTCTGCAGCCCTTCTGTCCGTCTGGTCATCCGCTTTTCTGTCTGCATGGGTAGCCCTTGTGTAATCCTGTTCCTATTTGTGTATTTGGTCCCAGTCCAAAACACTATGGCTCAGACCTCCAAACAAGTCCGCCTCGCTGCACCAAGCATCCTCAGGATCAGGGCTCTGAGGCCCTACAGTCCCTACAGCGGTACATTGTGCCAGCTGATAGAGGAATCTCGTGCGACCGTCGCTCAGGGAAGCTCAGGTTTTGAAATCTGCAATCAAAGATTTGGTCAGCTACTGTTTCAAACTGATCCTGTCATGCCGCCCAAGATCGTGCCGTTCTGTCACGGAACTTCAGTGTTTGTCAAATTGGCCAAGTTTCTTCCAATCAAGTTCGCGACTTATGCCAAGCTGAACCACCTGCAGCCACAATTGGTCCGTGCTTTCTTCACATTACTCCCAGGTTTGTGCAGCTAAAAATATCGTTGAATAAAGCCAGCTTCTGCTAAAACATGAACCTTCCCTCTGCAAAGCAATCCCTCTGCCATTTAACCTGGCACTACCTTAGCATGCACAGATTAAACCAGTAGTTACAGTCAGTGCTGCTTCCCCAAGGACAAGCTATCAGTCAGTGCTGCTTTGCCCAAGGACAAGCTATCTGACCAACTACTCTCAGCATGTTTTCGCTGTTTTCACTCCCGGCGTCTTTCACTTGACAAGCTTCCATCTTGTTGCCAGTGCATGAAGCAAACACATGCAGGTTCATCACGCACGTCTGCGATTAAACTGGCACCACTTTAGCTTGTCCAGATTAAACCAGTCACTACAGTCAGTGCTGCTTTGCCCAAGGACAAGCTATCTGACAAACTACTCTCAGCATGTTTTCGCAACCAACCTCTTTCACTTGACAAGCTTTGACCCTGTTGCCAATGCATGAAGCAAACACATGCAGGTTCATCACGCACATCTGCGATTTTAACTGGCACTACTTTAGCGTGTCCAGATTAAACCAGTCACTACAGTCAGTGCTGCTTTGCCCAAGGACAAGCTATCTGACAAACTACTCTCAGCATGTTTTCGCTGTTTTCACTCCCGGCGTCTTTCACTTGACAAGCTTCGATCTTGTTGCCAGTGCATGAAGCAAACACATGCAGGTTCATCACGCACGTCTGCGATTAAACTGGCACCACTTTAGCTTGTCCAGATTAAACCAGTCACTACAGTCAGTGCTGCTTTGCCCAAGGACAAGCTATCTGACAAACTACTCTCAGCATGTTTTCGCTGTTTTCACTCCCGGCATCTTTCACTTGACAAGCTTTGATCTTGTTGCCAATGCATGAAGCAAACACATGCAGGTTCATCACGCACGTCTGCGATTTAAATTGGCCCCACTTTAGCTTGTCCAGATTAAACCAGTCACTACAGTCAGTGCTGCTTTGCCCAAGGACAAGCTATCTGACAAACTACTCTCAGCATGTTTTCGCTCCAAACATCTTTCACTTAACAAGCTTTGATCTTGTTGCCAATGCATGAAGCAAACAAATGCAGGTTCATCACACACGTCTGCGATTAAACTGGCACCACTTTAGCTTGTCCAGATTAAACCAGTCACTACAGTCAGTGCTGCTTTGCCCAAGGACAAGCTATCTGACAAACTACTCTCAGCATGTTTTCGCTCCAAACATCTTTCACTTGACAAGCTTCGATCTTGTTGCCAGTGCATGAAGCAAACACATGCAGGTTCATCACGCACGTCTGCGATTAAACTGGCACCACTTTAGCTTGTCCAGATTAAACCAGTCACTACAGTCAGTGCTGCTTTGCCCAAGGACTAGCTATCTGACAAACTACTCTCAGCATGTTTTCGCTCCCAACATCTTTTACTTGGCAAGCTTTGACCCTGTTGCCAATGCATGAAGCAAACACAGTGTCTGCGGCATCTATGTCCCGTGGGAACCATGTACATCAGCATAGCCATAACAATTTCCTCAGGGCCTTCAGTGTGCGCGGGGATGATTTACACTTATCTGGCACAAGGTCTGCGCACCTGATTCAGCACTTCCAAGGATAGTTCCCACTTGCCATAGGCTACGCCTGAGGAGTTTTCTTAGAGAAACCGTCTAGGATGTCTGGTACGCAAGACATACAAGAAGTATAAGTAACCAGGCAAGTTGAAGTGAGTTTGTAAATATCTTGTCACCTAGTTAAAATGAATTGTTATTTTTCGGGTGTTGGATTGACAAGTCCTTCATGATTTATATGCCATATTCCCAACACAACGAAGAAGTCCTGACCAGGCAAAATGAATCCCCTCACGTTTCCAGAGATTTTCACTTGAGGCTCCTGCAGAGGTTGATGCCATGAACATAACTAGCTTCCTGTGACTCAAGCTGTCAATCAAGGTACACCCCTGTGTGCTGAAGTGCTGCTGTATTGATATGACTTGATATGTATACTGTATATAATATCGTAGTAATTGTACGGGCAAACCCCTCCTTTTGCCCGCGCCGACGTCCACCACGTGTCCGAACATCAAAAAACACTGTGTTTTGTGGGACAAAATGAACATGTCCATAATCATGGCTTTCATCTTGCAACGCACAGCTCTACAACCTGTGCGTTGAATGTTACAACACCATCAGCATCATCATCATAATAATAATCATAATCATGATCATCTTGAAGATTCCCTAGAATATAAAGTTTAGCGAGGATGGGGATTTATTGATTCCCTAGAAACTCTTGTGAGACATCTTGAAGATTCTCTTGAATATAAAGTTTAGCGGGGATGGGGATTTATTGATTCCCTAGAACTATGTTGAAACATCTTGAAGATTCCCTTCAACATGCCAGTCAATATCCCTCCTTCAATGTAGTTAGGAAACTGTGCAAATGTTGTGTGGGCGAAAGGGGAGTGTTGCGCGTAATTGTACATCCAAGAAGTACATCATATTAATATCACGCTTGTCTCGATATGAATCTCTGCGCACAAGGCTCTGAAGATCCACCAGCTCATCTAGGCCGCCGAACTGTTAGCGGAATCTGCTCATCTAAGGCTGTCTTGAGAAAGTCCAGACCCTCGACCTCAGAGATCAAGAGGTTCCATCCAGAAACCAAGCGCATTTGAACCAACAAGCATCCTGGAAGCATGCGTGAGCTGCTTGTAGGGCATGTTGGGATGCCCACAGAGTTTGGGTGGGCGCAATGAAGGCTTGTGTCGGGACAGAAGGGGCTATGCTGCCTGAGTGTCTCACAATGTCCAAGCGTTGGCACGCAGCCAACACTGCTGCAAAGCCCTGGAGAGAGCAGGAGTTCACGGCGACCGTGCTTGAAAAAGGCTGAAGATGGAAGGTCATTTGAGGCTAGAAGAGCCTCATCATAGGAGTAGAGCAGGCAACTAAGAACTAGTATATAAATGCTTCCGGCACTGTGCAAATGCAGCGAGTAAGGGTGCTACTGATTGCAAAGAAGAGCTTTACAAAGGATTCATTGTGCAAGACACAAAAACAGCGATGCGGGTGCTGAAGTGATCGTGCTGAAGTGCTCGCATGGTGTTAATCTGCAGTTGACTGCATTGTACCACTGTACGACGTTAAGATAAACGCCGCAGTTCCTTTGCATCGAGCTTTGGAGCCATTTTGAGCACCTCTTCCAAGGCCTGTGATACGGCGTTCGGATCGCCAGGGCTGGAAAGTCTCAACAAAGAGTTCCAGCAAATTAGAGACCCTGTTGAATAAAGATAGAGATAAAGAAAGTGCGCATCAAGAAATATTTGAAAGTTGTAACAGATTTTGCTGGTTTCCTGGATGCGCCACGTGTCTTTGTATGCTTTGCACATGCCTTTTTCTGGTTGTTGATGCCATCTGGAAGATGGTCAACTGCATGGATAACCGAGCTGAAGCAAGGCCTTGGTGCTCTTCCGGTTCCACAGGGGCAGTTTTGAGGTCCACAAACAGCAGAACATCGAAACAAAATCAAGATGACAGATTCAAAAGCTCCAAAGCTTGTAGAGAGCTGCAAGCAATGATTTCATGTGATTTCCACAGTTCCAGACGCATCAGGCAGTAGTCGGACAGGTTTCATTTCTTTAAGTAGCAAATGTATTGCCTGAGAGAAGGGACTGCGTTTAGATTCAGTAAATTCTCGTCAGGGCCCTTTCCTCTGTTTCTATCTGTTTCTTTCTTCCCAAGACTCCATTGAGCAAGTGTTGCCAAGTGTTGCCAAGGAAAAGTCATAGAACCCGCAAAGATCAGACCCAAACCCACAGCTTGCCAGGCTTGCCATGCACAGATGCAAATTTGGCTGCCATCAGTGTCAACAGTCCCATCATGACCGGTATCTGGCACTCCACACCTGTTTACAAGCCCCAGCTCCGACACACCTCAACAGCGGTCTCCCAACAGTCGAAATTGGGGCCTTGGGTCTTTTCTGATTGGGAAGGCAACTCAGGGTTTCACGCAGAAATTACAAAGTGGTAGTCCTCCGCCTGGCTGTGGACGCTGTGCAAAAGAAAGGACTCTTTCTTTGTAGAGCAATGTCCGCTCAAGAAATATCTCTGCAAAAAGTAAGCTTCCAAAGGTTTCCAAAGGTTTCCAAAGGTTTCTGTGTAGAAATATCTCTGTGTTTTGGGTTTCAAGTAGCGTACCGCCTGGAGTCCAGATCTAAGTCATTCCAAGTCCCAAATGTTTGATTCCGGCCAGATTTGCTCACCACATGGCCCACATCAGCATGGATATTCATGGATATTCATGGATATTCATGGATATTCATGGATATTCATGGATCAAGAAATCAAGTTGAGATGATTGCGGCACTTCATGCAGGAAGCGTAGAGTGATTTCAGGCCACGACCTCCCGCTTACTAAGCGGGTGCTGTACTAGCTAAGCTAAAGAAACCCTGGAGAAAAAAGCGAACATCGCTTGTTGGCTCAACCTACCTCCAGTGCCGAACATCGCACGTTGCCTCCAAAGGTATGTCGGAGCTCTCGAGCAAAGCTATGGCCTGTCTTGGCTTCCAAACCACAAACCAAATTAAAGGGCCTCTGGTGGATATATCAGAATGAAGTTGGATTGAACCATCTTAAAAGTGCAGATTGTGTATCATTGTATTGATTGATTCTTCGATAATCTTTGATATCTTTTGTGTGGAGGTGGCGCAATTTTCATACGTCACCGATCCCCCGCCTCCTGCCATCGGCCACCGCGTGCAGCAAATCGCCAAGGTTTCCTGTCCGCTGCTGTCCATTGCCTCAGGAAACTGCGGGGAAGTTGAGAACACCAAGTTCACCAAAATGCGCCAAGTGTGCTTTGAACGGTGAAGGATCCTGACTTGACAGAGTGACGAAGAATGACAAAGAATGACTTGAGTCCCAAGGGTTGGTGAACGAAAGCTAAGCAGGGGCAAGGTGGAGTGAGAGAGGTAGAGTTATATATTTATGCTTTCGTGGAGTGACTTGGTGAAAGAAGTTTGGTGGTGGCGTGGGTTGGGTGGCCTGGTTGTGGGTTCAGGGTGGGAGGTGGGGGGATTGAGCCCTGCTCATCTGCTCCAAGATGTGATGGGTGGAGAAGCCTAAGTTATATAGTTTAGCATGTGAATGTGTGGCTTAGGTCAGGGATAGCTAAGTGATATAGCTCGTAATTGTGCGAGTTATGTAGTAATACCACTACATAGCTTAAGCAGGTATTGGTTATTATAATTGCTAAAGATGGAATAGTTGTCGCTGAAGAAGAAAGTGTATTGTATGAGCGGATGAGAACGAGAAGTTGGCTGGATTATTTTAAGGAAATGGATGGCTAAGAATTATCCATGAATTTTGGTGTCTGATGAGAGCGACTACCTCAAGACTATGTGAGAACGAGATGAAAACTTACGGAATGTCATGGAACTTCGCGTGTGTATTGTCTCAATGACCAACAGTTCGAGGTCTGCAATGGTTATAGTCAATGTTAGTTTATCATGTTGCTTAATGTTTGCATACTGAGGGGGGAAATCGAATGAAAACTTAAACTTAAAAATGAGTTGGGTTTTGCGCAGTTTTTGAGCCAGGTGTACGGACTGAGCTGCTGTCGCGAGTGATTGCTGGTGCTTAAGTATACTTGGTACGCTCATGAAACACGATATTGATTGATGGTGGAATAATATGGGATATGTAATTGTGTGAGATTGTGTGAGATGCATGATGGTTGAGTATGTTGAGTAGTTATATAATGCGCCGAGAGGTATTGGCCTAAGGGGGTTCGTGTGGCCTGAAGCCAACGTGGTTTTGTACATGCTGCGCAGCTTAGTTCGTGTGATCCTGTGGTATTGGCTTGTAATTGTGCGAGATGCATGGAGGAGGGCGGTGGGCGAGGGAGGGGTTCGCCTGAAAGATCACACGTTTGTTTGGCATTTGGTCCACCCCATCCCTTGCTAGAGCAAGAAGAAACTCCAGCTACTGCTAGCTTTCGTGACAATGACAAAGAATAGAAAGGACCCAGTGACAAATGGTGGGCAAGAAGAAGATCAAAAGCATCAATTGTACACGATTAAAAAAGGCTAGGGCTCAGACACAGCTGCAGCATTCCGGTTGATGTTCTTTTTGAGCTCAAGCTCTCGCTCCTGCAGTGCCGTTGTCATAAAAGTCAAAATGTCTTGCACGGCCACGAAGAACTCTTGAACGATGTGCCCATGTGCCCTTTTCGTTTTGAGCACTGTGCTGCACTAGCGCACCTTAGGCAAGGGTGGCAATGGCGGCGGTCTCTTTGTCACCTTTACCTTTACCTGCACAAATCGGCCATCGCATCCAAGGAGTCAAACAAAAGACAATGCATCTTCTCATACTCATCTCTTATCTATCTTATCTTCTTCTCGTCTCAATACATCAGAGTTGTGCTGAATTGACAAGCAGCAATTCCAACAACAACAACAACAACAATAACAACAACAACAACAACAACGACAACGACAACGACAACGACAACAACAACAACAACAACAACAAAGAAGCCTTGATGCGGCATTGCTGTGGCCTGGGGAGGACGGAGTTCTAGTGACAAAGCTCAGAAACACCCTCTGGAAGAGCTCCAACAGACTTTCTCTCAAAATTATTCTCTTTTTACTGCTCAAATTGCTTTGCCTCAAAGTTTGCCTCAAAATCCTCGAATCTCTACTTCAATCTGGCCCACCTTCTGCGTCGGTGATTCGCACTTGCCACTCCTGTCCAAGTTACTTTGACTTTGATCTACTTCAAGGCTTTGCTGGACATAAAGTCCCATGTTGATCAAGATTTGATGCACTATCAATGCACGCTGATGGCCATTTGTTGGTGGATGTCTTGATTGGCATCTCTACAGGCTAAACACTGTAAGAATATTTAAGACGGGAGATGAGGATGCCAGTCTTACCGCAAAATATCCAAACAGCATAGCATTGGGTCATTGCTCGGTGTACTGCGTTTGGCAGCGCTCCCTCGTCATAACAAAAGACATTGTCACAGTCGTCACAGTCGTCACAGTCGTCACAGATCGTCGGCTCAGTTTGTGCTCCGGCCTAGGATCAGGACCTCAGCACACAGATTTTTGTCAGCCGCATTTGGCACGATGGAGAGAATTTGTCCGATTCTTTTGGCAATGTTTGGCCTTACATGCAAATAGAAGCAAACAAATCGCCCTATCATGATAAGTTTGGTAGGGGATAAATCAACAAGTGAATAGTTGAATACATAATATGGTATAATTGGCATGGGGTTGGCTAGAAAAAGATTGAGGGGCAGCATCACATGAGTGAATCGGTTCTGATGTAGACGTGCTACTTCTTCAACGAAAAGATTGGTTTCTACCTACCTCATTGAAGTCACAGAGATGAAAAAGATCTAACAACCGAGGATTTACAGCAGCATGTGCTTGTACATGCTTGTACATGCTTGTACCCAAACGATCCAACTGCCAACAGCTTGGGACACCACAGCTCCAAGCCTCCCAGCACTTGCCTCCAGGATGGTGTGGGATGTGTGAGCACCGTGCAAAACTGGAATTCCAAAGAGACTACAGATCTCTACAGATTTAAGAGTGACTTAATTAAGTGACTTATGTAAGTGTCTGAAGCTTGTGAAATATCTTTCACTCTAACCCCTTCAATCTTTCCAACTGACACAGCAGTCTCCTTGAGCGAAAAACTGCCATGTACGATTGAAGCTGTGCTCTCCCCCAACGTTTCCAACCTTTCGGTTTGTCAATCTTTTCCAGCCTTGGAAGTTTCAACTCCTCGCAGCGAATCGGAGCAGCCAACACTTCGTGGCAGCACTGGGAATGCTGTCCTTCAAGAGAAGCATTGCAGCGGATGACGCAATGAATTCATTCAATGACATCAGGTGAATCAACACGTGAAATGCGGGGCCCCCAGCCTCTTGGGGACAAGACTTACCTCGGACGCTTCGTTCCCGTTCCAATATTTTTCTGCCACAACGCACTGCACTCCCCAAGTGGACCTCCCAGGTCTTGAGTTGTTGATTTGTCAAATGATCTCAGCAAAAGTTCAACATTCGGTTCTGTTCAGAGAGGCGCCAGTTCTAGACCGAGCTCCTAGCAGAGGCCATCTGTAGCCCAAAGCCAACTTTGACACTGGATAAAGCATGAAGTTAAACCAGCTAGGAAAATCCTGAAGATGCAATGAAAAGCGGAAAGAAATATCAGCCGCAGTTTGATGAGTTGCGTTCAAGGAAAGCACTACCGTCTTGCCAAGACATGACAGTCTGAGTTTTGAAAGATTCTAATGCAAAGATTGCTGAAGCAATGTTTAAATACTGTTTTTATTGGACGGCAGCTGATGTGGCAAATCCCGGCTTAGAAAGTGCGCTATGGGGCTATGATCTGCCAATCAAGTTTGCACTCTGACTCATTTTGGATTCATTGGCCGCGCCATGTGCTCGAGCGAAGTATGGCTGAAAAGATGCTGAAAAGATGCTGAAAAGATGTAAGCGAAGTAAGGAGCGAAGTAAGCGAAGTAAGCAAAATCATGTAAGATATCATCATCTGACAATCATCTTGCCATGGGAATTCTCTCCTTTCATCAACACTTCATCACCTTGCTTGTGATTTTCAGAGGCTAAATATGTAGATACACAATGTGACTATATGACTATTATTGAATGACTATATGACTGTAGATACTAAATATGTATAACAATAATGTTATATATTGTATGAGGCTAATATACAATATATAACACAATATAACACAATATAACACAGTATATATAACACAATATAACACAATATAACACAATATAACACAATATATGACTATTGTCAAATTGTCGCATACACATTGCATACAGTTCATCAGACTCATGTTGCCCTGAGAGAATTCGTACTCCACATGACTGGGAAGCACTGAGAGTCTCAGCGAAGGAAAGGAGCGCCTCTTCGATTGACTCGTCCTCACAACTGCGTGATGGTCGGCTTCCTCTGCTTCGAATTATTTGTTCTCTAGGGAAAGAGGGTCGAGCAGGAATGCCATCTTCAAAGTATCAAGGGGAAAATATCGCACTTCATTCCCTTTATAAATATGTTTGGGTAGTTTACGATCAGCTGTGTTGAGTTCATTGGAGCCAATTGGAGGTGTGATTCACTGCACATTTGAAGGAGCCAAATGATAAATGATGATAGATGATAAGATTCACAGTCGCGATGATGAGACAAACAGTTGCCAAGCTCTTCTAGTGGATGGACATAGAACTCATTGTCTCCAATGCTTCAGAGCCAGACCCTGGCTAGAAGGACTTTGAAAAGCTTCGCTGTTCAGAATCAAAAGGCGCTGATCTGAATCGAAGCTTTCAATTTGTTTCAGGCCTTGTATTCACCATAGGTCCAGCCTTCACCTTGGCATAGCATGGCATAGCATGGCATAGCATGGCATAGCATGGCACAGTCACAGTCACCAGTCACCAGAGTCACCACACGGCGCTACTCTTCGGAGCACCGCCACACCGTAGCCGCCGTAGCCTCGTGGCCGACCACGAGGCCTTGGGCTCCCAGGCCACGGAACAGCTGCGCACCCATGTGCCGCCGTGGAGAGCAGGGCTGCCCAGCAGCAGCACGTTGTCGGCCAGCTGCCACCTGATGAGTTCTCGTGAGTTCTGGTGGACACTCAGGTTTGCACCGCTGGATCACAACAAAAAATGGTTAATCCAAAATGAATTCCTGCCTCTCGTTTGAACAAATCTACAGGATTCAATCAGCGTGTTAATGGACCCAAATTTGCTCTTCCTCTACGCAAGGAGACCTTGAAGCCTTAACAAAGACTGCTAAGTCTGCTAAGTATCAGAATCTGATTCAACAATCAGAAGCCTAAAAGAACCTCTCTTCCAGCCTCCTGGCGAAGCCTTGCTTCAGGGGCATTGACCAAAGCACCGAGCTCCTGCGTTTCCAACAAGACCAGGCCATACATTGGCTGCAGCTCAAACCATTTGCTCCGAGACGTTTCAAGACTTTCCATATCTTTCCATATCTTTCCATCTTTAAAAGAATGTTATATAACTTGGACATACTTGGACTCAGAATACCACCAAAGGGATCTCCCCCCGCCCCAAGGCAACACGTGCAAAGCGCAAAAGAGCCAAAGAGCATCAAAGATATTCAAAGAGCACAAGACAATCTGCCACTCCGTCTCATTTTGCGCTTTCATTGCCACTCCGCCGGCTTCGCCGAGCAGAGAATGTGTTGGTCTACTTGAACTCTTTGAACCCGGCGTTCGCTCAGGGTGAGAAAATGAGACGGGAAATTTGCAACGACCTCAACCTCAAAGGCAAGGCTATGACCACTTCCATGCGGGAAGTGCAACAAAAGACTGGCACATTCGAATCTGAGCCTTCAACCAGTCCGAGATGCCTTGGCTGATTCAATCTGATTCAATGAAACAATCATATGACTCATATGACCAGTAGGGCAAGCTCTATCCAGCAGCTCTGGTGGCTTTTGGGCTGTGGGAATCCACTCGTTTTTGTTTGGGACTCCTGCCACACAATTTCAGGGAGGCTGGCGGGAGGTCGAGCACGTGTGTTTTTAGGGAAAAACAAAGCTAATATGTAAAATCACCCCGACTTCTTCAAACTAAGTGATGAAATCAGCTCAACTCCAAATGCAAAAATAACCAAACCATAACCAGCGAATCATGTCAAAAACTCATGTCAAAAATTCATAAAAACTCCAGGCCCCCTGCTGGTGAGTCTGGCTCGGTCCTGAGCAAACATGTCATACACCAGGCTAAGAAAACTACAGAAAACGACTTATGGGAAAACTTATGGGAAACCTGGGGCTTGCAGAAGTGGGCAAGCCAAATGAGTTCAGAATTCAGGATGAGCTGAGGCTGGCAGCATCTTAAATTCAGTTTCACTACTGCATCCACAGTGGCCTATATTGGTCTAGCAGGCAGAGCTGCCACTACAGAAACAACACAATTATGCCATAGGACCATATAGGTTATATAAAAGTATTTTAAAAATATATATATATATTTTTTAAGCAGTTAAAGTAGCCCACGGATTGCCATGTATTGCTCTGGGTGCACTACGGTGGTTCAAGCTGGACTTCCATCGGGATGGAGAACTGATTCTTCCATGAACCTGCGATACGAAGGGCCGATCAGATCTTAGCAAATTTCCTGGTTTCTGGATGTTGCTGGCACAAAGATGATGAATATTATGAAGTTATGATGAGTTATTAAATAGTTATTATGAGTTATGTAAATGGTTATTATAGATGAGGCTCAACTGAGAGAAAAAAACAAGATGCCCGCGAAATGCACATCGCCACTGGGCCTTTGTATAGAAGCCAGGTGGCCATGTCTGGACACCCATAGAAGGCTGCCTCAGTGGGCTACCGTTGCGCAGCATGGGATCAGGTAGATAAGAGTGGAGGGGAAACCCAGTGGTGACCACCTTTGGTTTGTGAAACTTTAGATGGGTTAGACAAGAAAGGTTTTCTAGCATTTCTGTTTTGAATGAAACCTTTGCCATGAGAGGTCTGACTTGAGTGGCACTGAGTCTTGTGCGAAGTGCTGGCAGCTTGCTCCATGACTGCAGTTGGCGCATGCGTAGCTGTGTGCCCAATCTAACTTGTAGCATCGTGCAAACAAAAACCACCGCACAACACCAACACCGTCCATGCCTGTCCAGCATCCCAGTATGTGCACCCCTCTTCACCAAGAGCTCCACAATCTGTGGCAGCTTGGTGGCTCTTTGAGAGCTGCCAAATGTATAGAGAAAATCATATCGGATTCCCTCTAGAATTTGGGATATGTTTTATATATATATATACATATGTGCTAGACTATATATATATATACATACATATATATATATATACACATACATACATATATATATATACATACATATATATATATGTATATATGTATATATATATATGTGTATATATATATGTGTGTATATATATATATATATGGGAGCAATGTTAAACACGTTGCTCAAATCTTGTCAAAACCACTGCCTTTTGCAGACTCTTCTGGTCTCAAGTGCGATTTGAAATGGTGGGACTTTGGACCAGTGACCCTCGCCTCATATCTTCCAGCTTCAGCGGCACGGAAGAGTGGAGTCTGCTGATTCTGGTCCACTGCGTCGATCGGATGGCCCTGGGAGGGCACACCATTTTCAAACTCAAACCCACTTGACACCACAATTTCCATCTTCTGTTTTGGCGGTGCCCAAAACTTGCCACAAGGTCACACATGTGTGAGGCACCACAGTGATGAGAAAGAGACATGACCAAAAGTGTTTAAAGCTGTAAAACTTGGGAGAACAATGGGTACCGTTTGGTACCGTGTACCCAGCCCAGGTAGCCCAGGTTTCCCTCTCTGTGTGCCCCTGCTTTGTCCAAAAGGAACTCCACCAGGTTTTGGTGACCATAGTAGGCTGCCTGCACAGTGCCCATCCGGCCCATCCCCTCCCCTCCGATATTCATGAAACTTTGTCAACAAGTCGTGTCCACGATGCACCTTTCGTACACCTTGGCACAAGGAAAATGAAAAGGTATGAAAAAGTTTCGAATTCTAAAAACGTGCCCATGTCTGGCCTCATGCAAAGGCGTCCGACCCTGGTAATCTGCATAGTCAACGGTGACACCTTTCAGTCGTACCACTTTCCCAGGACAAAGGTCTGCAATGCGTTGTTTTTGCGGCACTCAGTAAACGGGTTGCCTTTCTCCACAAGAAGCTTCACGATGGGCTCGCAATTCTTCCATGTAGCTTCCTAAGTAATGCCCAGCTTCTCAGAACAGCTCCCAACATCTCCCAACATCTCCGAACATCCCTAGCTGCTCCAAGCTCTGATAGGGTCACGGAACCTGCCAGTGACTATGAATCAAAGCAGGTCATAGGCAAATTACGGTTACTGCGGATAATGAGGCCCAAGCCCAAAGGGCGGAGCGGAAGAACGGCTTTTCGCAGTAGTCCATCCCTTCGTCTTTGCCTGGAAGATTCAGTATGTTACAGGAAAAGGCTGAGAGGCTGAGAACATTTTGGAGGTACTTGTAGCTCTGCGTGGGGACATGCTCATACACCCCCCATCACCTCATGCACATCCAACAGAAAACTATTACTTGTTATACTTGTTTCAATGAGAAAATTCCTGGATTTTATGTTGCAGGCACCTTCAAAAGTGTTTCATGTCCTTAGTTTTTGAGATTTGCCCAGAACCTCTTGGAAGAGGAAAACGCCTACGAACTAATTTTGCAGTACCAACCCAACTATGACTGGATCCACAAAGCGCGTGAGGGATGTGCCCCCCCACCTGGCCCCTGAAAACCAGCCAGGACCAGGGACTGGATGAGCTGCTTGCCTGTCATTCAACCCGTTCCAAACCCTAGGACATCCAACACAGCAAGGAACGCACAGCCCAAGACAGCAATGCGATGACTAGCCACTCACTTTGGGTCGTCCCATTTTTGAGCACCCAAGCCTTCCTCAACTTTACCCTTTCGCGCCGCTTGCAAGAGCCTTGGATCTTTGAGACTCACGTGTCAAGCTGAAAATCCAAGGTGATATGCTCTCAAATAAAACGCTGGCTGTAAGATTTTGGTGGACGAGCTCAAGATCACAACAAACAGAGTGAACCTCTTCGTTTGAAATGTGAGCAAGCTTACAAATCGATGGGTGACACCAAATCCAGCTTCTAAGCATACCAAAGTGTGACGTATCCAACTTAGATAGTCTTAGATTAGAGAAGACTTCGGGCTCCTGCTCCTTTTTCTCCCGGACCCCTGCTGGCAAGGTGGCCATGAGCAGCAGCCTGAACGAAATCAAAGTTTGCGACAACGGTTGGACGTCACTGCACTCAGGGACACCGTTTCAGCTTACAATAGCTTACAATGTAAGGTATGGGAAATTATCGTAAGATATCGAAAAGCATCATGAGGGGCATGGTCAGGTAAAAGCACCCTTGTTTTGGCGGATCAGAAGGGACCTAAAGCCAGTGGCTTTGCTTTCTCGTTCATGCAAAAAGATATAACCCCCTGCAAATACATCATCCGCGGCCATGCACTTGGCCGCACCTGGGTTGAACTGCAAAGAGCAGGCCAAGTTGACAGTTGCATTGCTGAGCCAGAGGCGAAGAACAGGCACTGCAACAGAGGATTGCAACAAAGGAAGGAAGTTCAAGAACACTTCAGGTGCGTACTAAGGGCAGACAGCTGTTAGACAACGGAACCGGATCCACTTGTAATTCAAAGCCAAAACATATGTTCATCCTAACACAAATTAAACATACATCATATATCTATCTATCTATATATATATCATATAGAAGTGAACTGTATGGAATCATATTTCGCCTCTTGTCTCTTGCTTAATTGCGCTTAGGAACATGACCTTTGCAGCGGCATCTCCTGGGCTTCAACCATCAGCTCTGCCCATGTGCGCCCATGGCGCTCTGGATTCCTTCAAAGGTCCAGAAACCACAGAAAAACTGAGAAAAGCGTTGCATATAAGTTATATAGTTATATATATATATAATTATCATATGTAAAGGTCCGTCTGCAGACTAACGAAGCCTCTTTGCTGCCCTCTTCCAAGATTGAAAGGCGATAAATTCATCTCACTTGGAAAACCAAGAAGAACTTCTGGCCGACTAGCAATACAATACGAGAGGAACATCTCATGATTCGTGCACCTTGAACTCGCGCTTGAGGGACTTCGAGCAGAGGATGGCTCCTGAATTTCCACAACACTTTGAGAAACAAAGAATCAAACAACAGCAGTTCAACACATTGTTGTCACAGCTTTCAACAAAGCAACACAGCACGGCGGAACGTGAACTCTGATGCTTGGCATCTTGCCAGTTGCTCTCCTCACTCCGAGCACGGACAGAGCCGTCATGCTCAATTCTAGCTCTGCGGCCTCCCAGGCCCAATTCCGAGGTTTGAAAAGTGCTGTAAACCCGCAGCAAGTTTTGGTAAATTCAACTGGAATTGTGGGAAGCAAACCGATATAATCCGATATAAGAAAGAATCACTTGACTCCATCAAATCTGCAAAGCTGGCGTGCACTCTGTGAGGATTCCAGGATCCTTCAACAAGCGCTCTATCATGCAATGACCGCGTGTGCCTGTCATATTCTCAATTTGTCGCCGCCTCTGCAACAGCAAACTGATAGAAAGGCAACATGTGATAGTCTCTCTACGCAAAGCTGCATGAATTTGAATTTCAGTGCACTGATTTTGCTCGAGTCTTTTGCTTGCAAAGTCTCACCCCTCTTCAGTTTTGTCCTTTCCTTCAGAACCGTTGTAGGACAATGCAAAAAAAGGTGTGAAGGTTTCCCCGAGTCAGCACAGAACCCATTGCGGAATTGCAAGATTTATCGCGTCTCCAAACATTCACCAATTCACTCTACAAAAAACAAGCATGGTGCCGGGAGCTACAAAAAACAAACCATGAGCTCCAACTGAGTTCCCAAGCCCGAGCGAAGGCCGACCCGCTGGCAGCATGCTGTAGCCCTCACAGCCCCAGCCCCGGGTGATTCTTTTTTAATCGGCTGCACGGTGCTGCGAGCAAAGTAAAGAAATGTCATAGAAATGTCATAGAAATGTCATAGAAATGTCATATAGTTTATTATAGTTTATATAATTGTTTCAAAGCGAGTCAAAGCCCCACCTCTCTCGGGGTGACAGGCCGCAAGCGCGGACTGGCGCCGGCTGCTCGCCGGGCCATGCTGAGGCAGGTGCAGGCCATCGGACTTGGTTCAAAACTGCTGTTCTGAAACCACGGATCTCCCATTTATTACATGATCATACTGATGATCATACATGATCCATCTGTTTGGAGGTATCAGGTTTTCGATTTGCAAGTGAGGATATTGATGACCTCAATTCGGTTTCGTTGGCTTCGTTGGCTTCGTCTTTAGTCTTTCCAGCCTGGGTTTCACATCCACCTCCACGCCACGTTGAGAGGCAGACCTGCAAAGTGAAAATCTTTGACACAGTGGACAAACAGCATCAAAAACAGCATCAAACACAGCATCAAAAACAGCATCAAACACAGAATCAAACACAGCATCAAAAACAGCATCAAACACAGCATCAAAAACAGCATCAAAAACAGCATCAAAAACAGCATCAAAAACAGCATCAAACACAGAATCAAACACAGCATCAAAAACAGCATCAAACACAGCATCAAAAACAGCATCAAAAACAGCATCAAAAACAGCATCAAAAACAGCATCAAACACAGAATCAAACACAGCATCAAAAACAGCATCAAACACAGCATCAAAAACAGCATCTAAAACAGCATCAAAAACAGCATCAAAAACAGCATCAAACACAGAATCAAACACAGCATCAAAAACAGCATCAAAAACAGCATCAAACACAGAATCAAACACAGCATCAAAAACAGCATCAAACACAGCATCAAACAACAGCATCAAAAACAGCATCAAAAACAGCATCAAAAACAGCATCAAACACAGAATCAAACACAGAATCAAACACAGCATCAAAAACAGCATCAAAAACAGCATCAAACACAGCATCAAACAACAGCATCAAAAACAGCATCAAAAACAGCATCAAAAACAGCATCAAACACAGCAATCAAACACAGCATCAAAAACAGCATCAAAAACACAGCATCAAAAACAGCATCAAAAACAGCATCAAAAACAGCATCAAAAACAGCATCAAACACAGAATCAAACACAGCATCAAAAACAGCATCAAACACAGCATCAAAAACAGCATCAAAACAGCATCAAAAACAGCATCAAAAACAGCATCAAACACAGAATCAAACACAGCATCAAAAACAGCATCAAAAACAGCATCAAACACAGAATCAAACACAGCATCAAAAACAGCATCAAACACAGCATCAAAAACAGCATCAAAAACAGCATCAAAAACAGCATCAAAAACAGCATCAAACACAGAATCAAACACAGCATCAAAAACAGCATCAAAAACAGCATCAAAAACAGCATCAAACACAGAATCAAACACAGCAAAAAAAAACAGCATCAAAAACAGCATCAAAAACAGCATCAAACACAGAATCAAACACAGCGTCAAAAACAGAATCAAACACAGAATCAAACACAGCATCAAAACAGCATCAAAAACAGCATCAAACACAGAATCAAACACAGCACCAAAAACAGCATCAAAAACAGCATCAAACACAGAATCAAACACAGCATCAAAAACAGCATCAAAAACAGCATCAAACACAGAATCAAACACAGCATCAAAAACAGCATCAAAAACAGCATCAAACACAGGATCAAACACAGCATCAAAAACAGCATCAAAAACAGCATCAAACACAGAATCAAACACAGCATCAAAAACAGCATCAAAAACAGCATCAAACACAGAATCAAACACAGCATCAAAAACAGCATCAAAAACAGCATCAAACACAGAATCAAACACAGCATCAAAAACAGCATCAAAAACAGCATCAAACACAGAATCAAACACAGCATCAAAAACAGCATCAAAAACAGCATCAAACACAGAATCAAACACAGCATCAAAAACAGCATCAAAAACAGCATCAAACACAGAATCAAACACAGCATCAAAAACAGCATCAAACACAGAATCAAACACAGCATCAAAAACAGCATCAAACACAGCATCAAACACAGAATCAAACACAGCAAAAAAACAGCATCAAAAACAGCATCAAAAACAGCATCAAACACAGAATCAAACACAGCGTCAAAAACAGAATCAAACACAGCATCAAAAACAGCATCAAAAACAGCATCAAAAACAGCATCAAGACAGAATCAAACACAGCATCAAAAAACAGCATCAAAAACAGCATCAAACACAGAATCAAACACAGCATCAAAAACAGCATCAAACACAGCAAAAAAAAAAAACATCATCAAAAACAGCATCAAACACAGCATCAAACACAGAATCAAACACAGCAAAAAAAACAGCATCAAAAACAGCATCAAAAACAGCATCAAACACAGGATCAAACACAGCATCAAAAACAGCATCAAAAACAGCATCAAACACAGAATCAAACACAGCATCAAAAACAGCATCAAAAACAGCATCAAACACAGAATCAAACACAGCATCAAAAACAGCATCAAAAACAGCATCAAACACAGAATCAAACACAGCATCAAAAACAGCATCAAAAACAGCATCAAACACAGAATCAAACACAGCATCAAAAACAGCATCAAACACAGAATCAAAACAGCATCAAACACAGAATCAAACACAGCATCAAACACAGCATCAAAAACAGCATCAAAAACAGCATCAAACACAGAATCAAACACAGCATCAAAACAGCATCAAAAACAGCATCAAACACAGAATCAAACACAGCATCAAAAACAGCATCAAAAATAGCATCAAACACAGAATCAAACACAGCATCAAAAACAGCATCAAAAACAGCATCAAACACAGAATCAAACACAGCATCAAAAACAGCATCAAACACAGCAAAAAAAAACAGCATCAAAAACAGCATCAAAAACAGCATCAAAAACAGAATCAAAAACAGCATCAAACACAGAATCAAACACAGCAAAAAAAACAGCATCAAAAACAGCATCAAAAACAGCATCAAACACAGAATCAAACACAGCAAAAAAAAAACAGCATCAAAAACAGCATCAAAAACAGCATCAAACACAGAATCAAACACAGCGTCAAAAACAGAATCAAAAACAGCATGAAAACAGCATCAAACACAGAATCAAACACAGCATCAAAAACAGCATCAAAAACAGCATCAAAAACAGCATCAAACACAGAATCAAACACAGAATCAAAAACAGCATCAAAAACAGCATCAAACACAGCATCAAAAACAGCATCAAA